ACGACGTTAATTAGCAGAAAAGTGCAAACGATGCGGCTCGACTGAAACTGAATGGTGGTGGTACGATATGGTGGGTATATGGTGGTCCGATGCCAAGTGCTGCAATTGCGGAGTGGTGCAAAGTGGTGCGGGCATAGACGAAGCGATATTACCCATTAGCGGAAGCGGGCCAATTTGGCTTACCCATGCATATGCACATGCACGAGTCTCCGATCGACTCCGTCCACTGCCATCACCATCACCACCACTACCACCTCATGATGCAATGATTTGTGCCATCAACTCACCGAAAAATCATACGATTTTCAGTCCAATATGTACGTTTACCCAAGAAGAGTGTCATGCGGGGTCGGGGGCCAGACCTCGACCTCCTCCTCCTCCTCCTCTGTCTCTATCTGCCTTTATACACCCATTTATCCATATGTGTGTGGTGAAAACCAGACACGATCGTTTCTAAGAAATGGAACCTATAAATCTACGCTTCACACGAAATACCTGGGCCTGGGCATGGGCATGGGCCATCCACCTGAAATCGGATGGACGATGACGATGACGGTAATAGATAGTAGATCGATCGATGATATTGGTGCCGGCCGGTACCCAACTCGATGGTCACATGAATATGTATGCCAAGCTGATCTCATTTCGGGGAGGTCTCTAAAGATACACTCTGAAAAATAGTCTTCCATAATAGTTAGTACCTGAATATATCCTATATAGTTCGAATCATTCATGAAGTTCAAAGTTAATTTAATTGTAAAATATTTGATTTTAATTTCTGGCCGTTTAATTGGTCCAGAGACTGTGTATCCGTGTGTGCCACAAGGAGGGGGCATCTAGGAAGTGCAACCTCTGACCGCGTCACTGGGAAATGTTACGTGAGGGGATCTCTGATCAATCTCTCTCTATTATAGAAAGTGCTCCCCGAGTCGCATCAAAAGGCCATTTCAATTCAGTGCCCCTTACGTCAGCGTTACGATATCTGCGGTAGTTTGCCAGATATATACATATGTCTGTATATATATACGGCTGCCCCTGTCTCGGAACGCTTTGAGGTGTGCCGGCCAAGGCTGATGAGGAGGTGAAAAAAGGGGGCGGGGCAGGGAGAGGCAACAGCGGCAGCAGCAGCAGCAGCGGCACGAGACACAATTTCAAGCACCTGCAAGATTTTTTTTTTTTTCTCAATTGAATTTCGCTTTGTGGCTGGCCTGATGCCGCTGCCAACTGTTTGGGCTAATTGGGCGGCCGGGAGGGGCACTGAGACGAGCAGGGGGGGGCATCAAACAGGCCAGAGTGGGATGGACAGGAAGCGAGAGGCAGCGGGGGTAGGGCAGGGAGGGCTTCAGTCTGCGGTCGGACGATTTGTGTAATTTGCAATAAATTACTCGTAGAATTGAATCTAGTTGTCGATGTGGCTGGTCGATAAAGCGAAGAAAGAAAACTAGTCGTGATGCCTCCTTCCCAGCTCCCAGCTCCCCGTTGCCCGGCCGCTCTCCTGCCACCGCCAAGCCACAAGCGGCTGCCGCCCGGCAACAGCGATCAGTGCCAGTCTGTCTGCCATTTTGGCGGCACCTCCACCTCCAGGCCCCCGGCATTCAGTTCCCGGCCGGCAACGGCGGCTCAGACTAGTTTGGAACCCCTCTCGGTCACCTTCCCCCTCCAACCGCCACGCGGTCCGGCAATAAGCACTAATGCACTCGGAAAAAATATATTTTTTTTTTTAAATTTTAAGTACTTTTCCATCAATGTTTATCTTTCTGAAATTTTCTAAATTGAGTTTCCTAATAGCTAACCTTGTACTGGATTTTAAAATATAGAATTTCGTTCTTGAACCTCATAGAGGTGGTTTAATATTAGAGATTTTAGAAATACATTTTTAGAACTGTCAATCAATAGGTTTTGAAAAATATACATTCCATAATGATGACGAATAAAGATTTACTTACGAGGACCTAGAAGTTCCTCCATAAGGTTCGAGGCCTTTTAAGCAGAATATATATATATTTCATTTCTGAAATCTATAATGAAGTTTAGGGTATAAAAATATTAAATAATAGATATTATTTCATTTAATAAACTGTGCTTTAAAACCTGTATTTAATTCATAACCGGGTATGTAATTTAAACTCAATCTTAAAAAAAGGTTCGAGTTCCCTGTACAATATTTCCTATCCCTATTTTTTTTTATTTTCTATAACCTTTGAAAAAGTATCTATAACCTTATATAAAAAGTTATATTATAGATATTTATTCCACCAATAAATTAATTTAAAAAGCCTGTTGCTCACATTTAAATTAATTAAAACCCCGTTTAGGTAATTTAGCCACTTTATAACCGGTTCTAGATCAATTTCCTTTCATTTAAAGTTTAAATGTTCAACTACCCATATTCTCCGAGTGTAATTTGTGGTATGGGTCTGTCCCTCGACCTGCTCCTCCTTCGCCCGCCAAGCCCACGATCGCAGCAGACAATCTGGCACTCACACTTGATTGCAATGAGGCGATCGGATGGACGGCCGGACAGATACCCGGACGGACAAACGACTGCGACTGTGACTGGAACTGGGGAATCAGACGTGCTAATGGCTTGGCTAATGGAACCTTGCACCATGCCACTGGTACTGGTACCCCTCCAATCCTCCTTATCGGCTTGGATATCCGACTTCAGTGCAGAAGTGGTCTGATCTCGTCCAGACTTTTGGGGGGTAGAAGGAAGTGGATCTCACACGGCTGGTTATTAAATTGGTTGATTGGTTATGGTAATATAAAAATCCAGTCCTCAATGGATGAAAAAGAAATCACAAAAATCAATTAAAACCATTCAGAAATGTGAAATCCAATCCAGAGATTTACGAACTGGATAAGTACAGTGGAAGTTGGATGGATGTGGTATTCAAGGAGGAGTAGTTTCGGGTGGATTGGAGTGGAATTATTATCATGCATCCAGATCCAGTAATTCCCATCATATGTAGCATTTAAATATTTTGACTTGAAGAGCAACTGCAGCTTGGTGGCTTGAACAAAATCACGTTCGCATCCAGTCATATCCGTTTTGTTCCGGACTGTCCCAGTACCGGCGGTGGCACAAAGAATTACGGGACGAGAACGAGTAATTGAATTCTGGTCGGTTGTCAAATGGAACTCGACGAGGGTCCGACCCGGGAGGGGGTGCGGCCGGAAGGGGGAGGTGGCGAGGATCGGTGAAGAGATCGGTTATCGAAGAGCGAAGAAAGAGGCAATGGCGCGCGCACACACACACACACACACCCCTCATTTGGGAGAGAGAGAGCGAGTGAGCATCGGCAACAAGCTTCGGGCGTCTTCGTGGAGTATCTGTGTGAACACACGAGCGGCAAGGGTGGCCAGCGACGATATAAATGGAAGACCGCAACCTGAATTGAGTTATATTTCATTCACAACTCAACTTGTGAGCCAGTGTTTTGAGCCGGAGATCTTAAGCCGATCCGATCCGATCCACCGCCGTGAACCAACGCGATCGTTCCACAAAAAATTCCAAAAAAATACAGCCAAGATTTAAAAAAAAAAAAAAAAAACTAAAAGCCAAGTCATACCTTGACTCGAGTGTAATGTCGATGAACCGTGCGTATTCAAACGAGTGCCGCGCCAACCAGATCGATTCTCCCCCCAAGAAGTCCACAGCCGAGAGCATAACCGATCACTGATCACCTCCAACCGGCTCCGCCCAGACCACCAAGATCGAATGAACCAAAGCCGTCAGCTAGACATTCGCTACGTCGAATTGCACTGAAGTTGCACACCCAGAAGCTCTACGGCCGACCACAGCGCTCCCTATTCCCCCCTAGCCAGGCAGGACATCCTCTGCACACCATCCTCTATATCCGATCCAGTGCTACGGCTAGACACACAGGAGCATCCCAAGCGGAAAGTTCGGAAAGCAGCCAAGATTCCGCCAACACTGAGCTGCCAGGTGACCAAGACGGCATCCAGCGCCGGACCTATGTCAGTTCTAAGCCAACTGCTGCTGCTCAACTTCAATCAGAAAGTCCAATCCAGGAGTTACCACAACATAGAGCTGATAAATTCGTTCATAACATAACGACTAGCCGACCGACGATCGCTCTTGATACTGATCTTGTTATATCCAACGTTAGGGAGAAATTTGCAAACATTTTTTACCGGAAGAGAAAAAAGAAATCAAATCAAAAGGTGAGTCATCTCCGCCGGCAATAGACTAGGTGGTGACCCATTTGTCTCTATAAATCTCAGACCAATTAATTACGTGGTGGTTTTCCAAAATCTAACAAAAAAAAACCCAAATCGCAAATCCCCGTTGAAGGGCGAATAAAAAAAAAAAAAATCTGATGCAACATTCGTCAGTGATTGGCGAATGACTATCGGGGGGCAATAGACATAGACATACATATACATACATAATACCCTCGAAACTATTTGAATAATTAAGTCTAGACTCTAGACACCAGACACTAGACCACAAACGGAATCGGAGGCCCTTGATCTCTGGCCGGTGTGGAGCGTGGGTGAATCGAATCGAGTTGAATCGAATTTTTGGGGGAAACTCTGACGTCAAAATCACAAGATTCAAAAGATTCGGCGGCCCACGCCAAAATCTTATATCATACTTTATTCTGGTGTCGTGACATTGTGAAATACGTACTTATGTGGTATTTAGAGCGAAGATATTTTCGGGGAGCGCAGGATTCTCAATGATTATGAGAATATATGAGGCATTTCGCAAGTGGTAGTAACGTTCTAGAGCTCGCCAGCTAAAGGCCTTGCTCGCTTATCGGGGCGAGCCGGAGATTCAGAGAGATCCGTTCCCCTGATTTATTACCCCCCGGGGCAGTAAGTGATAAGTGTGATGACTGGCGGGAACTAATGTCATCACGACTATCAAGTTGCGGGCTTGAGTTTATTAACCTATATTAGATGCTCGGATGACTGTTGTGGAATTTTGAACTTTGCACTCATTTCCGATTTTCGTTCGTTCGATTTTTCAGAAAATGAATTTACATGTGTGCGCCTTAGCGCTGCTGCTCTTCGGCAGTATCGCCACTGTCCACGGCCGAGCCTTGGACATCGTAGACGACAGCAACGATGTGGACAACTCCATTGAGACGGAACCGGAGCCGGAGCAGAAGTCCCACGCCCGGCCGTTCGACGCCGACTGGCTGAAGTTCACCAAGACGCCGCCGGCGAAGCTGCAACAGGCAGCGGGTGCCACCATCGAGATTGTGTGCGAAATGATGGGATCCCAGGTGCCCAGCATCCAGTGGGTGGTGGGTCATCTCCCCATATCGGAGGTAAGTCTCGAAGCTCAAACCCATTTCAGACGGAGCCCTTTTGACTTACTTCTTGTTATCCAACAATCCAGATCGACGATCTTGAATCCAACCAGGTGTCTGAGGATGCCCCTAGTGCCATTGTTCGTGTGCGATCGGTCCACATTATCGATCACATGCTAAGCGAGCCCCGCACCTACACCTGTGTGGGACGCACTGGCTCCAAGACCATCTACGCCAGCACCGTCGTCCACCCGGCTCGCTCCTCCGAGATCATGGCGAGGGAGAAGCAGTATCCCGGCAACCAGAAGCCTCGCATCATCTACACCGAGAAGACGCATCTGGACCTGATGGGCTCCAACATCCTGCTGCCGTGCCAGGTGCACGCACGTCCCAGGGCCGAGATCACCTGGTTCAACAACGAGAACCAGAAGGTTGTCCAGGGTCATCGCTACAAGATCCTGTCCACCGGTCATCTGCTGATCTCCGACATCAAGTGGGAGGACATGGGCAACTACAAGTGCCTGGCCCGCAACGTAGAAGGACACGATTCCGCCGACACCTTCGTGTACCCCGTACTTGTAAGTAGACCTTATACCTCAATACTTATGAAGCCTATATTGTTTATATTTTTCTAAGCTAGTTACTAATTAATTTTTTTTATTCTTTATTTTTTTTGCAGAAGGAGGAAGACTAAAGATCCAAAAACCCAAAAACCACATAAGGCTATTGAATTGACGACGGGAATATTCATCTAGTTAGTTAGATAGATCAAATGCCTTCGAAGATGCGTGAAAAATAACAAAAAAGGAAATAATGATTAGAAAAAAAAAAACCCAAAAAAATATAGATGGAGTCATACGATTTACAGTTATGTACAATTTAGGCTAAGATCCAGGTAGCTCGTAATTAACCGTATCTAATGCCGGCTTAGACTAAAGATTTTCTATCTCAATACCCTCGAATGGCACTCGAATTGTATCAACTTATATACGGTCTATGTATGGTATATGTTTTTCTTCAATTTTAGTTCTTAAGTTATCGGCTTGTAATCACGCTTGTAATTTTTTTTTTTATTATTCGTTTCTGTAAGTAGCAATGATTGTTCCTAGCGATTCAGGCGAGCTCTAGTTAACGTATTTAAACTAATTGGCCGTTTACTTAATCGGGAGGCGCTTCTGGCAGCCCCCCCCGGAGACAACTTGAAACCAATGAACCATAAACACTCCAATCAATCTGTTAATCAGCCAGCCAGTCAGTCAGTCAGTCAATCACCCAATTCGTATTTACATACACCATTCAATCATTTCTACAATTAATTTATTGATCGACCTTAAATTCATCCCGCATTGCAGCCCATATAGAATCACGGAAAAGTATTTAACAGCACGGAATTAATCAGTTTCATAAGCTACCCCCCTCCACCCCCTGCCCTGACTATATATTTTAATTTGTAAGCTAATTGAACTGAACTATATATGGTTTTATAATTTGTTTAGTTTGTAATCAACTTTCATGAGATGTTTTTTGAATAAATAAAAGAAAAGAAAATAAATACAACAATCTGTGTCTTTAGTAATTCTCATCATCACTTTATTGACAGGATCTAAGGACTACAGGGATAGACATTATATATCTACAGAAACGCGTACACACAATTACGTACAAGTTAGTTTGAACGACGATACAATCTTAACAACAAATAACGAAACTTGGGATCTATTAAGATCCCCTTACGTACACAAAGATGATGTATATATATTCTATATATTGCTGGATATCGATATAGGTGTTTGTTCTTATTAGGGGGCGAGGAGTCTAATCTCGGGACCCCCGTTGTGCGCTGTACAAAGCGAGGGTACTAACTGTTTGGTAAAAATCTACTCAAGATTCACCTTCAATATTGTCACTTGTCTTTGGAAATCGAAGAGTCTGCAAAGATACTGAAAGATGTGGATATTTTCGGGGATAGCTTCAGGGAAGAATCTGATTCTGGCACTGGTATTGTCTATGGGTCTCTTGTGGACGGACTCTAATACTTTCAATTGGAAATGTTCGTTTAATGACTTGCGGATCACCATGTGATCGGATTTAAGAGTTGTCTCTACTTAATGGGACAAAAATCTCTGGTCTCTATTTTTGGTTTCGGTTTCGGGACCTGCAGGCGAAAAGGGGGCGGTACGGTGGAACGAAAGTGTTTCTCTTGATCACTCGAGCAGCTGGATGTTGAATCGCCTTGCCGCTGTTGCCGGGCAGATTTTTTTCTTTAAGATTTCAGTTTTGGGGCTTTTTTTTTTTTTGGGGCCAATTTAAAAGTCGATCGTGAGTCAGTGAGTAGTTTGCCAAGTGCGGCGTCGTCGTCGTCAACCAGTTTCCACCGCCATGCTCCCTTTCCGTCTCATGCCGCATGTCCGGCACACAAAAAAATTAAAGAGATATCTCCTCGTTCGTAAATGATTGATGATTTATTCAGATTTTCATCGGCTAACCAAAGAAGAGTGTGCCATCGATCATGCCTGGGAGGCCCAGGCCCAGTCCCAGGCCCGATCGCAGGACAGGTGGTATTCCAGCCTCCTGCCACCTCCCAGCTACGCACGCACATCGATGTGGAAAGAAATACTGCTCAGTTGGCACGGAAATTGTGGGAATGCAATAAATCTACTGGCTGTGCTACATGGAATATGTTTAGAAACACACTTGTCAACATTTTTCTGGGAATTATATGCTCGTCAAAGGCTTTGCTTTTGGCACGTCACGTAGTGTAGAAATTCTTGTAGACAAGAAACGAAATAATGACAAATCACAACACACAAACTAAATCTAGGGTGGATTCTAACACAAAATAAAAGACTGACAAAGTGGACAACTTATTCTAGATTGGGGCTAAAATTCGGAAATGGGTGAAAGTGCAAAGTCTGGCACTCTAGCTGTCTCTAAACGTTGAGCACGGAATGCTTCTTGTTGCCCCCGGAGGGCAGTTGCACGGCGATCACCGCCAGACGACCGTCGCGGAGCGGTGCCAGGATGTGGGTGTTTCCCGGCGTCACCACTACCGTCTGGATGGGCACATGCAAGGGAATGTCAAATACGGGCTTCAATCTGCAAGAAATTAAAGGTAAATGGTTAGTTTTTCGTTTAAAATTGGATGAGTTTCTTAGGGATTTTATTTTGATGGAAAATGATTTGGAATAAAGTATGGGAGATCGTTTTAATCTAGGGGTTTATGGGCTCTAAATAGTTTTTATTGATTATATAAATGCTACAGCATCTCTAGAATATTGTCCACAAAGTTTTGATGGATCTGAGCTATATTCACGAAGATATAGTTTTGAGGCTAGATTCATTTACATTTTTAAAATCATGTTTTCAGAATCTGTGGGTATTATTTCTTGAGAACTACATCTTGAGAACCGATCAGTCAGAAAATTGTAAATTAAATTTTATTGGAAAATTTAGGATTGGAAAAATGAAGGTTCTACATTGTAGGCCAATGATTCAAGATACTTCTAGATCATTTAAAATTTCAAAACATATTTTAAAAGCAACATCCATAAAAATGCAATAATATAAAATATTCTTAGCAAGTTTAAGGAAATTTTCAGCTCGTATTACTCTTAATTAAATTATTTTTATGTTTACAATGTAATTTACTAAAATGCGTGTTGGAAAGAAAAACATCTAAACTTTGCGCCGGCAATCAATTACACTTTTTATTAAAGTGTTTACTCACCCGTGTAGCCTGCTCATGGTGATGTCGCCGGCGTCATCGGCCACTACCAGATAGTCGGAGGCACTGGCCAGTCCGGTGACCCGGCCGGACACGTACTTGGAGCCCAGGCTGCATCCATTGATGCTGTACACATGCACCGAGTGCGAGGTGTCGTCGAGGGCGCTAAACGCAATATGACCTGCGGATAAAAGGGATACCCAGAGAGATATATTATTGAGTTTAGTTTTCGTACTATGAATGTCTATGAGATTGCGGAATATGGGGCATGGAAGTCCATTTACGCACTACGCAGTGGAATAGTAGTATTCTATATGTACATAGACGAGGTCCGGCCCACTCGTCGCTGATAACCTGACATCTCCCGAAGACATTATCGCATGGCGACATAAAGCCACTCACACCGAGGCAGTCATCGAGGCATGGAATGCGTAGTTGCTCTTATCTGGGAGTGTATCTCTATCTACAGCATGGTCCCTATCTGTAGTATCTGTATCTGTATGCCAATGCCAGCCGGCGAATTTTGAAGATCCAGCTCCATTAAAGACCCTAGATTGGATCTGAATGAACTTCCTAATACGACCTGAGCTCTGATATAACCAGTAATAACCGTGTCTGGTTGGTTTTGGCCAATCTACATTTTCATTCAAAAAAAAAAGAAAGAAGGCCCCAACTTTCAACGAAACACTCTATATGCACAGACATATATATTTCTATATATCTTGATCTTTATTGGGGTCTCGACGTCGTCGTCGTCGCTACTACAACTATTTAATAAATTTTTCTGCTGCGTCTTAAGAATTAAAAAATGAATGAAACGCCGAGTGAGCGTTCTTTTTACGCATGAGGCAGGAGCGGAGCGGGCGGGTGGAGGAGAATGGGGGCCATTGGGTGGCAGAGATGATACAGGAGACGGGGGAGGGCGAGGTGGCAGGGGCAGAATGATCGGTGGGTCGTGTGACTCTGTGACGCGATTCGTTCGCGGGGCTCGTTCTCCTCTGATTTCTGATTTGATTCCATTAACGTCGTTGGGTTAATGCCGGAGAAGCGATGTGCTTTATGGTTTCCAATATGTACATTTTAAACACATATATATATATGTGTGTGTATATTTATTTATTGGTGCTGATAGTCTATAGAAGGAAAGGGGGGACTGGCTCTCTTCATTAGCGGCAATGTAATTGATTGGAGGAGCTGCAAGCCGACAAGAACGCAATTAAGTGCCCATCATTGCCCTGGAAACTGAACCGTATTGACGTTTCAATATTCTCTTATTCGGTTTTTGATTTTGATTTCGATTTCAGTTTTGATCCTCAACCCGGCCGGACTGCCGGATGTTGCGAATTTATAATCACAAATATTAATAATTTATTCGATAAGGTGACGGCTGCACTGGCTCTTTTGGGTGCACATGTTTATGTACATTATATACAACCGGGTGAAGGGGGTCTCTCTCCCATTCTATATATAATATATACAATATATGGTGGTGGTATATCAAATACCAAAAAGCCCAAGCTGATTGCCCGAAATCGAAGAATCTATATGGTTGAATATTTGAAGAACTCGATATGCAGGCCCTGGCGCCTTCGATTGACGTATTTCGCACATGGAATGCCGAGCAATTATATGAATTTCGATTCATATGAACTCGTATTATCACCAATGACCAAATATTGTATAACAAACATGTCAGGGAGTTGTATATAAACTGATAATTATATTACAATTCATCCATGCCTGTTTATTGATTTAAATATTTTAGATTTCTGGAAAAGCTTTCTACTTCCACCGCCTATTTCCCTCTTAATAAATCTCTATAAAACTAGTGCTAATCTCTTAATGAAATACTACTAGTCATTGCCACTAAGAGGCAGCTAAAAACTATAATAATCGTGATAATTAAGACCAATTAGTCTGGACGAGTGTCAAAAAAAACCCGTGAGTTATTGATACAGGTCGGGCCATTATTCTTCGTTATCGAATACTATTTAACGATGGTATAATTTTCGCAATTGGAAAGGCTCTAAATTGGATTGAAGGAACCTTGACAGTTGCTATGAGGAACAGTGGGAAAGACCGGGTTATAATTTTTTTTTTTGTTGTATGACGGCCCCCCGCCGTCAAATTCCCTAACCTTGTCTGTTGGCTTTACGATCTCGCGTCCATTGTTTAAGAATGCTTTAATTTGGATTAATGCCCTGTCGCCATAGCTGCACCGCAAATATCGCAGCGATAAGATATAGCCCAGCAGTGCATGGGGCAAAGTCGGACGATTCTACATTCTGTAGAATGTGTTCTGATTGTGATCATAATGTGTATAATGTGTGGGGACAACGCACATGGCCACACAATCACGTGATTCTTGTCGCCTCACTTATGTGGCAATTGTCGAAGGCAGTTGAGGCACCTCACCTCCGTCACCTCCGGCACCTCCGATTAAATTGTTTGATTGCTTGCTCTCCAAACATAATGGGACAACGACGTAGTAGCACGTGAGGCATACACCCCTCTCCCAAGCGACGACTCATACTCCTCCTCCGTCCTCCTCGTTCTTCAGATCAGATTAGGGGACGGTAAAGAGAACAAAGTCTTGGCCACCTGGCTGGTGGAGTAGAATTTCCAAGATTACAAAGACTCATTCCGAAATCTAACAATTCTGGTAGGGAGTATGAGTCAGCTAGGCATATTTCTTTTTTCATAGAAATTCTTTTCTACTGACGAGTGCTCTATCAAAGTCAGTTATTTAATATAATGTATTATTATAGATAAGTAGTCTAGTTTTTATACTAAACTACTATGAATTTAAAAATTCAAGAAACTTTAGTTAAACATAATCAAAAATTAGAAATTTTAACAATATATTAAATTTCCATTTCAATAATTCTATAAAATATTGAAACATTTTATTAAACAAACACCAGAAACCCCTATTTTCACACCACAATTACCAAACATTCCTTCCAAGCCCAACCAAAAACTGTAGCATACTTTTCTGCTCCCTACCCAATTGCTCTCAAACTGTTTCGATTTAAAAACTCACCATGATACGAAACCGTTACGAAGGATATTTGCACACAGGACTCTGTGCAACCAATGGGCTTAAGTGTTCTCACAAATTGACCCTCTTGCAGGGTATAGACATTCACAGTACCATCCTGGAACGAAAAGGATTCATTTATAAATAAAGGCTTCAAATCCAGGCTACAAAACTATCCTTACCAGCGATCCAGAGACCACCAGATCCAGTTCCGTGTAGATGGCCACACTGGAGATGGCATCGTCGTGACCATGCAGCACTGTCAGTGGCTTGGGAGAGTAGCTATTCTGGGTGTTCAGCTGGGTGATGGCCTGGAGATGCGACTGACCCTGCAGCGCATGCACCGGAATGTTGCTGGTGGAGGGACCTCCACCCTGGTGGTTCGACTGGATGCTCCAGACTATGCAGGTGCAGTCGCGGGATCCTGTGACCAGATACGAGCCGCAGTTATCCAGAGCTATGCACGTAATGATGTCCAGATGGCGGGTGACCGAAGCCAAGGCCTTTCCCTTATTGACGTTGTAGACTCGCAGGGAGTTATCCCAGATGCCGCCGGCGTAGAGCAGCTTGCCATCAGTGCTCACCGCAAAGAGCTGGGAGTGGGGTGGCTGGGAGGGATGGTACGGACCAAACACTCGCTTGCGGTTTCTGTTAAAAATAGATTCCAGATTAGTTTCATGAGAAATTATGGAAGAAAGGTCCTGAAGCCTACTTGAGATTAGCTGTGGTGGCATCAATTTCCAGGAGGAATCCCTGATCCTTGTCGAACGACAGCCAAGAGTTGCAGCCCAGTATACTAGACTTAGATACACTGACCAGGACATCGGGACTCAGTTGGAGGAAAGATCTCGGTGGACTACGCGGAGGACTCAGGTAGACAATGGGATCTTTGGGCGTCGACAGTTCGCAGTAGTACTGAACCACTTTGTCCAGGAACTGGGTGAGATCAGGACGTCGTAGCTCTGCTCGGAGTAGCTTCAGACATGTCTCATCCTGGGTGAGGCGTCGAGGATGAGGCTCCCGAAGTAGCTGCGATGGCACCTGGCCAAAGTTATTAATCATTCCTACAAAGACATACGGATTATAGAGAACATATTACATTTCATGCAAAAAATAGGCCACCTTCAACTGCTTCCCGTTCCACAGGATTGGTGATCTTGTCTAGATCCACTGCCCCTTCATAAGAGCAATAGTAAAAGACGTTCAGAGCCTCCGCAGCCTTGGGTCCTTTCTGTTTGTAGCCAAAGATCAAGTCGATCCAGTGGTGCAAGTGCTGGCTGACGTACTCCGACTCCAGAGCCCGCCGGTGGATGGCAATGAACTCCTCGGGAGTGGTGGCCCAGGCAGGCAGTATGACATCGTCGACCTTTTCTTTGGTGATTTGCAAGTGGCCCAAATCGAATCTGCAGGGGGAATAGAGGTTTATCTAAAGATCTTAACTCCAAGACTCCATTCACTAACTTGTTCATGTTTTTGAGAAACTCTGGGAAGTAAAAGAACTCGGGTATCAGCTCCTTTACATCATTGGGATTGTCCATGAGCAGCTTCCATGTCTGGGGTATCGAATGGAACTGCCTGTCGGCCACATCGAAGCGTCCACTCTGGAGGTCAATGTGCAGCGAGGTGAAGGGCTCAACGCGGAGTAAATAGTGCAACACGCCGGCCGAGTTGGAGTAATGGGTTCCGTAATGGAACTTGGGTATGGCACCGGAAGGATCCTCGAACGAATCGTATTTGCTGCGTACTTCAGCCTCGTTTTTGGGGTTTATCTAGGGAAGATAGATTTATAAATTAATTATTAATTATATAAGAATATTATGGTAAAAGCTTACGCATCCAATGGGCTTGGATAAGTCACGGAATGATTTGGGATCTGTTAGATCCAACACGTCGCTTGTATAGTCAGCGAGGATCCAAGGGAAGACAGGGTATTGGCTCAGGTCATTGTAGGATCGACCTGAGGGGAAAAATAGAGTATTATTAAATAGACTTGATGATGGAATATAAGCCCTTATCTCACCTGCAATTGTGTTCAGGTACATTAGGTATTCAAAATTGGAAATCTCTCGATTGATCCACCTCTGGGTGAGACCCGAAGCCCTGAGTAGCTCAGCTGGGGATCTTCCGGATCCATACAGAATGTTTGGCAGAGGAAGACCCACAATTTTTGTGAAAACCTTGTTACGAGTCTGCAGGGATACATTAAATTATAAACTTTTGTTGTAAAATATTAAAAATAAAATTAAACTACCCACCTTTGTTGTGAAGTTCAGGAAGTAACTAGTCTGATCCACCAAGAAGATCTCCAGAGCACTCCTCCGCAGATTGTACTTTCTGAGATGCACTTCCCGTATCTTGTTTGTGGAGAACCGGAAATCGTGTTTGGAACCATCCTCTGTCGGTGGACTCAAGTCCACGAAGGTAAAAACGCTTTGGTTGACCTCTATGCGACCCTTGACCTTGGTCATCAGTGTGATAAGTTCGCAGTCCTGCGAAATGACTAGCTTCTCCAGGGCCACATCCTGCTGGGCCTGGCTATCGATCAGCTGCTTCAGCTCCTCCTCCAACTGGGAGCTCTCGTCGTCCGCCAGGAAGTCCCGCACCACAGCATTCTTGATGGTGGAATCAAACTCGGAGATTTCCCTAAAGAGTAAAGAAAAATACAGTAAAGGATGTGTCTAATTCTGAACAGGATTAGGGGTTACTTGGTGTCATAAGCACTGGTGGCATTGTCCCGCAAGTTGGCTGCGTTTTCGTGCTTGTTGGGATATAGTTGGGGTTCCAGTTTAAGCCGCATCCTGGCCACATTTTCGTGGGGCGATAATTTCCAGAATTCTTCGTCGAGGTCTCTGGAAAGGTTAGGAACAAAAGATTATTCTTTATGAGGATTTGGGGGATCTTTTCTTAAAGAATACCTACATATTCTTAAAGAATAAAATTTATCATGATAAGTCCCATCCTTATCCCAAAACATTATAACAAATTTTTTTATGACCATTAAAAATGTGGTGAATTATTGGGAGCGAGGATATGGCGCACCGCGGAGTCCATATCTTTGCCATTTTCTATCTGATTCTGGGGGGGAATACCTCAATCGATTTGTAGATCGATTCTTCACAAATCTGCATCAAAATCTAAGAACAAAATATTTTTTAGATTTTTTGTCAAATTTTCTAGGGAATCCCCTTCAAGATGTGGCGAATGCATGGAATATGGATATGGGCCACCGCGAAGTCCATATCTTTGCCATTTTCTATCTGATTCTGGAGCGGAATACCTTAAACGATTTGTGGATCGATTCTCCACAAATCTGCATCAAAATCTACGAAAAAAATATTTTTAGATTTTTTGTCAAATTTTCTATAGGACCCCCTTCAAAATGTGGAAGATCCATGGGAGCGTCGATATGGCCCACTGCGAAGCCAATATCTTTGGAAATATCTTTCTGATTCTGGAGCGGAATACCTTAAACGATTTTTGGATCGATTCTCCACAAATCTGCATCAAAATCTACGAAAAAAATATTTATTAGATTTTTTGTCAAATTTTCTATAGGACCCCCTTCAAAACGTGGGAAATCCATGGGAGCAGCGATTCGCCCCACTGCGAAGTCTATATCTTTGGCAATTCTTATCTGATTCTGCAGCGGAATACCTTAAACGATTTGCGGATCGATTCTCCACAAATCTGCATCAAAATCCTAAAAACAAAATATTTTTTAGATTTTTCTCCACAAATCTGCATCAAAATCCTGGAACAAAATATTTTTGAGATTTTTTGTCAAATTTTCTATAGGACCCCCTTCAAAATGTGGGAAATCCATGGGAGCAGCGATTCGGCCCACTGCGAAGTCTATATCTTTGGCAATTCTTATCTGATTCTGGAGCGGAATACCTTAAACGATTTGCGGATCGATTCTCCACAAATCTGCATCAAAATCCAAGAACAAAATATTTTTTAGATTTTTTGTCAAATTTTCTAGGGGACGCCCTTCAAAAATCCATGGGAGCCTGATCTGCTCCCATTTATATCCTAAAAATTTTAAACACTTATTATTATTTTTCAAAATTTTTTTTATTTAGTTTTTTGCGATGAAAGTTATTTTTTAAGCACGACAATGATTAATCGAATATGTACAGATGAAAGTCCTTTGTCGAGTTGCGGTCAATCCTTCCTTTTTCTCCTCCTTTTCCTTAGACGACGATGGGGGAAGCCAGGGTCTTGGCGAAGGCGGGAGCCACTGGGGCAGCAGCCACCACTGGGGCCACGGGAGCAGCGGCCACGGTCTTGGCAAGGACTGGAGCCACTGGGGCAACGGCCACGGGCACATCCTTCTGGACCACAGCGTTGAATCCGTTGATGGGATCGGCGTAGTAGCTGACAATGCGGCGGGAACCGTCGGGCTCGATCAGGGAGTAGGATCCACGGACGATGTCACCATCACGGGTCTCCTCCTGGGTCTTGGAGTCACCGGTCAAAGTGTCCTGGACGTCGTAGGCGAACTTGTACTGGGGGTGGGCATCGACGATCTCGGTGGCAATGGGAGCAGCGACTGGAGCGGCCAGAGGAGCAGCAACGGGGGCAGCCAGGGGAGCGGCAACTGGAGCAGCCAGAGGAGCAGCAATGGTCTTGGCCAGAACTGGAGCAGCCACGGGAGCGGCCAGAGGAGCAGCCAGAGGAGCGGCGAAGGGAGCAGCAGCATAGGTCTTAGCCACCAGGGGAGCAGGACCCGCTACATAGGGAGCAGCACCTGCTACATAGGGAGCGGAGTACGCAGCCGGAGCAGCAAAGTACGGAGCAGCTCCGAAAGGTGCCGAGTAGGCCAGAGGAGCGCCCAGGGGAGCAGCCAGAGGAGCGCCCAGGGGAGCAGCCAGAGGAGCGCCCAGAGGAGCCGCCGCCAGGGGTGCGGAGAAAGGCGCCAGACCAGCCTGAGCGGAAAGGGCCATCGAGGAGAGGACTGCAACAACCTGCAAGATGTAAGGAATTCCAGCTTAGTCCCAGGAGCTAGATCCACCTCCGTTAATGTCACTCACCGTCAGAGGATTCATTGTGCGGCTTGGGTGGGGTTTGGTGCGATTGTCACTGTCGGTTAACGAAAATGAACTGACATACCTTGGCCAAAAAAACGACGACTTTTATACCCAAGATGCGTTCGCGAAATTTGCATGCGTATCCATTGCGTATGAGGGCTACTGCCCTCCGTCCCTGCCCACTCCTCCCCTCCCACACAGCGGCACATCCCACAACGTACATATTTGGGGCCTCTTCCTAGCCAGAGTTTTTGGCCGCGTCTACGTCTGGTATTTGATCCAAATTCGCGGCACGTAGTCCAATTTCCAGTCGACGACTTGCGGCGGCTGCTCCAAGTTTTCATTTTTATTTGCCACTGTTTTTGCCTTGTGCGGATCGAAAGTGAATGCGATTTGATTCCGATACATATTTTGGAGCTATACAGCTACCGGGGCTATATAGTTTCGCGGTAATTGTCATGCAGGCTCCATGCCATCCCTCCAATGGCAAACCCATCATTTTCTTTTACACCAAAAATCACACGAAACTGTGTAATTATTTTATTTTGAAATTATGTGGGGATATGAAGGGAGAGTATTTTAATAAAATTTTGGACTTGATCTAATTTTAATTCCCTAACAAATGGAAAGTTTTTAATGAGTATTACAAGCAGTAATTGATTACAATTTGTACATAATAAGTAGACGCTTTGATTTCACTCGACCAATACAAACTGGGTCAATATGATTTGGGAATATCGATGAGGTTACAGATCGATTAAGTCTAGATCCTGACTTGTAGCTTGTCTTTAATTTCTTGTTAAGAAAATGTATAATTAACATTTACAAGCTACTGCTTAAAGATTCCCCATTGGATTTGGTGCTGTAACGGCTGCCAAAGTGCGTGACTCTTTTCCGAAATGCATCCAACGACCTTGCTACTTGTTGGCTCCGGAGTCCGGACTTTTGGCTCCACGTCATGCCGAGAGAAACTGAGAAATCCGGAGAAGCCGCGAGAGCCGGGAGCGAGCACAACTTGGCAGTGTCTACCGGAAAGAGCCACCGAAAAACAAGTCCAATTTGGCCAATGCGATTGGAATGCTCCACTGCCATAGATGCAGCAGTTCCTTGCCCAATCCGTCCGAGATGAGAATTAATTAAATGTAGACGAAGTAGTAGTGGCCACTGCCACTTAGCTGCCAATTGTGGGCAAGGTCGCAGCGGTTAGAGCTTCCAAATGCGAGTTGCCTTTTGGCCCGATCGAGGCAATTACGGTGGTTAAGTGGCTGCAACCTGAGAGCTCTCGGGCCAGTTCTGGCCAAGTGGCAGAGTGGCTAGTGGCTGGTGGCTGGTGGCTAAGTGGGCGCTGGCCCGGTCGAGAGGAAATGGTTTCGAGGGGCTCACATGCAGCGGGGTGATGGGGGTAATGCGTGTGCGAGTGCGTAATTGCGCCTTCCCACCGCCCAGGCCCACCTCCTGCTCCGCCACCTCCACCACCAATCGTGAGTTGCCATTTTCGTTTTTTTAATTAAACGAGTGGCGATCAGCGATTGATCTTGTTTTGATGCTCTAGCTAAGGTTTGCGTAAAAAAAAAAACACTCATACGACCCGTTGGTTACCACTTTTATAACTAAAGAACACACGGCGTATGCGTGATATTCTGATTCTGATTTTTATTGATGCAAAATTGATATAGTTTGTGATTAGAAGGTGATTAAATTTATAAATTGGGAATTGACTAAGTTGAAATGGTCTATTTTATACAAAAACTTGAAGATTTATGTTTGATTTAAAGAAATAAATGAAAATGGATATTAAAGTTTGAATAGTTTTACAAAAAATATCATAATGTCTACGATGAGTTATTATTCTTTTGTTCAGGATAATATTTTCACAATTTTAAGAACAAGCTTTTAAAAAGAAATCTTTAAATTTCTTGTAATTTTTACCATAAGATCTACCATATCTACCATAAGATTTAAAATTGACCTTTTATTTCTCAAACTTGAAAAACGATAAAGGATCAAGAGTCAAGGATCTCTTTTCTTATAACTAGTATATTTTATAAATATCCCATATTTTATCCTTTATATATTTATATATATCTTTTCTTTAGACTTTTCTTTAGAAAAGAAACCTTAATTAATTACTTATTAATTTAATAATAATAATTGAAGAATTCTGAAGGAAATGAAGAATTTCCTAAAGGGTTTTTAAATTATTTTAAAATATTGTTATTGATATTTGAGATTCCAATATTTATTCTCACTAACTAAGATAAGAAATACCACTAACTTCCATTAGTTACAGATAAGGGTATTGCAGACAGCACTTCACCTGGTTAGCCTTCTTTTCCTGTTGCCACCACTACCTCAATATGCCACAACTTGGGGCAAATATTACATCAGACACAGTTCGGACGCAGAACCTGAGAATGTGCCGAAAAAAAATGGAAACAAATGGAAAACCAACCAAAAAAACGAAACCAGATTGGGCAGCGGAAAACGGGTCTAGTCTAGAGGTATTGGAGGCACATATCTGGAGGTATCTCTTCGGGCAGCGCTCTTGAACGGACTTAAACGGTTTTGGTGGCTGGTGTGCTGGTGGCTTAGTGAGTGGTATTCCATTGAGAAAAGCAGCTCCACACAGAGTACTCATGATGAAATCCGCACCAGAAAACATGAAATCAGCCGGGGTCTGGGGTGCAAGATCGAGATCGAGATCGAGCAGCAGCCGTCGTCGACGTCGTCGTCGTAGTCGTCCAAATGAGCAAACGCAATTGTCACTCTGCCCATTAGATTGTCCAGTTTTGTTTTTTTCGCACCGGCTAGCGCATATAAAACTGAAGAGCTGGCTGAAAATGCATCTCACATCTGAGCCGAGTTCTCGTAGTGCAGACACCTCCAAAAATCCGAGCTCCCACTCAAAAAAGCACATCCTTCCAGCGCCATGTTTGCCCAGGTGAGTGCTCCAGGATAACCAGCCCAGGATTCTTAATCGATTACTCTCTTCCGCAACTTTAGACTCTGTTCGTTTTGGGACTGATCCTGTCGGTGGTCGTTGCCATTCCCATTGATCCCTATGGACTCTCGGCTCCGGCCATCTCGTATGCGTCACCCAAGCTACTGGCTGCCCCGGCCATTTCCTACGCTGCACCCAAGCTGCTGGCTGCTCCCGCCATCTCGTATGCCGCCCCCAAACTCCTGGCCGCGCCCACCATCGTCCAGCACGCTGCTCCCGCTCTGATTGCCGCTCCGGCTCCAGTGGCCGTGGCCAAGGTGGCCGTCGCCGAGCCGTACGATCCCAATCCTCAGTACAGCTTCTCGTACGGAGTGACTGACCACCACACCGGCGACTCCAAGCAGCAGGAGGAGACCCTGGTGAACGGCGTCGTCCACGGCAGCTACTCCCTGGCCGAGCCCGATGGCACCATCCGCAAGGTGACCTACACCGCTGACAAGATCAACGGATTCAACGCCGTCGTCGAGAAGAAGGGCGTGGCCGCCGTGGCCATTGCCAAGCCCGCCCTGGCAGTCGCCGCCGTTCCTGCCATCACCAAGATCGGTTACGCCTCGGCGCCGGGCCTCAGCCTGGGTGGATACCACTAAGTGGCTTTCCTCCTCCAGGACACACCCATCGTCGATGACAAACTCTCCGGCCTAGTTCTAGGACCTGTTGTTAAATAGTTCTAATGCATCATCACCATACCCGAGTAACCCCAATCTTCTCAAGCTCAAACCCGAAACACAAGGACGTGCGTGCTGTTGCCCCTCGCTGTTGACCCACATCCCTAGTCCTTATGCTGGTCCGATGATGGAACCACCACAGATTACGTTTAGGGATACCGTTCTGGGGATCTGGGGAACGGCTATCGGCCACTTAGTTAGTATCTGCATTTACTGAATAAAAGTTTCGGTACAAAAAAACATAAGCCTTTATGATTTTAATTTAAAAAAATTTAATATTTTGGAATATTTTTAAGCCAAAAATTCCCCTCTTAACCATAACTGTGATCTCCTCCAAAGTGATTCATCATTTCTTCTTATAGTTCGCTCAACTTTGGGGTAGGTCTACAGCTTTATTTCGAATCTGTATCATCTGGAATGCCAATCACGTAGTACTAACTATATTTACGGTTATCACAATTCATATTGGAGACTCCGCCGTCCCATATGGCTTCGAGAATTGTGCAAGTTGGTGGCATTTGTTGGCACGTCCATGGAGGAAACCTTTGGGGGGGCATTACGTCAGCCAAATGGAATCGTTTTTGGCAACAGTTGCCACACGATACATGGCATCGGTACTGCTGGGGGTGGCAGGCCCTTTATAACCCCGATCCATGGGCGGGTTAAAGACAGTTCCGACTGCTCAGTCCAACCAGAAACACTTTAACCCACAAATCAGCTATTATCCAGCAATAAACTTAGCTATGGCTTTGATCAAGGTGAGTTTTTTGGATTATCCTTTCTGTTCTCAGGGTCAATGAATACTGCTACAATGGATATAGACTAGTTTGAAGTTAAATAACTTATAAAAACAACAAATAATCTTATTTTTCAATAAAGATCACCATCATCTGCTGCGCTCTGATTGCCGCCATCGAGTGCGCCCTTCTGCCGGCAGCTGTGCCCGTGGCAGGAGTTCCCATCAACACGGAAGTGGATCCCCATCCCCAGTACGCCTTCGCCTACAACGTCCAGGATGCCCTGACCGGGGATAGCAAGAGCCAGCAGGAGGTGCGTGACGGAGATGTGGTCAAGGGATCGTACTCGGTGGTGGATGCTGATGGATCCCTGCGCACTGTCTTCTACACCGCCGATCCCATCAACGGCTTCAATGCGGTGGTGCAACGCGGTCCGGTTCCCGTGGCAGTGGCTCCCCGCCCACTGGCTGCCCCACTTTTGGGCTAAGATCCTGATCGGCTAGAGCTAATAGAACTGCTGGAATCTAGCTTGTACATAACTTATTATAATTATCTGCTCCATAGTCCCATCTAAAGTCATGAATAAGTTTTCTAAGTCTTTAATAAACTCAGTAAGAAAACCACTTATTTGTTTTATATTTTTTTGGAATATTGGTAAGCGATTTCGATGACAATAATTGACATTACATCACTTTAAAGTCTGGAAAACATTTTCCAAAACAGCCAACACGTTTAATGGCACTCTCTTGTAGATGAAAAATTAAAAAAAAATGCAAACTAGTTTCGATTTACAAGCACACGTCTATTTTATTAATTAATGAGTGGATCGGGCAAGCTCAAGGCCACTGGCTGTTCATTTTACGCAAATTTTCAGCTGGCTTAGTAGGTGATAATGAACTAAATTAAAGCACCTACTAAAAGCTGATTAAACTGGTACTTTTTCAAGATCAAATATTAGTTTCATTCATGTGGAGAGAAGGTGTAAGATCTTGAAACTAATCACTCACTAAGAGTGATAATCATTCGATTGTAAGACCTATAAGACCTTAATGGCTTTTTGGGGAAATCGCCCCACCCTTATAATGGGCTATAATCTTTAATCACTTACTTAAGAAACTTATCTCTGGCTCCAATCTCCCCCATAAACTGTCCCACGCCCAAAGAACTCTTCCACTCCGATTCGAATACATTCACATTCACTCGCCGGCCTGCGACACGCACTCAAATTATTCAATAGCTTAATTGAAAGTAAAAAATCGGCACGAGATGCAATTTTTTCGGATTACGCAAAGCCCCAACCCGAGCATGTCCATAGATGTTGCTGCTGGCGCTGACTGCACCGTAACTGCAACTGCAACTGCAACTGCTGCAGCGACGGAGACGGAGACGGCAACTGCAACTGCAACTGCAACGCCTAACAAGCAGCGGTACGCGTTGAAAATTAGTGATAATGGGCAAAATTGTCCCAATGGCAACAAACCAAAGAAACAGAACATAACACTCTAAATACACAGAGAGAAAGAATGGCTTTTTTTGGTTGAAAATATACCTGTGGTGGGGTAGTTATAAGGTCCTTTGATTATTCTAATATCTTAAAATTCGTAAGAGAGAAATAGATAACAGACATATCTTTTCTTTATTAGTTAACTATAGGATACCCGGTACTTTTTCCCCACCTTTCTTGAACTTTTTTTACATAAAGGCTTGCTAAGATAAATTCTTAAATAATCTTTTATATATATTTTAGACCTTTTCTTGTATAAAATCTAAAAAAAAAAAAAAGAATATTATTTGTAAAATAATGTATATTGAATAATAATATTCTTTATATAGATTATATAGATTTGCATATTTATAGGAGTTTTATAGAACAATTAGAAACATCCTTGATCAATTTAGGGGTTATAGGTGTCTTCATTCCAAATAATTGGCCTTTCTTAGAGTATTTTATCTTAGCAATTTGGTTTTAGAAATTACTTAATATATATCGAGATAATAATAAGGATAATAATATATATCAAGAGTAAATATTTTCCCTAAACTGCTCCATATTTTTCTATAATTGAACCTCAGACCTCTACAACTAGATATACAACTACTGCATGTACATATATTGCTCTTTTCTAGAACTTAAATTTAGCCTAAACAATAAAAAACCTAATTAAATTCTTAAACACATTTCTAAAAATTCTTTAAAATATTTTTCAAAGTGCAATAATAAAGTCTGGTGGAGATTTTTGGGTGGGCGCGGCTTGGAACGCTGCGAGCCAGTTTCGAAGGCTGTGCCACAAACACACCTTTCAACAATCGACTGCTGGGTGCGTGTGCTTGGCTGCGTCGCCCCAATCTGTTGGCCATATAATACATGGGACATGGGCAGACACACACAACCACACACACTCGCTGCACACACACCTGATCCGCCTGGCCACCCGGCCACCAGGCCATCTAGGCTCAAAGAAAAAATAAATTCGCTTTCGAATTGAACTTTTTTGTCACGACGCATAGGCAGCCGGCGTGGGACCAGTTTGTTTTGTCCGGCACTGTCCTCCCCAGACATGCGTATGGCCCCTGCCACCGCCCCCGGGCCACTCTCCTTTGCATCCCGCCCCCCCGGACGACCGACCGCCCCTTTCATGATTGCCATGGGCAGCGAAAAATGAATTATTTTATATTTGTCGCGATCGATGCAAGTATTTTTTTTATTATTTTTTTTTTTTTTATTTTTCTGAGGCAGACAGAGGCCTCGGCTGACTCCACACGCATGTGTACTTTTTAGTTGTTACCATGGCAGTAATATTGTTGTGCTTTTTGGTCTTGTTGCACTTTTTGCATAAATATCTGCGTCAGGCGGCGGCGGCTGCTGCGAATTTTTGGGCTCGGGCTTGGGCAGGCCTATAAAAAGCAATTGTCGATCGTCCACAGAACCACAGAGCGAGTTCATTTGTCAGTCGTGCAACATTCAGAGCAACCTCCAGTTCTCCTCCACCACACACACACAACCGAGTCCAGAATGGCCCAGAAGCTGATCCTTGCCCTGAGCGCCCTCGTGGCGGTGGCCTCCGCCGTGGTGGTGCCCGGACCCGGCCTCGCCTTGCCCGCCTACCCCTCATATCCTTCGCTGGCGCTGCCCAAGCTGGCCGCTCCCGTCTACCCCGCCCTGACCAAGGTGGCTGCCCCTCTGGTGGCCAAGGTGGCTGCCCCCGAGCCGTACGATCCTAATCCTCAGTACAGCTTCAACTATGATGTCCATGTGAGTATAAGAAAACTCTCTTAGGGCTTTTAGGAACTAGGAGGGTATTAGAAGTTCTAAAGGATAATGGACTACAGGAAACTGGAAACAGGATAAAGGATTTTCTTTCCATCCACCCTTTAAGGGTTATTAGGACTACCGCAAAAAAGCATTAATTTCTGACCAGAAGGATATTTAAATTTAAAATTCTAAAACACACAAAATATTTGTGAATAATTCTCTTAAAATATTTAATTTTACCCCTTGCAGGACTCCTCCACTGGTGATGTTAAGAGCCAGCAGGAGACCCGCAGCGGCGACGTGGTCCAGGGCGAGTACTCCCTCATCGAGGCCGACGGCACCCGTCGTATTGTCCAGTACACCGCTGATCCCGTTCACGGATTCAACGCCGTGGTCCACCGCGAAGGAGCCGTGGTTAAGGCAGTGGCTCCAGTGGCCAAGGTCCTGGCCCCCGCTCCTCTCCTCCACGCCGCTCCCCTGGTGGCCAAGGTGCCCGCTTATGGCCCAGCCCTCGCACCCGGATACCCCTCCCTTGCCCACGGATACCCTGGTCTGGCCCCAGCCCTGGCTCCGGCCTATGCCCCGGCCCTGCCCAAACTGGCCCTGCCAGCCCTGCCCGCCCTCTCGCCTTTGGGATACCACTAAGTCATGGATCGAGGAGACCCAGAAGCCACAGGATTGACCGACCTCTTGCCGTTAAAGGACATATCGCGACCAACTTATCCTGCCCGGAGCCTGCAACTGGCCCCGGGCCGAACATAGTCGATAGTAGATGTAGTATTAGTTGAAATGAAAGCGATTTATCGAAATATGTACATACGAATTCACGGACACAGGATACTCGACACAGGAGACAGTCTCCCGTTCAGGTCCTGTGTCCCCTCATCTACACTCACACATTCTCGAGGCCTTTCATTTATGTTTCTTGTCTTTTTAATCTTAAGGCTGTTTGACCGCGATAAAAACTCTATAATCCCCCCAACTTACAGTCCCAATTCTTATTCTTATTTAATCCGAGCCTGTGCACACGAGTAGAACTCGCAGAATGAGAAACGAGATTGCAAATAAACGAACCGAAGCTATGCAAATGGAAATGATACCATTGGTTTTTGTATATTTTGTGGATGGTATTCAGGTATTTAAAACCATCTAGTGTTTTGCAGATCGAGTTCCCTTATATAAAACTGAGAACAAGATTTTGGATATCTAATTTTTTAATATTTTTCAGAGACGTTGCTTTAAAATGCGAGAATATCGTATATAAGTCCTGGGAATGTGCATATCTTAACTAATTTTTAATCGATTCCCAAGCGGAATACATTAAACGATTTGTGGATCGATTCTCCACAAATCTGCATCAAAATCCAAGAACAAAATTTTTTTTAGTTTTTTTTTTAAATTTTCTATAGGACCCCCTTCAAAATGTGGGAAATCCATGGGAGCAGCGATTCGGCCCACTTCGAAGTCTATATCTTTGGCAATTCTTATCTGATTCTGGAGGGGAATACCTTAAACGATTTGTGGATCGATTCTCTATAAATCTGCATCAAAATCTAGGAACAAAATATTTTTTAGATTTTTTGTCAAATTTTCTATAGGACCCCCTTCAAAATGTGGGAAATCCATGGGAGCAGCGATTCGGCCCACTGCGAAGTCTATATCTTTGGCAATTCTTATCTGATTCTGGAGCGGAATACCTTAAACGATTTGTGGATCGATTTTCTATAAATCTGCATCAAAATCTAGGAACAAAATATTTTTTAGATTTTTTGTCAAATTTTCTATAGGACCCCCTTCAAAATGTGGGAAATCCATGGGAGCAGCGATTCGGCCCACTGCGAAGTCTATATCTTTGGCAATTCTTATCTGATTCTGAAGCGGAATACCTTAAACGATTTGTGGATCGATTCTCTATAAATCTGCATCAAAATCTAGGAACAAAATATTTTTTAGATTTTTTGTAAAATTTTCTATAGGACCCCCTTTAAAATGTGGGAAATCCATGGGAGCAGCGATTGGCCCCACTGCGAAGTCTATATCTTTGGCAATTCTTATCTGATTCTGGAGGGGAATACCTTAAACGATTTGTGGATCGATTCTCTATAAATCTGCATCAAAATCTAGGAACAAAATATTTTTTAGATTTTTTGTCAAATTTTCTATAGGACCCCCTTCAAAATGTGGGAAATCCATGGGAGCAGCGATTCGGCCCACTGCGAAGTCTATATCTTTGGCAATTCTTATCTGATTCTGGAGCGGAATACCTTGATCGATTTGTGCAACGATTCTCCACAAATCTGCATCAAAATCCTGGAACAAATATTTTTTAGATTTTTTGTCAAATTTTCTATAGGACCCCCTTCAAAATGTGGGAAATCCATGGGAGCAGCGATTGGCCCCACTGCGAAGTCTGTATCTTTGGCAATTCTTATCTGACTCTGGAGGGGAATACCTTAAACGATTTGTGGATCGATTCTCTATAAATCTGCATCAAAATCTAGGAACAAAATATTTTTTAGATTTTTTGTCAAATTTTCTATAGGACCCCCTTCAAAATGTGGGAAATCCATGGGAGCAGCGATTCGGCCCACTGCGAAGTCTATATCTTTGGCAATTCTTATCTGATTCTGGAGCGGAATACCTTAAACGATTTTTAGATCGATTCTCCACAAACGTTGCTTTTGATTGCCCAATTACAATAATTATTATATCAACACGATTTGTATTTTAAATAAATATAATACAAAACATAAACGTAGCTATTATATATAATTATCCCATCAATAAGAATTGCATATTAAGGCCTAAACGCACTATGAAACCCATATTAGTTTAGCAACTTGTTAAGTAATGGCATTGATTTTATTATATACATACGTGGTTTTTTTCGCTAGAATGGATTGACCTTAGATTAGAACTGGCCCCACCTGAGCGGGTCACAGCTACTGCTTGGCGGGGCAGTGCTGGTGGGGCAACATTGTCCGACCAAGGACCGGGCCACGCACCACAACTGCACTGCGTAATTTGAGAGCCCCCATGCAAAGTGGTCTAAATGAAATTTATGGTCTCTGTTGGCGGATTGGCAATATATTTGATCGAGTAATTGGCAAGTGGCCACAATGGAGAACTGGAACTGGCCGCGCCTTGATCAATTGCTCTCGGATGGGATAATTCGAACCGACCTGATCCGATCCGGTCCGATCTGATCCGAGAACTGACCTCCATCTGAGCCGAACGCCAGAAAGTGGACTAATAGGCCTTCCCCCTTTATAGTCCCCCCTCCCTCTGGTATATTCAATTATGTGCATATTTGTTTATGTAAAAAAAAAACAAACATTTATGGATCGCATAATGAGTTTTCGTTACATTTGCAATTGCATAATACGACAAAGGGGTGGGAGGGGGGTGTAGACGCCTTTGTTGCATTCGACATTAAATGCTTTTGATGATTTAATAAAATTAAATTGAAATGTTAATCGCGGCACGGCATGGGCGGGAAAGTGGCAGTGGATGGCGAGAGAGGGGGCCGCCGGCCAAGACATGGGCGAAAGCGTAAAACAATGGCCCAGGTGCAGTCGGTGAATAAAATACATACAATGGGCCCGACTAGCTTCAGGGTTAGACACATATTTCTCTGTATTTTTGGCTACAAATTAAAGAAAGTTTTTTTTTCTACTTATTTGTAATTGAAATGAGAAATTAGCCTCAAGGTAGTTCTTTGTTTTAACAAGTTTTCACTCTCTCTCTGGGAGTTTAAGCTAAAAATTGGAATTGATTAGAGTTTGTTTTAGAGACTTCGCAAATGTTTTCTAAAGAAAGTGTTCTTTTTTAGCTATTATATCACCTCTTAAAATATATAAATGTTTACCAAATCAATCTCCCATCAAATCAATAAACTCCATAATTAAATTATTACGGATTATACGGTTGTAAACTTTATTAATCAAAACAAGTTTACAAAAAGCCCAGTCATCGTTTTGGACAATATCAACGCCTGCCGTCTATCTTGGCCATCAGATTTTCAGTTAAAACTTTTCGGCTCATAACTGTCAATCAGATAATCGACAATTTGTGGCATTGTTGTGACGGATTTCACCCATTGTGGCTGGGAATGGAACCCAGACGGCGGCCACCAGACGAGAGTGTTGACGGTTTGTGCGATGACTAGGTCTGGTCTGGTCTGAGAGGGATTTGTTTGCATTTGAAGTGAAATTACCGCAGAGCACGGCTTCTGTTCGAATGTTTGACTGTTTGAGTGTTTGGGTGGTTTAGCGGTGTTTGAGTGCCCGAGTGGTTTACGGTGGATTATGGTGGTTGTGCCTCCCGGTGATTAAGTGATCACGCACACCTCTAATGATTCCCCACACGCGGCACGCTCGATTACAATTGTCGCCTCAAAAGTGCGGCAGTGGCAATTAAAATGCTGAATTTGGCGTCATTTCATAATGGGATTGGTTGGGTCTGGGGAATCTTATAAATCTTTCGTACACTGAGACTAATTAATAAATATACTAAAACTTAAAGCTTGATAACTAGACACTTAACTATAAAACATTCCTTATTTTTTATAAATTATTTCTTCAAGTGCATTATTAAATACATTTTTGAAAACTCACCCGGTATACCAGGGACCCCGGGGACCGTACAAGAAACGCTTGGCGGTCTTCCATCGCTTCCGTATGTGACTGTCGATCGTTTTGTGATGCAGTGCCGCCGTCTGGAGGCGTTGCATCTCCTCCACCTGGCGCACCTTCCAGGGCATGTAGATCTTCTGCTGGAACAGACGCCGGTTCTCCGCCTGGTGGGTGGCACGCTGCTTGGAGGCCGCCTTGCAGGCCTCGTAGCACTCTGCCCAGAATCGATTGATGGGCTCCCACAGGTGGAGCTCGATGTCGCGCTGGTAGCGATCATATAGGGGTTTTACCTGTAATTATATGGATTATTTGATAAGTGCATTTAGAGAAATATATTGTTATTATATCCAGTTATAGTATTATAAATCTAAGACTATATTTAAGCCTTTGAAGACTGTGTAGATAATTAATATATTTTATATCTATATTTTTCAGAGCCTTTCTGTATAGATCCTTAGAGATCTTGTATATTTTTATTGATCCCCCTACCCCTAAATTTTATTTTAACAAGAATTAAATAAATAAATTAATCTCTTAGTACTATTTTCTTAAAAACTATACCATCTTAAAACTCTTTTATAAGCCCATATAGCCAATTTTATTTTGATGTAACATTTTGATTGAAAAGTTTATAAAATCATTAAAACCTCATAGATTAAAAGCCTATATTTAACCATAATTACCCCGAAATACAGTTTAGTTTCTAAAAATAAAACCTTTTAATATATTTTTATCTCAATTAGAGACACATGTCGAGCATAATTTTCTCCCAGTCCCCTCATGTTCATGCAACGAAGATGAACGAGGCTGACGATTATGGCAGCTTGGATTTGTTTTCGCTTTCATTCGATTCCAGGTGCCGTCTTCGTGCGTGTTCGAGTTCCATCTGCTCCAGTGGAGATCTCTACACCACCACCACCACTGCTACTCCAGTCCCCGACCCAGTCACGTCCGGTCAGGTTCAAGTTCAACGTGGGCACAGGAAGCGATCGATTGCAGTTGGGAAACAGGTTTGACACGCTCCTCGATGGCGGATGATGGCGTTGATGTTTTGGGGGTTTACTTAACACTGATCCACAGGCGGATCTCTGATGGATCTCTGACTAACTTGGTGAAGGGAGCACGACGGGAGATTCTTTGCATAATCCCTCGAACACTTCAGCTCGTTCCAAGGCACTGGGCACAAATTAAAATATATACCAAATACTGGGTTTGGTGGGGGATTTGGGGGGAAAAACTAAAAAACAAAAGAGCGGAGCAAAATATTTCTGGTAAAATCTCCACCACCACCAGGTGGGTGCATCGGTGGCGGAGACGACGACGCCGCTTTGTCATTCGAGCGACTGGTTCCAGCTGCGCCTCTTCGACGCTTCGAGCCACAAAACCAGACCACTTTCTTGGCGCTCAGCTCAGTTGCCGAAAGAAAGTCCGCCGAGTCGTGACCACCACCGGGAGCAGAGCACCACGAGGAAAATCACAGTTTTAAAAACTAAACACAAACTCTACTAAACTCCACAAGTCTGCCACTCTGGATTCCGACTTGGATTCACAACTTCAGAGTCTCTGCACCGCCCGTGGAAAGTTGTTGATGTTCGCGTCGATTTCGGAATTTTTAGAGTTTAGTTCGCGTTTTGTCTAACCGCTCGAAATGTGCAATTTGTTGTGGCTTTCGGCCTGTTTTGTAAGCGATTAAATAATATGTGAATTAATTATGTTGTCTCGTGTGTTGCCAGAGGGGTAGTATCGTCACCTACCAGAAGGGCCTACCAGAAGTGATATGGGCTTGGTGGTCTTTTGAAAGGGGTTATAAATGGCTTAATATTTGGTATCTTTAGTTTAATATAGAGAGAGGTATATTGTAGAGGGGTTTTGGTTTAGTTTATCCTATCTAATAGGTAGAATCTTATCTCGAAGACTCTAGATAGAATGTCTAAGGAGCGGTACCTACATATATTTATATTTCCTTAGTGAAGGAATCCATTGGCTGGAAAAATATCTTCTTTGAAATAAGAGAACATAGATTTTCCATCATTTTAATAGAAAAACCATCACTAAATTGCCTTAGCCTTTGGTATTGCCTTAGCCCCATCACTATATAGACTCATTTAAGAATTTGTAATATAATTTGTATCAAAAATCCGAGCCTTTAAAACTAAAAGTACATGAATGACAGTCTTGTTATAAACATAATTCTTTTTCCAATTTAAAATTTCCATAAATCCATTCTTTTTGTTTAAAACTGCCTTAAATTAAACTTTCCAAACACTTGCAAGTTACTTGCCTCGAACCTCAATAGTTTAATTCAAGCCAATCCTAGTCCCAAACTAGTCGTTTGAAAAAATTGCCGCTTTCGTGGCCAAAAACAAAGATGAAGAAAAACAAAGCCAAAACAGGCAGCTGCAATCGGTTTCGGGCTTACACCTGAACCTGGTGACGTTCAGGTTCAATGCTTGGCTCCTTCGGATGCCACTCCCCCAGCCACTCGCCTCCGAAATTCCTGCCAGTGGTTAGGATTGCGTGAGACCAGCCAGCCGGCAACAAAAAACGAGACTCCCATCGATGCAATTACGAGTACGAGGATTTTGGGCACCGCGACTCGTGACTCGATTGCCACTGGCGGTGGAGAGAAGGTGGTGGCAGCTATGTAACACTTTGTTATGAAGAAGCCTCTTACGGCCTAGGAGCCTCTCTGTAGGGGGCAGGCACTGAGGCGGAAGCTCTGGGAGCTGGAAAGTCAAAGGTTGCCCACATAAGACTCGGCGCACCGAGATGACAGCACTTAAGTCTCGAGCGGGGAGAAAGTTTTGTTGTCTGATGACATTTTTGCGGAAGATTAACCCACTCACCCTTTTCAACTCTGAACCCCTTTCCCTTTCCCAGGTGGCCGTCTGCCTGCCCCTCGCCCTCAGCGATGCGAATGCGAATGCCACTCAGGCGGAGCCAGTAGCTGCCAGACTCCAGGCGGAACCCAAGCCCCAGACGGAGCTCGCGCCCACGGCGGAGAAACTGATCCGGTATCGCCGCCAGCCACCCTACGGCAAGAGATCCAAGCTGCGCCGCCGGACAAAGGGTCCGCCCAAGATCAAGTACGGACCGCCGCCGGGTCCCTACCGGTATGCGAAACCCTCGTTTCCGGCCCACCACATCGAGGAGCCCAGCTTCTCCATCGAGGACTTCCAGAACCTGAAGTTCGATCCTGCGGACTTCAAGATACCCACCTCCAGCTACGAGGCGCAGTCCATGGATCTGGACTTCTACAACCATGACCCGGAACCCGATCTTTATGGGGCCCACAAGTTTCCCAGCTTGGATTTCGGACTGGTCACCACCCACAACGATCACAAGCCCCACCAGAAGTACGGGCTGCCACCTCTGACGCACAGTTTCCAGCCTCCGGATCACTCTTTCTCCTCCCACTATGAGCCGCCTCCAGCTCCGGCCCATCCGCCCTCCACGCGCTACGGAGTACCCTCGATACCGGCTTCGGTTCCCAACTTTTCGCACCAGGATCTGCCAGCTCCAGACTCCTACTCGATTTACGAGCAAAAGATTCCAAATGTGGGCTACCATCAGAACTTTGCAGAGCCACCGGCCAAGAAACCAGGAAAACATGGCTCCAACTTTGAGATTTCGTACTCTCCGCCCGCTTTCGAGATCAGCACTTCGTATCAGTCGAACCACCAGCAGAGCTACGTGCCGCCCAAGTCCCATGAGGGTAGCTTTGCAGAACCTCCTCCGGCCACCAACTATGTGAAGCCAGTGCAGCATCCTCCGGCAAATGGATATGGTCCACCTGCTACTAACTATGGTCAGCCTGCGCAGCATCCTTCCTCCAGCTACGATGCTCCTTCACATCCTCCATCATCGGGATACGATGCGCCTTCCCATCCTTCTTCATCGGGATACGATGCCCCTCCTCATCCTCCTTCATCTGGCTATGATGCACCTCCTCACCCTCCGTCTTCTAGCTATGATGCACCGCCGCAACATCCCTCCTCCAGTTACGACTCGCCACCTCAACACCCATCCTCCAGCTACGATTCACCGCCACAGCCACCAAATTATGACCAACCCTCCCAGTATCCTTCATCTAGTTATGATCAACCTCCCTCCCACACTTACAACCAGCCACCGCCTCCAGAAACCCATCCTATTCAAAACTATCCCCACAACGATTATGCCCCACCCACCCAGGAACTGCCTCTTAATCCGCATCACAAGTTCCCCAGCTTCGATTTCCCCAAGTCGAGCTACGAAGTGCCCATCTATGATCCCATTCCCTTCGAGGCATCCAACCGGGACGAGCAGGAGTCCTATCCACCCATACTTGCCTCCTCTCCGGATCAAAATGAGATAGCTAGCGATGCCCATGCGGCCGGTAGCTCCAAGAAGCGGAAGAGGAAGCGCAAGCCTGGCGCCGGAGTAGTGCCCGCCAAGCACACCCTGGATGTGCCGGAGCTCCAGCAGGCCTACGACGCGGACAGCCACCAGAGGAGCGAGTCGATCGAGCAGATAGATTCAGATGCCCACGCCCACAGCTCGCATTATGTGGAAAGAAAGCAGACCTTCTTCAACTTTGTGACGCCCACGACATCCACATCCACAACAACTCCGGCTCCTTGGAGTCCGATGAGGGGCAGGAGCACCACCACAAGCACAGGGTTTATTCCCACCATTGTGACCAGCACTCCGGCGCCCAGAACCGCGACGATGCGAACCAGAAATCGCGGCAGCTCCAGGTATCGCACCACCCAAGCAGTTAGTCCCAGCCAGCCGGATCCTATCCACACCAGCGTCCGAATAGAGCAGTCTCACTCCCAGAGCTACTACGACGGCACCATTGCTCCTCCGACCAGGCAGCAGTTCTCGCCCAGCACCAGTGTGCGTGGCACGCGACCTACAAGACCGGCCTACGCGAGGACACCGCTGGCTCTCCAGCCGGCGAATCACGGAAGAGATGCATCGTCCCCGCCGAGAGTCACACCCAAGCGCACCACCAAGGGCGTCTTTGACACCACCTTGTTCAAGAGCCCGCTCAGCGACCGGGAGATGGAGCGGAATCTCCAGGGACTGCGTCAGAACTTGCCAAAAAACCACAAACTGTACTGACTTCCAGAGGGGAGTTCTTGGGAGGCGCATAGTTTATAAAGACTTGGTTAACTAGCACTAAGACTGGAGACTTAAGCTATTAATTTTTATCGCAACTTAGGCTAAGAATGTTTAATAAATTAATGATTTTTAAAAAAAATTAGAAAAACTAAGAAGAAAATGATTAAAAACTAAGAGTTCATCCCAACACTCACCATGCGTTCTATAAAGTTCCTCCACTTCTTGCTGGTGCTGTACATTTGGAAGTCATTGAAGAAGACAGGACCCGCCGATGTGGAGGGCAAGTCCGGAAGAGTGGACTCCAGGTTGAAGGCCAAGCGACATTTCTCCAAAAGAGCCTTCATCACAGGCATCAAGAAGGAATACTCCTCGGGATTGCCCACTAAAATAATGGTAAGTTATTTAAAAAGTATTATAAGGATTATAGCCCTTAGCTCACCCTCAATGGCATTATCCAAGGCCCTATTGATGCTGTACAAGAGGTAGGACAGCTCCGCTGGATCCTCGGTGGAACGACTTTGAAGTATGGCATGCAGTTTGGCCGTGGCCATGGCCACTATTCCGGGATTCGGGTGATGAGAGCACTTGAGCAGCAGGCCCAGGCACAAGCGAATCATGTCGGACCAGTCGTCCGAGGATCCCTGCTGGAAGATCATCAGTGCATCGAGCAAGGCCAGCACACCGTCCAGGAGCTTAGTGGAGCACTTCTTGGACTCGTCCTCGTTGGAACCCAGCACCACCAGTTCGTAGACCATGCGCAGGATGTGCGAGGCGTTCTCCTGATTGACCAGAGTCTGGCTACCGTGCTCCGAGAGGTCGAAGAGCGAGGCCTGTACCGCCATTTCCAGGATGCGGAGACGCAGGGAGAGGTGCGAGGTAATCAGCTCATTGTTCAGAGCCAGCAAGTTGATGCAGCCCAGCACCTGGCCACGCTCTTGCCAGCAATGCGGATGATCGTTCGATATGCCGCGCCAGAAGATGTTGAAGAGGGTGTTTGAGACCAAGTACACCAGCTGCTCCTCAGTGTCCACGTCACCATCGGCCACGAAGTCAAAGGCGGAAGTACTCTTAAAAAGATAAAATGGAGTTAGAGTTAGAACCCAAAGAAGGTAAATATATTCACCTCCAGGGAGTCACTTTTCTTGGGAGCTCCATGCGGCGATTGCGTAGAACTGTCGGAGCTCAGAGATTCCTCGCGCTGAATCGACGGCGTCTGAGAACCACCGTCAGCGGTGTCTGTGGAGCTACCAAGAGTTAGTGACTCAAAGGTGTCCTGGATGTCGTGGGTGGTCTGCCGAATCACCGAGAACAAGCTGCTGGCATTTTCCACCACTGCCCCAGACACAGACTCGGCTAGCTCCTTGATTTCGCTTTCAATGACAGTGGCTGCCTCGGACACACTGGCCTGGATCTCGTTCAGTATAAGACCACTGTCGCTCTGCTCCTCCTCCTGCTGCTGTTGCTGCAGCTGGGCCAGTCCGATCTCCTGGTCCGAAAAGGTAATCAGATCGGCCTGAGCCAGGAAAGTGGAGTTATCCTCCAGTAAGACATCCATGTTGATGCCAAAACTGCGTCGCTTTTCTTCATCCGGCGGCGAGCTGGTGATGGGCTTGCGGATGAGCAGGCGGGCAATAGACTCCTGCCAGCCAGTCTGCTTGGCCATCGCCACCGTAGAATTTTGCTTCACGAACGTGGTCTGCAGCAGGCGCTTGGCGATCTCCAACTTCACGGGCAGGTCACAGGTGCTCACATGGTAGACCAGGAAGATGAGGCCCGCATAGTCTGGCTGCAGGCCCAGCATTTCATCCACCAAATGGAAGAGTATTGTGGAGCTCAGGGACAGGGGAGTGATGAAGGAGAAGAAGCCAGGAAACATGCTCTGCTCGGTGGCTTGGTCGTACAGTCGGAGCACTTGCTTGTACTTCTGGTGAACTCGCGATGTGGCCAGCAGTCCGCTGATGAACTGAACATGAAAAAGGATTCGTTAAAGAAATCAAGAAATTTACCACCAGGGTTGATTCTTACCCTAATCGCTGCCTCTTGGATCTGGTTGTTGTAGCTCTTGTCCACAAAAAAGTTGTATATGAGATTGGCGGACTGCGGCTCATGCAGGAGTAGCACCATCTGGTCCTTGCAGTTCTTGCCGCGCAGATAGAGAGTCATCATTTCCAGGAACTCAACCAGAACCACATCCTGCCTGACAGAAGCCAGAAACGCCACCATGGCATTCACCTCCTTGATGTTCACATCCTTCTGCAAGTAGAACCGGATGATCCCGAAGAGGGTCGCCCTTATGGTCTTGGCGTCCTCGTCGGTGATACTGTCCGGCGTGGAGTAGTACTGACGCACCACGTCCAGAACAAACTGAACGCCGTAGCGCCGCCGGAAGAACTTTCTGTCGTTCTTGATCATGGCGCTCAGGTACTGTACGTGTCCCAGGGTGATCTGAAACTGCAATCTTGACCAGATCGCAAAATCGAAGACTATGTGCGCGTAAAGAGCATCCAGAAGCTGGCCGCCAGCCTCCGATTTGTGGCCTTGCAGAGATTCCATTAGAAGGTGAGTGGCCATAAGAGCATTCACATCAAACAGAGCTGGTGGGCACCGTTGCAGCATGATGCCCACGATCGCCAGACACTCACTGGCCAGCAACTGCTCCTGGTTCATCTCGTGCTCATGGGTCAAGTAGCGGAGCAGGCACAGGAAACTGGCCACCGGATGCTGCAACATTTTCCACTCGGTGTACGAGTTCGAGGAGAGCATCTCCCAGTCGGTGAACTCCTCGGCCGTGGGTGTAGGAGCACAGGATGCATTCGAGTCCTCGCTGACACTGGCTATTGAGATGTCGGCCGCCTGTTCCGAACTCACCAACCTATGCAGGATCGGCAGTATGGCACTAATTCCTCCAATACTGTTGATGGTTTCCTGGATTTTCACAATCTTACAATGTCTAGCGTTAATCCTGCCTGGATATTTTCCTCCTGGTATCAAATCCTGGCAGACGCCATGCCAAACTGCCCCGGGCGCATAGCAGAACACAAAGCGAGAGTTCAGCTCCAGGAGATCGTTGTCCTGCGAGAAGATTGAGCTGAAGTTGGCCCCCGCATCGAAGATGGTCTTCAAGTTGGTGGTGGGCTCGGCTAGCAGGACGCCACCTAGATGACCATTGAGGCAGGCTTGCTCTCCGAAGACCGTGTCCTGCATTCCAATGGGGAAGTTCTTCACATTTGGATCAAAGGCCGTCTGGGTCCGCATGGGTAATGTGAAGTAGTTGGAAACCTTCAACAAAAAGTAAGGGATTAGGGTATATCTTCTTTTGAAGTAAGTTTCTTACATTTGCAGAAAGTGTGCGCTCTAGAAGACTTGGCAGCATCCCCTTGTAACCACTCGAGCCGCTCTCCTGAGAGGAAGACCTGGGCATGATCCCGGTTTTGGCCACTTCACCTGGTTGAGGCGGCGCCACCACCGCTCCAATGGAACAAACTGTAAAGGGCTCATTCACCGCCTGAACTTTAAGAGTGGCACTCAGCTTCTGGACAAAATCCACATAGATGTTGATCTGACTGTAGGAGAAGGGTCGCTTTGGTGGTGTTATGGCTACGGTGAGGTAATGCCACTGGCCATCCATCAGAGTCTTTGTGGCTGTGGAAGAAGTAAGATACTCGCGCCTGGTCAGGGCAGCCACAACCACATTGCCATTAGGCTGAACGAAAACCTCGAAGCCACTGCCACTGGCTGTCTGGAGCGTCAGAAGCATGCGACGATTGCTGGGCTGGTCCTTTAGCTGATTGAAGCGCACCAGGATGTGAAAGATGAAGCCATACGATCCGGAAATGGTCCAGTTGCGAATGTCAGGCACTCCAATGCCATCCGTCTGTTGTTCAATGGCAAAGTACTGCGAGCACGAGTTGCTGCCTCTTAAGCTCTGAAGGGCAATGACAACTAGGGTCTAAAAGGACAGACGTGATTAAAAGATGAATCCTAATCCTGGTATTTGTAGAGTTACCTGCTGTAACTGCTTGTTTTGCGGAAACTTTGTGCCTTGCCGTAGAAGGGCAAAGATGCACTTAAGTTCCACGGGAACTATGCTAAGTTTGCTCAGCTCCTCAATAAGCTTGATGAGATTCTGGACACAGTTTTCGCCCAAGGACTCTGCTTTCAGAAGGCAACCACATACTGCCTTGATTACGTGACTACCGCAAGCTACAGATTTTCTAAAAAATTAAATAGATAATGTTTATTTTTGCAGAGAATTTAAGTAAGCCACTTACGTTCCGTAGTTGTCTGTGCAGCCCTTGAGCACTAGGTTGGTTACATGCAACTGTTCCTGCTCCTGAAGCTCTGGCACCCAGTTTAGAAGCTCTAGCATTACTTCGGGCAGGAGAAGCAGGTGCTTCTGATCGTCATAGCCCAGCATGAAGCATGAGTCCAGCAAACTGACGGTGGGCGAACCAAAAGTTCTCAAGCTGGCAAAGACCTTTTCAATGCGCTCAGCCTGGCGGAGCTGATTGGCGGATTGTGGCGAGTTCCTTGTCAAAGTGGCCAAGGCCTCCATGGTGCTGCACAAGGAACTCGAATGAGAAATGTGCCAGGGCTTCAAGTAGGATAGATTAGTGAGAATATGGTTGAAGATTTATCGACTAACCTTGATGAGCTTCGGCAGGTTGGTTAAGATATCAAGTAGATTCGATTCTACAATGGCCTCACATGCAGCAAGAACAGTTTCGCTGCCCAAGAACAGTTTCACAGCCGCCACTGTGGATGAGAGGGCAGCCATGTCGATGGCCACATCCTGATCCGCATCGCTGGCTATGTCGAAGTTGGCGTCGCCGCTGTCAAAGTGCTTGGTGGCCAGTAGCTCTTGAAGAGCATCACAATAGAGTTGAACTAACGTAACTAGGTCTATTTGGCGCTGTAAGAAAAAGGAATATAATTAAGTAGAAAGTCCCTATATCAGCTACGATTACTTACTTCTTCTGGACTAGATTTCTGCAGGACGATGACCATCAGAGCATAGCAATTGAGGGCCACACAGCGCAGGCTATTGGTACTCTCCCACTGTCGCAGAATGCCCATGGTGATGGACACTGTGGCAGGGCAAATGGCCTTCATACCATTGCGCTAACGAACCGAAAAATACCATTTAAAGGCCAAAAGATTCACAAGAATGTTGACAGGAAAGTGGACAAGCAGTGGCATGCATGGAGTTCAGTTAGGGACAACAATGATTAGGACAATGGATGGTTCCACCACTCACCAGGTTATCACAGTCTAGAAGCAGCCCATCACCCGAGCAGGGGGCAAGTGAAGAATTGGTTAGAGCGTTAGTATTTCTATTTGTCAGGGTCGAGGTCGAGTTTAGAGTCTGCGCCACCTTTAGCTGCAACTGGAGAGGATCCAGACGCAACACCAACGAAATGAAACGAAACGAAAGCGGACATGGAAACAAATGATAGAACTCTAGTGAACATTAATAGCGAAAGCAGTGAGCAAAAGGAAGATTCTGTAGGGGAGTGAGGTTAATCATAATTAGATCCTAGGTTTATAGCTTAATCAAAAGAGGACTAGACAGGGCGGATGAAAACTGGAGACGCTTTTGGTGCTACCTGTGAGCCGCAAATTACTGCTCCTAAAATATTTAATAGACTCTCGCCTATTTCCGCATAACGGATGAGTTTTTCCTCTTGGAAGCAATCTGTAAGACAAATAATTGAGTGGATTTATGATACAATGTAGTCTAAAAACTCACCATATATAAAGGGAACAATCTCTACGTGCACAGAGTGAGGTTTGTAGGACAAACGACTATAATCCGCTGAATGGCCTCTAACAAAGCTGCGCCACGTCAGGTACGGGTCATACATGACCTCCAGAAAGGCCGAGAAACTGCGAAACAGGTGACTCGTAGCGGCCGTGGTTTGGGTCTCACTCATTTGCTGAAAAAAAATTAGAAAGCCTCATGTTTATTAAGGTATTTCCTATTATATCCCAAGCTTGACTTACTTGTTTGAAGACCCTCGTCAGTATGGCGATTAGATTTGGCTTGTATTCGTACTTGATGATGGCCAGGATGTTGTCAAAATGCCGGCACACAATCACCAGGCAGTCAATGAGTATGGCCACCTGCTCGATGGCCTCCTCCTCAAGAACTCCGACCGTATCGCACGCATCCCTAGCCACTATAATGAACTTGCCAATGGCGGGTAAAAGCTCATCGGGCAGGCGGCCCAGGTGCGGGCCACTGTCCGTCTTTACTTCGTTCCACAGGGGACAGTTCTCGGCTTGGAAGTCCAATTGGAGTTGACTGCGCCAAATGGCCACGAAACGCGCCACAAACTCCCGGAAGTACGTTTCATCGTTCTGCGGAAAAGAGACAGAGATAACAGGATTTAGGCTGAGCCTGAGCGGATTATATAATCGTTACAGTGTTTACACTACGATGCCAGTGCCTTTGGGCAGATAAACATTTTCCGAGTTTGTTTGCCGTTTGTGGTGCGGTGACTAATGCTTTGAACATTTTGCGACCGCCCCCGACAGCCGCTCCGCCACCTCGCCCCCCTCTCGGGCACAAGAGCTCCACCGCTTATCACTCGATATAGACCTTAGTCAGCCCTCACCTTTGTCGTATATTGCACCCACAGGTTGTATATATCCTTCTTATTGTCCATCGTCTAGTTATCTCAGCTGCGAGGCATTTGTTAGATTATTACAATTTGTGTATTTTTGTTTTGTTTACAAAAAAAAAAAGAAGACGCCGACGATGTGTAGCTTTAACGCCGCTGTGATTTCCCGCAGGGCGCTTTTACCGCCACGGATCCGGGGCCTACGTAGCTTTGGTAATAGCTTAATTAACGATATTTGGCCGCTCCTTCTTACGAAAAATAGCAATAACTATTTGGCTTATTTTTCACATTGCCCACAGGCACAGGTGAAAACGAGAACAGCTGATTGGGATTCTTAACGCTTCTTCTTCTAAGCCAGTCACAATGGATTCCAGTGTTGAAAAAGTGGTGGGAAATTCAAAAAGACGGCGCCAAAAAGAGAAGATATAGATTCTATAACAAAAGAACTAAGAAGTTTACCAAATATCTGACATTTAAGTATCAAATAAAAACACTCGTTTATTTTAGGCTGCTAAATGCGTATTTATTTCGAGATTTTCATGTATTTGGTTTCAATTCTAGTAGCATTTGTATTTTTTTTGTCTGTTTTACATGATATTAGCTAATAGTTGCGCTCGTTTCTGCCATCGCTTGATTTCATGAACTAACTCCCATTCGATCGTTAAAAACAAACGACTTTCTGTAGTGTAGTTTTTCTTGCCGCCTATCATTGATACAATATGCGCAAAAGTGCAGTTATTGATGCGGATGCCGATGCTGATGCGGTTTGAGAATCTATATGCCTAGGCAACGAATTCTGAGATTATTCGCTTTCGATTTTAGATGTGTCTTTGATTTGTTTAGTTTTTTTTTTTCATTTTTTTTTGTATTTTTTTGTTTGTAATATAAAAAGGAAACGTTATTTTATATTTAATTTCAGACCTAAATTATTAAGATTTAATGCAATATTTTATTTTGTAAGTTTTTAATTGAATAGCTTGAACCATTGGTAGGACCTATAAATATTCATTATCCGGTAATAATCTTAATAAAATAAATATTTAGAAGAAAAATCTTATGCCTCCGTTTCAGTTAGTTAAAGCTGTGAGTTTTTATCCGCATTAATTTGAAGGATAACAATTGTTAGTTAATTTACGTTAATTTAATTTAATTTATTTTACTTCAAATATAGGCATTCGACTTGCTTTCGTTTATCATTTATACTTGTTAAATTAAATACTCGACGCTTTCATTTAATATCATATATTTCTCCTTAAGTTTTCGTTTCTTTGGGTTTCTGTAGCTCTTGAATGGGCTTTACAATATTTAAAAAACCTCAGCGCCTCGATTATCGATTTTGTAAATAAGTTGCGCGCTTTGTTCTGATTTTATTCTCGCTTTAGCTTTATTTTTATTTCTATTTTTTGTAGTTTTTATTATTTTTGTTTTGGGCTTGGGTAGTGGCTTTGCTTACTTGAGACGACGACGACGATTGTTTTTTTTTTTTTGAATAGAAAAATAATTCAAGTAAATATTTGTATATTTTATGTATGTATATGCACGTGTATAAGTATTATAGTTCCTCTAGGTAGATGTCTAGCACTCCTTGCACGCACCCTTGTATATTCATGCGGATTATTGTATTTGTACCAATCAAGAAAGCGGCTACTCCCACAGGATGCGGCAACTTCTGTCTACCGTCTCCTAGTCCTTGCCCTCCAAATATCAATTACTGTGCTCAGATACTAATGCCCGTGTTACAATTTTGAGTGGATGTGGTGTCTGTGAGAGAGTGGCGGGTGTAATTGTGAAGCCATCTGGTGTTACTCCAGACTCCTAGTGCTATGAGTGAGGATGGTGTGAGATGTGTCCGAGTAGCTAGTTCGTAAGGTAAATATATGTATGTATATAATCTATCATAGTTGTTTAAGTGCCTCTAACAGCTCTGAAGGTATTCAGGTTCGGTCGCATTCGCTGCGTTGTTGTTGTTGTTGTTGTTGTTGACGATTGTTTTGGATAGAAATACTTGGGGTCTCTGGTTGGTTTTTTTTTTTTGGTTTTGTTTGATTGCTCCACCTGCTCCGTGATCCGTTCTCCGCTCGGCGGTCTACGTATCCAACAGCGGCTCATTTTCCGAATCGGAATCTAACATTCTCCAGACCATGCGCCTGACGTTTCAGACTGCCGCTGTCGGCCCAGGAGGAGTTGAGATACTCGTCGTCATCGTCTTGCTCAAGTTTCTAAAAAGAAAATAGGTTTTTAATATTTTAAAATATGATTTATATAAAAATAAATAATTTAAAACGTAGGAAGGATTTCCCTAAGAATAGACCCAAAAAAGTATGCTACAAAAAATTTCCCCGCCTTAAGAAATTATTTTTTTTAAAAGGATTTAAAACATAAAGTAGTTCCATAATCCTAAACCTCTTTTTTCCTCTCTTACCCTTGAACTGAATTCGACGTTGAGATAACCCCATTCTCCAACGAATCCCTGGACAACTCGTCGGCCATCTGGACTTTCAACTGATGCCCAAACGAGTTCATCTCGGAATTTGGTGTCATCTGCGATCCCGCCGGGCTCTGGGCTATGTAATTGCCCGGCGTGGTAACGGAGCCAACCTGCGATATAGAGGCGGTCATCCCAGGACCACCATTGGGCAGGACACCGTCCAGACAACTGTCGTTGGTGGTCGAGTCCATGTTAATTATTTGACTGCCGGCAACGTTGTCCGCCAGCACGGCACCATCGCTGTCGTCCACGGCATCTATGTCGTCGATGTCCATGTCCTCGGCGTTCTTGTCCAGTGGCGCCGTCTCCTCGTCCTCATTGTAGATCTTAAAGTAGGCGTACGTCAGGTAGATCACCGAGATGATGAACGACGGAATGGGTATGGCCATCGAGTAGACCAAATTGAGGGTGTTCTGCCAGTAGTCCAGGTCGCTGATGACCAGACTGGGGTCAACCTTGGAGTAGTAGCAGGGAAACTTGATCCCGATCTTTGTGTACCGCTTCAGCCAAATGGTGCAGTTGAGCATGGGCGGGTAGCCGCAACCCTTAACGTTTGGGAAGAGCCTGGCCCCCACGTAGTAGTACCTCGAGCGGTTGCCCATGAGGCCTTCGTTGAGCTCGGAGATCTCGTCGAAGGGCTGTCGCTCATCCGGAATGAGAGTGCCCGAGGCACTGAGTCCTCTGGTGTCCTCAGAGTCCTCAATGAGGTAGCCATTGGACCCATCGGCATCCCCGAAGTTCAGCTGCTCCAGGTGCCCGCCACCGAGATCGATATCAATCCCGGCACCACCGATGCCGCCACCCAGATTATCGTACTCGTAGTCGCTACGGAGAGCTCTCTCGTACCGGTCTGTTCGCTTCACGGGCGGCAGCTCGCGTTCCGCTTCCTTCAGATTGATGTGGTACTCGGTGAAGTTGAACTCATCCGTGAAGTTGTACAGATTGAGGCGATAGTTGACCCGGATCTGGGTGCACGTGTAGATGTCCTTGGTGCAGCCCTCGCGGCAGGACGACCACGAGCAGTTCTTGGCCCCGTAGTAGATCTCTGTGTCGTAGGTCTCACAGAGGGCCGGGACCTCCTCGAACTGCATGAAGATCGTCGTGAAGGCAGGTTCAATGACAAAGGGCACCAGGAAGAGAAACGCAAACATGCTGAACGTCCCCAGCAGGATGAAGAAGGCGGTGGTATAGAACAGCAGCTTCTCCTTTCCCGTTCGTTTCTCGTGTTCGTCTCCCATTTTTAATTAATTTAAATAATTACTCGATTTTGTTGGTCGGACTATATATCTAGTATATATATTGTATTATAGTTTGGCGCAGGTCTGGCGGCGGTGGCGGCGGAGCAGAGCGGCAGCGAATGGTGTTCCAAAGGCGGAGGGGCGGTGTATTGTATCGTTTTTTTGGTGTTTTAGCAGTGCGGTACTTAGCTTAAAATTGCGGCGATTAACGATTAACGATTATTAATCGATAACGATAACTAAGAGCTAGATTACGATTACGGTGCAAGTTATATCACAGGGAGAGTTCGATTTCTCGTTTCGTTTGCTTTCTTTTGTTTTAGCTTTTGCTTTTCCTTGTTCTGCTTCTGATTCTGCTCCTGATCCTGGTTCTGATTCTGTTTCAGCTTCTGCCTGTCCTTCCTTGGTTGCTTTGGATGCCCGATAGTCCAGTGTCCCGTTATCTCGCACATCGCTGGCATCTGCAAGGCGGCAGGCCGTTCTCAATGGCGTGGTAGTGATTTCCGGTTGGGGCGACGGAGGCGGGCTTCTGCATTTTTGTGCTCGGCATCACTCGATTAGGCTAAATACTCCACAGAGCCAAGGGGAATCCCACGCATCCTGCACTTTACCGTTACCTTTCCCCTCTAGCTTTCGTCCTTTTTCACTGGCAGTGCGTACGTGTGTGTGTGTGAGTGGGGGGTTTGAACCTTTGCTAATTGCTTTATGCGTCCCAATGGAGGTGTTTCGTCAACATCAGCACGCTGCAGTGGCGCTGGTCCTGCTCCTCCGAATTCCTCCTTCGTTCGTCCTTTGGCTCTTGCTATATGCCTGATTTAGCTGCTTCTTGATTATTTTATGACTGCGGCAAAGCCTGATTTGTGTGTGTTGAGTGTGTTTGTGTCATGTGTGTGTGTGTGTGTCGCGTGTATGTGTGGTGTGTGGCCTGCCAATGGGCCAGCTTTGGGGTCTCTCACTCTCTGCTCTGCTTCTTTTCCACAGTTGTGTTTAGCTTTGGCTCACTTTACATTCTTCAAATGTGTGTAAAAAAAGAATGCTGGACGGACAGTTTTTTTTTGTTGTTTGTTTTTCTTGTTCACTTTGCTTTGCTATGCTTGACTATTTTCGCTCTCGTTCTGTCTTTCTCTCTTTCGCTCTCTCACTGTATATCCGTGCCACGTGCAGTTGTCCAAAGCTGTGGTGGGCCAACACGGAAAAAGGACGAGAAGAAGAAGCGGGGTTTTAAAATACCGTTAGACCGTGTTTGCCGTTAATGCGTGTATTTTTAAGCCCAGCGGCCGCAATTAAGCCACCTAAAGGTGACGATGGCCGCCCGCTCGCGTTTATTTTTATGTAACCTCGAGTGGAACGGGGGGAGGGGCAACGATGGAGTATTACGAAACGGAAACACGCGGCAGCAGCAATGAGCTCAGCTAAGCTCGGCATGTTTAAATAATAAAACTCCTTCGATGCACTCGAGGGGCGGGCGGGCAGGGTTTTCGGTAAGGGACGCGGAGGGAGACAGAGCGGAGCCACATGTAATTTTCAATTCATTTGGCACGCTCGGACACACACACACACAAGCTCACACGATGGAAACAGGCCGTGCACATGCAAGCTCAACTACCATCACAGGCAACTCTCACGTACACAGAGCCAAAAAAAAAAAGAAAGAAATGGAGCGGGGAAGGGCAGAGAACGAGTGGGGGGGGAGCTTGCTCCAATCGAAATTATGCGGCATAGACGGTCCTCTCCTGCTCCCGCTCCCGCTCCTTTATTTTTTTTTTTTAAAGGAGTGAGTGAGCGAGCTAGCGACCGAGTTGGTTGTGGTGTGAGTGCGCCTCTTGGCAACTTCTTGTGCTTTGCACGAAACGATTTTTCAGCTGCCTCTAAAGATTTGTTAGGGGGGGGGCCCCGAGATCAATTAAATGTAGTTCCACTACATTTCAACTAAATTTTTCATGTATTTTTTGGTTTGCGCCACTGTGACCCTTCGTTGCTCCTCCTCGTCCTCCTCCCTTAACCCGTCCCCGCCTATTCAGCTCTAGTGACGTAGAGTTGCGTGCTCCCGTTCGTGAATGTGAGCGTGTGTGTGTGTGTGTGTTTGCGACTTTGCGCCTGTGTGTGTTTACTCAAGGTTCAGGTTACGCGGTGAACGGTGACAACGGAACGGGGATTACGCATTTTCAATCACAAATCACACACGGCCCGCACAGTTTCAGTTTTTAGGCTCTGGCCATCAGCGGTTCTGGCCAAGCTACCGTGTGTGTTTACCGTGGGACAATGGTGACCTGATTGCAAAACGCTGAAAAACAATCACGGTCCACATTTCTTTCGTGGCATTTTGTGGCAGAACTTCTTGTGTTCTTTTGACAATAGACCAGCGACAGCGACAGCCACGAAGGAGACAGCGACAACGACAACGACAACCAAAGGAGCAAAGCGACAACACGACGGCCGAACTCTTCAGCGAAAGGACTGCCTTTCACTGGCAACGCTGCAGCGAAATTAAGGGCTCAAGTTGGAGCTTTGGAGCGGAGCTTTCGCCTGCACCTCCGCCAAGCTCGAATGCTGGGCTTGTTATTTAGCTTTTAACTGGCTAGATTTTATTACTCATACGCTCTGTTGGCTGGTTGATAGTTTTTAAGGTTTAAACTTTAAAATTATTTGTGAATTTAACGAAAATATGCAACAATTTCTTTAAATATTTATTATCTTTTAAGTTCATATACTTTTAGGCCCTTTTTTCTACAAAGGTTACTGATTCTTTTGAACTCTAATAGGTACAACGGGTCGTATGCGCAATATTTTGTACATACGCTCTGTTACGTTATTCCCTTACGTAACTCTGCAAGAAACAATATTATATTTAAAAAATAAAGAAAACAATCCAATCTTTAGCTTTTTTTGGCCAACTATCCGCATTTTGGCTGTTAAGTTTTAAGCCAGCACTACCCAAAGCTCACTCTCTCCCACACTCCACGAGGGAGCAACAGCGGGCCAGCGATGACGTAAAGCCTGCCGACGCAGGCGCCCTCCGCCCTAGAATCTCCAGTTGAGAAACAGTGCTGCTGGTGCTGGTCGAAAGCTGAGAATTGTCAGAAGTGGCGTAAACAGCAGGGAAACGTAACGAGTTCGCCTGTTTGGAATTTTCTCGGCTCGCCCAGCCACGGGGAAATGGTGGAAAAGTGCAGAAACGCAGCATTTCTGGCACTTGGTTAGCTAAGGATTGTAAAGTAATAGCAATAAATAGTGAAAGCCCGTCATCGAGTGAACCGTGTGCGGATTATGAAACTAATTTGATGGCACACTGTGCAATTGTGACTGCGACTATTGCAAGTGTATTGGTGTGGTCTTCTGCCACATTTCCCAACATCCACCCATCACCGACCGACCGACCAACCGACCGCCCGTCCCGCGAGTGCGTGCCCAATGGCAGGAACGTAAATAAACCTCAACACTCTTAGCTGGGACATTCGTAATTTACATGTGAGTAAGGCTGCTGAAAAACCAAGACCCCCAAATCGAAACGGAAATCGAACCAAGATCCTTTGACGACCCTCAAAATCGTTGCCTACCTACCAGCGCATTGGCGTGCAACTAGAATTTGCCCCATTGCCATTGATTATTCCATGTGGGCTGTGATAAAAACAAAAAATGGAGCGTGTCCAAGTGCTGGTGCCAGAAAGCAGATAGTTTGTAGTTGTTTGATATTTTTTGGTCCCATTTCTCCTTTAAATGCCATCTGTCCTCTAAAAACTTTTATTGAACTTTTATAGACCCTCTATAGAGACTTTATACTGTTTGGTTCGTTCTAAATTTTAAAAATATTATTTAAACATGTTATTTTTACCTTCAAATTGAAAATAACTCAAATTCAAGTTATTTAAAATCTTTAGTTTTATATAATATAAAATACTATTTATTTATATTTTTATATTAAAAATAATATAAAATACTATAATACTATAAAAACCGTTGAGGAGTTAAAAATCTTTTTTGACATGAAGTAACTGACTTTATAAACTTTCTTATTAATTTACTAAAACTAAAAAATAAATCTTTAACAACGCGCGAAACCATCTGTTGGTCAGTGTTATCAATGCCGAAATCCGTACAGCAGTGATGGAAAACACTTCGTTGGTTTTGGAACGCTAGAAAACGCGTTAGTGCTTTTCTGCCAAACAGATGTTTATTAAAAACAGAATTTAATTTTGACGTAAAACGGAAGTTGAAGCAAAAAAACAAAGCAGACATGGGCGCCATTCTTACGATAATATTTTTCACCACCTTTTGGGCGGCAGTGGCTCGTGTGGGACCCCGTCTGATGTCCAAGGCACCGCAACAGGATCTTGTGCGCTGTTGTTTTCTACTGGCGGCCGTCTGTTGTTGGCTCTTTTGGTTCTGTTGCTATTTAGCCCAGTTAAATCCACTAATTGGTCCCAAATTAAAGCAAGACACCGTCAAGATGATTGCCAGGTCATGGGACAATCCCATTGTAGGGTGATTACAGGAGAAATAAGAAGGATGAAGGCTTTTATGAAATCCACGTAGTTAATCTCCCCCGGCGGCACCCTTCTCCGGCGGATGCAGCCGTGGCCACATCACACCTCACTCAGCCGGAAATCCACACAGTATATACGCCTGGCATCTAAGATGGAACCAATTTCTGTACTATCAACGTAAAAGCAATGTACCTTAACCAGTCTGGGGATATTCCAGATTCGTTATTTATACACAGCCTGTAATAGCAACTAACCCACAACTAATAACCACTTTAAAAATAAGATTGATGATTGTATATTGAAAATTGTAAAACCACATTGTACTGTATAAACCATTTTCTTATCAGCTGCTATAGTCAGCGTACTTACAAATTTACAAACGAAAATATCAACCTATACTTCCACTATTGTAGTTAATTTTACTAATCAATTATTGTATTTGTGATTTAGTTGTTTGCAAATATAGACGAATTTATATTAAGTTATCGTTTTTTATACCCTACCAGAGGGTATTATGATTGAGGTTTGGGAGTAGTAAACTTCCTTTAACGATAAAATTAAAGTATGGCCTGTTTTCAGTTATATTTTAAGATTTAAAGATATTAAATATGTTCAACTATAGTTTACACATAAACATACTGCTGTAAAGAGGGCAGGACAAGCACTTGACCAAAAATGGGGCAACAAAAACGACACTACACACACCCCTCAGTGGCGCACTCGGTGCACTTGCACTCTTGGCCATGTGGAGGCCGACTTAATCAATGGAAGCCTCTCAGTTGGAGTGGGGAACACGCTGGAGCCAGTGAGGCGAGCGTGGACGGGGGAGGTGTCAAGGGATGCCGCCCATAGAAATGGCTTCTCTTTTTCAGTAACGTGAATGCGGAAATATTGATTTTGCAATAAAAGTGCGCGCGCAGTACCGAGATTTGTGCCAAAAGCGAGAGCAGGACACGAGCCAAATACGATGCCACGATGTGTGGCATGTTGTCGGCGGTCAGTAAGGATATGCGGAGAGCTGGAGAACCGGAGAGCCATACACGGCCCTACGGAGCCGAGCCGAATGCACTCGCCAATTCGGAGCAGAAGCCTTGGGCCAGCCAACCAGTCGGAGGAACGTCACGAGCCAGCTGCCACTTATTCCAAAGGAAAAAATAATTACAACTGAAAATAACAGTCTAAAATTAACAAAATAATTATCGATAAATTGTAAAACCAATAATTGATAGTGAATTGCCAAGGCTAAGTCCTGTTTGCGTGGAAAGAATCCGAGCCGGAGCCAAAGAGCACGTGATGCAACTGACGACTCCCTTATGGGACAGTGATTAAAGTGAAATTGTAGGGTCAGAGCTAGCCAAAAATCGATAGGGGTCGCCTCCAAAAAACGTGTCCTCCAGCTGGAAACGTGCGCAGCCTGCGAAATTTCCTTTGGTCTTGGTCCTGCTGGTCCCATGCAAAGTCGGAGCAAATCTCAACCTACGCAGGGTTATATAACACATTTGCTACAATAGCTACAACGCCCACGCAGTTTGCCTCTGAATCGATAGACCAGAAACCGTCATGACGAGCACCTAATTGGATTGCACGCGAGGGATTAACCACTGGGCTTTAAAAGGGAACGTCACCAGCGAGAATCCGCGACTTTGGGCTAGTCACTCCGCCATATAATGGGTAAAAAGAAGGTACCCAGCGAGGAGCTAATCGTCCCGCCGCAGGACAACCGCATATGCGGAACTATTTGCATTTGCCAGATGACTCTGGTGCTTAGCTCAGTGGCTCTGGTCTATCTCACGGTGGCCATCTACATGCCCTCCACCCGGGCCTTCAAGAGCGGCATCGATCCCACGCCGGTCATGTGCACCACCACGCGGGCGGTCAACAAGGACAACTGCGAGTGGGGCAGCTGCGGCGAGTGGTGTCTGAGCAAGACCTCCGGCGCCTGCATCCAGATCTACGTGAATCTTCGCAGCAATGGCAGCAACCTCATCTTCCAGAATTGCACGAATTCTGCAAATAAAACGTGTTACGGCATCGACCAGGATCGGGCCGACAAGGCGCGGTGCATCAACGACGAGTGCAAGAACCTTACGGGCACCTTCAACTGCACCGCCGGCCAGTGCCTGAACATCACGGACGCCTTCGAGTGTGTCTTCCACAACAGCGACGCACCCGTAAAGTGTTCTGGGCGGAGGGGAAAAATTAATTGCATGGACATTAGTGGCTTGTTCTCCTGTAGCCGGGGAACGTGTCGGAAAATAAGGACCCCCTACAACTGCGACAGGAGGTGTGTGGATATACCCACCCGGAACAAGAATGTGGTGGTGTTGAGTGGGGACAAGGTGTATCTGTCCCAGTGCCAGAACGCCATTAATGCCGAGACCCTCGAGGAAGTGTGGAACGAATCGAGCGACAACGTGGCCATGACTTCCTGTTACTTCATCAAGAACACATCGGACCGCGTGGATGCAGTGGACTGCATCAATGGCTCCACTCTGGAGCACAATATGCTCAGTGATCTGACCAACTTCACATATCTGAGCCACCTGCACGTGTCGGTGGCCACTCCAGTGCCGGAGATAGCCCCTCCAGACGTCGATCTGACCATTTCCAACGAGTCCAAGCTGATGATCAACCTGGAGGGCTGTGTAAACACCCTGATGGATGAGTGCAAGGAGTTCCTGAAGGACTTCGGCCGGGATGGCAGCGACCATAATGCCCGCGCCCGCTTCCCGTGCTTCTACTCCCCCTCCAAGAAGGACGTTGTGGTGGCCCGTTTCGATTTGGAGGTCACCTATCGCCAGTTTGTGTTCGCCTCGGTGGTGCCATCCGTCCTCTTTGTCGTGTCCTGCTCGATACTGCTCCTTTGCCAGCGCACCGTCTACGTGGGCGACGATGCCAAGATGCGATTCAAAGGATGTGTCGATACGGAGACCATCCTGAACAAGAACAACGTGGGCACACCCACCAACGGCGACATGGGCGGAGGTGGCGGCGACGAGGTTATGGCCCTATGAGATCCGTCACGTAAGCGAGAGATTCCACAGTCCACCCTGAGAATGGGGTCTTGTCTATAACCGATTTTTCTGCTGACTTACAGTCTTTGCTATTGCCCACATGTGAGAGGTCTGCCCAGTACTTCTAGGTCTCTGGAGCTGTCAAGATTGGATTTTTTCCATAACTTAAAAACACAATCCACTAGAAATAGATGACTATCCAATATAGATTTTTTAGGGAGATATATATTTTTTATCTTCTAGATATAGTAACGACTTTTCTATCTATTCTACCTCTTTTTAGAATAGTTTTTTTCAAAACTTTTGAAAATAATATTAGAAAGATATCAAGACAACAAAATCCCTAGATTCCTTTAGAAAAAACCATAGTCATCTTTGAAGACATAGATTCCAAAATTGTTTTTTGGGAGGATGTTTTTGAAAAGTCAGAAGAATTCAAAAATTATATAAGCAACAAATCTTAGAGCTTGATAATTTTCTGCTTTCTTAAAATAATACCAATAGTAATACCAATACTAATACTAACTAGTAAAATAGTAATAGCTCCTAACTCTTAACACCTTGAACTAAATTGTATTTCCTATATTTTCTAGGCATTCCTCTGCTCCAGGAAGACAGTCCGGTACACCAAACGGGAGTCTTCGCATTGCAATAATTGGAGTTGGGCACAAGCTAAAGAGTCAGAAACACAATCGAGCAACTTGAAATTCTTTGTAATCCTTCCATCGAACTCTTAACACTCAATCACACATTGTAGACACGAAAAACAGGACACAGACCACACCTCAGAGGCTTGCAAGGACACTCCTGAGACGAAACTGTACACCACATGCGAGGCGCTTGATATTCTCAAGATACGACGATCGACAGATCCGAAGACAATATTAGTATAATTTAAAATTATTTAGTTATTCGTTGGGTTAGGGCCAGAGGCTGAAGGAACTGTAGGATAGGTGAGAGGATTTAAGTCCAGAGCGCGGAGGATTAAATTACAAATTTTTGCTATTATGGAACTTAGTTATATCTAGGGAATAAACGCACACACCCACAGCCACATGCACAGCAAAAGCACACACTCACACTGACACATCGACACACTGACACTCACACACACACACACAGCCACACACACACAACACCCAAAAAGCAGCTGAAAAGGATATAGAACAAGGTTCAGTCACCGGGAGAGAAGGCAGAGGAATTCAAAAAATGGCTTAGAGAGAGGGATGCGTGATTAAAAATCTAAATAAAATCTCGAACAACAAACTAGTCAAGAAAGTCAAAGCTAAAGTTAACCTTAACGAAGTAAAAAAAAAAGGAAATAATTTAGATAAAGAATAAAAACAATATACAAGAAGCCTCCTTTCAAGAGAAGAGGTTGAAAATAATATGAAAACAAAAATAGTTTAAAACCAAAATAAGAAAAAACATTTTCCATTTCGGCTATAAAAAATATAAGGCAACGGGATATAGAAAGTTAGAAGTGTAAGTTATAAAAAAAATAAAAATAAAAAAGAATTAAAGGAAAGCAAGAGCGAGAGATTAGAACTTTATTGTAGAAAGCAGCGAATGTTAGCGGTGTTCATTTTAAAGGCTTTTACCGATCCAACTAAAATCTAAGCACCAACACACAAGCGAATAAGAACAGAGATTAAAAAAAACCCCACACTAGACACCAGAACAGACAACAGACACCTCCGCCATGAAGAAAAGCTCCACGCTGACGACGACCACGTCGATGCCCACTAGCCCCACGCTCTCAACCCAGACGCTCTCCGCCAGCAAGATCAGTCTGACCAGCAGCCGGTGTGGCTCCACGGCGGGCTCGGCATGCGGCTCGGCGGGATCTGCGGGCTCGGTGCGATCCGCCTGCCAGTCGCCGGTGAGACCGGGTAGCGGATGCGTGGATGCCCTCAAGGCGAAGCGGGAGGAAATCGAGATCGAAACGGTGCTTGAGAAGGCAAAGTTCTACACCTCAGTGTGCCTTGGTAGGATCCTTAATCCTTTCTATAATAAATTTATTAACATTTTTGTCTCACAGGTACGACTGCCATTTTGTCGGTGTTCACATTCCTCTTCCTGATACCCTTCGTCGTGGATCCCGCCATTTCAACGATCATCGCTGATTATGATCCAGTGCCGGTGACCTGCATCGTCATCGATCACATCTATGCGGAGGGCATCAAGAACTGCAGCTGGAGCTCCTGTCGCGAGGGCTGCACCTCATCACTCACCAAGTAAGTACCAAAGTGGACAAATAGGATGTCCTGAAACTAAATCTTTATTTGCAGGTGCCATCAGTTGTTTGTCAACTACACGCGCATCCCGTTCAGCGAGTGGGAGCGCAATCCTCGGGACCTGGACACGGTCAACTGGGATGTGAGCTACACCAAATTCCTGATAAACTCGGAGGGCTGTGGCTATCCACCCACGACCAACTGCAGCGTCTTTGCCAGGCAGTACGGGTGAGTTATACTTCCCAAGATCATGAAAAGAATCCCTCAACCAAAATCGGTATTTTCCAAAACAGATTCTCACATATTGGAGAACCTTTTCCCTGCTACTACAGCAGGGCCTATCCGGAGGTGGTGATCGGTCGGTACTCGTGGGAGAACAACCTGTACCACCTGATCCTATCGCTGATCATACCGAACGTGCTCTTCGCCATCTCGATCGGGGTGCTCAGCTATTGGTACTGTCCCTGCTGCGAGAAGGCCTGCAACAAATCCTCGCGGGTCTACGCCGAGAAGTTCCCGACCAAGGAAGAGTGAGTGCCATTGCTAGCTTCATGTCCAGCGCTGTCCTGCATCTTGTTCTCATTCTCATTGCGAGTTTGGCAAATTTACTCCCCGTATCCGTATCTGTATATTGTAGTAAACAACACACTCACCTCCCAGATCCATAGAACATGAACTCATTGTGCCTTGTATGAAGATAATGTCGACCAAAAAAATGACCAAAAATGATTCAATTTTGATTGTTGCAACTTATTGTCATGAATGTTAATAATCCTTCTGTTCTGTTAAGCTATTGGCCTGAAACGTACATGTTTTTGTTTCCATTACCCAGACCCCTAAGCCTTTCCTTCGTTATATCTCTCTTTACTACTCTGCATTATTTCCAGGATCGTTAACTGCATGAAATGTAATACGGAAAAGTCGTTGTCCTTGAATGTATTTTGAATACGATCCAATCAAAGCGAGAGTGCCTGAATTTTCGATCCAAACAATACTAAAATAATAATCTATTGTGATAGGTTAAGTGCGATGGTATTTCATAAAAATATCCCAAAATACTTGCACCAATTGTGCGGCACCCAGATCGCTTCTCCACTGAAACACTCACTACACTTAAATCCCCAATCGAATTGTTACTCTGAAGTGTCCTTAGCAATTACTGCCTTTCTAAGTACTCCCAAAATTAGATTCTAGAGAATCGCACACCTCTCAAGGATCTTCTCTATCGCACAATGGATAGGAATTCCACTCGAAATACAATCGAAACTCACGAAAAGATACTCAAACCAATTAGCTGTAATTCTCTAGATACAGATTATCTGAGATAGGTTTCGTTCAGGATTAAACGAATTAGTTTACACTAGCATTTGCATCTTAATCTTTTCAAATTAATTTAACCAGGGATGTCACAGAAATCACTAGATATTCGGGGAATCACAGAATTCTGAGGGGTTAGCCAAGACAAAAACCCTGGTGGTGTGAGTTGTAAAAGCTGCCAACCTGCTTTAAATGATTTTGAAAATTTTCAAAATAAAATTCGTTTTTTTTAAGCTTTTTTAATAAATTGGGATATCTGTCAATAAAATTTTTATTAAAAAGTGTGACTAGCAAAGTCGTGTACAAAAACTTGGCTTCACTGTAGATTAAAATCAGCTCCAAATCTCAGTAGTAATTCTCCTTCTAAAGAGAAAGCAAGTGTTTTCCTTTAAAGTGATCTCAATAAAAACAGGCCTCCGTGTCACCCTGAAGTAACATTTAAGTAGAAGTATTTCCTGTGGCATCCCTTTATATCTAATATCGAACATATCGAATTTTTCTCTTAACGGTCTACTTTTAGAATTGCTTTGGAAAATATTTTATGCATGCTTTACCCTTTACCAGTTACTTAATATTTATTAATTCCGAATTTAGATGGCATGATCCGTTAATCCCAATCCAATATAATACTTATATATATTATCGCTTTGATCTGATTAGAAATTATTATGAACTCTGTTCCAATCGAATTCCAATTCTAGCAAACTTCTGTGTCACAGTGACGAAGACGATGAAATGGAATACTAGCAAAAAATAATATTAGTTAATGCCCTTAACAAATAGCAAATTCAAATTTGTAGTCTGTACCACACAACACATAGCTTATCTAGATATACATTATATACAAATGATAGAAATTCCATTTGACATTTGCCATATTACATCGGAAAAAACAAAAACAAAAGATACAACAAAAAAAAATATATAAAAATTGCTGGCGGAGCATCGTCGAAGGATACAACCTTTTTCTCAGCCATTTTATTCGAAATTAAGCGCTCAAGACACATTTGTTAACTCAACTTTGCCATCATATTGTTATGCTAGACATACAACATATTATAGAGTCTCTCTTTGGTTGGAATACTTTAGAAACTTGGCTTTTGAACCGGCTTTTGGAGGCGGCAACGATGCTCCGCTTCATAATTATTGCGCCACTCTCGACTTCGATTTCCACAAAGATAATACCAATACCAATTAAAGAATCGCTTGTTTTCAACAAATTGTGATAGTAGTCATAAAAAATATTAAGTAAATTCGTATTACTAACTAAACAAAGAAACCAAAAAAAAGTAAACGGAAAGCGAAACCGAAATACCAATCAAAGCAATTGTATAGAATCGATACCCGATACTGCTCCGGGCCACAAATTAATGGCCGAGACTCGACATAAATCCGGGCGGGCGGAGATCAAACTCAAAAAAATATATAGATACCAGATACAATCCATGGGGATAAGCAGCGGAACCAAAAATGAATTCACACTCATCCAGACACACACACAGACACACTCGCATTGGGACACTCTTCGACATTTTTGAAATAGTTTTAACAATCTTATGTAAAAAAGCAAACATCTAATGGATTATAACAATATATATAAATATTGATATATATACAAAAAAGAACATATAGCTTAGCAGAACCGATATAACGCACGTTGCTTATGAGAATTTTTTAAATCATACAAACCAAACCGAACAAAACAAACCAATTTGAATGCAAAACGATTAAAATTTTTTACTTAACGTGTCTTTATCAATAAACAAATTAAACCAGCTAACGGCCTATTTAATAAACAATTAAAACCAAAAAAAAAAAGAGAAACAAAAACAAAAGTGGAGAAATGCTAAAAAAAAAAGAGATGTTTTCTTTCAAAACTTTCTTTTGGGGAATGAAAGAGTAGCAGAAGCCAGAAACCAGGACACGGGGTTAACCACCAGTGAGCGAGAGAGAGGGAGAGAAACTGGGAGGATTCTCCTGTTCTCCAGGCGCAGGCGTGTTGACAGGATCTGGAACCATTTGTTGAGCTGGCTCCATCCCTGTCCCTGTTTCGGTTTCTGTTTCCTTTTCAGTTTCAGTCAAGGGTTTGTTTTGACCTGGCCTTTCACTTTCACTTTCGACCAAAAGTAAGAGTGCGCAGTGCGTCCTTTGGCAGCCCTGGCATCCGCTCCGGGACTCAGTCAGGACTCAGTTGCTGCCAGGAGCGGACGTGGTTAAGGACGTGGTGCCCTCGGAAAATCACACTCGCACCAAACGGAAGGCCTCGGAAGCAGCCAGAGCTCATTCATCAAACATAAACGTCCCAGTTCCTTTCCCACTCCAGGACACTTCCACATTCCACCCACCTGACCAAGTCATTTTAAAGTCCAAACACAAACAAGCCAGTGGAACTTTGACCGAAAATAGACCAGCACTCGCTCACCAAAAAAACAAACAGCGACCCAACCCACCACATCGAACCACCCCAACGACAACCCCACCCACCCAGGAATCACCTTGAAACCGTCGCAGGACGAAACGCCAGCGATAGAGACAATCGGGGACTTGGGCAAGAGGAGCACGGCCGGAAAGTGGGACATCAAATCAACAAGTCGTAAATTAGCCACGAATTAGCCCGCTCCCAGGTATCACTCACTCCGATAGGACATGGCGCGGCGCAAGGACAAGCCGCGCTTGATTCCCGAGCAGGACAAGCGCATCTGTCGCGCCATCTGCCTCTGTCAGCTCACGATGGTGCTGTCCTGTGTGTCCATCGTCTACCTGAGTGTGGCCATCTACTCGCCCTCCCTAAAGTGGGTATTTCTTCTCCATAAAGGATATTTTATTAACAACTACTTTTCGCCATTTAGGGCCTTCAAATCAGGCTTTGAACTGGACCCAGTCATGTGCCAGACGGTGGACCGGCAGATGCCCAACAACTGCCCCTGGGCGTCCTGTGGCGAGTGGTGCCTGACCAGGACCAGTGGCTTCTGTCCGCAAATCCATTCGATTGTGCGTCGCAATGGAACGGATATTCAGCTGAACAATTGCACTCGAATAACCAACACATCCTGTGCTATGGTGAGCTCTTAAAACAAATCCTAATCTTGTCCAGAAAGAAATAGTATATAGTTCCCTAGAAAAATATTAAAAAATGTCAATTTAATTAAGGCAACTATTTTTATCAGGACATTCTTTCCAAGCACGAATAGCTTCAAAGTTTTTCCGCAACTACAACACAACCACTCCCCCAACCATATAAGCCCCCAACCCAACCATACCAAAAATAACCACCCACTGCCAAAGACGTCATCGTCTTGGACATCCCATTGAGGCGGACATGACTCATCCCTAGCCAGGCTAAGGTTGCGGCTCCTATTAATGGACTAGGCATGGATGAGGCATGTCAAGCATTTGCCCCATCGTCTTTATGGCCCGTGGCGCCACAAGAGTTTAACGATCATTGAATGGCCATTATCCCCCTGTTATCCCTCTCTTTTAGATTGATTTGAGTCGCCTCAACAAGTTCAACTGCAACAACGGCACCGCCTGCAACAACATTCGCGGCGTCTTCAACTGTTCCAATGGCAAGTGTAGTCCTTCGTCCAGCCATAACCTTTCAATTACATTATCTGATTTCCACAGGACACTGCAAGAACATGTCGGAGTTCTTCCTGTGCCACCACAAGGCCGATGGGCACGTTATCAACTCACAGAAGGACAACACCAAGCTGAACGGCTTCTTTGAGTGCCACGGCGTCCACTGCACCAAAATTAAGAAGCCCTTCTCCTGCGATCGGTACTGCTCCAAGATAACCACCGCAAACGTGAACACTTTAATCATGCATGTAAGTTGGGATAATAATAGTAAGCTTGGTCAGTCTTTCATGAATCCCTAAATAGGAGGACAACGTCATCGCCGCGGATTGCGAGAGTGCAGTGGCCTTCAACCAGGCCCGTGGCTCCGAGCATGGAGTGCGCATTGAACCCACCGAGTTCTGGAAGGAGGATGATGGCAACCTGTTGACAAACTGTGCCACAGTGACCCGTGAATCCGACAACCGTATCACGTAAGAAGATCCTTACAAAACACTCTCTTCAAAAATATATACATATGTCCTTTAAAAACAGTGCCACCGACTGCCTGAATGGAACTCTCCTGGAGCACGATACTCTGCCAGCTCCATTCATGAACTTCACCCAGTTCTGGGCAATCTATGAGAACAGCACTAGGTCGGTGGATCCCGAGCAGAGGTATTTACCCAACCAGGCCAATCTGACCATCTACAACTGGAAGAAACTGTACATCAACCTGGAGGGATGTGTCAACACTCTACGCGGGGAGTGCAAGGACTTTGTGGCTCGCTATGGCAACGACGGGGACAACAACACCGCCCAGTCACGCTACCAGTGCTACTACAACAAGGTTGTTATTTCGGAGTGGGAAACTCCCATGAATGTATCCCTCCTGGTATCAGTTTACTTGAGGTTGTATTTATTTCGGTGTTTCAGGACTCGAATGTGGAGTTTGTGGTGGCACGCTACGATTTGGACAAGGTCTACAGGGAGCTGTTAGTGTCCCTGATTGTGCCAATAGTGCTGTTTGTGGTTTCCTCCATCTCGCTCTGCATCATCACCAAGTCCGTCAAGGTAGTAACCGCCAAAGCCACCAACCACCAAAAATCCGCATCTAATTAATTTTCCTTTCAGGTGGGCGACGATGCCAAGATGCGATGTGTGTGTGCTGGCGAGGATTCGGACAACGATCAGGGCTTTGGCACTGGTATGGCCAACAAACAGCCAGACAACATGTACGACACCGACGACGATGTGGTCGATCTGGAGCACCAAGCGATGAGTGGACCAGAACTGGAGGATCTTGGCTCACCGTTGGATAACCACGAAATGATTGGCAGCACAAAGTCGCTGATACCACTGAGTCCTGCCGGCGATTCGGGCAACAGCGAGCAGAACTTCGACCAGGAGCAGGAAAAGGCCGCCAAGTGCGACGTGCCCGAGAAGCCACTAGTCATACTTTAAGGCAAACATCGAGGATATCCTATAGAAGAAGAACAGCACCAAACTTTAAGGACCTGGGCCTCGTACAAGGGGATCTGAATTTAAATTCTACTCAGAGCATTTATACAACGTTTACACCAACTAACAGGGAAATGGAAAGGACCCTAACTTTTCGCGGCAACACCAAGGATAATCACAGAACGCAACGACCAAGTTAAGAGGCCGCCGCAACTCCCAAGAGCTTTATTTACCCGGCCGAGCAGTTCCAGCAGATGCGCCTTAGACGAGTTGCATTTATATAGAGTATATAGAGAGCATAGCCCAACCGACATCTGCTGAACACGATCCAGATCCAGAAGGACAGACCAAGGAAGCGAGCTCCTCGTAGACATAGGATATGTAGGCATCCGACTCGCCTTAACTCTCGACTTTGTAGCTATGCAATATTCAAACGTTTTTCTTAAACTAGTTTAGCCGGAGGAGCCACAGTACCTACATATATCTGATATACTTATACATACTCGAATAGCAAATAAACTCCATTTGGAATTCTCTCTATAAAATGTAGCAAGTCTTACCTTTAACTCCTCCTGGCGGCGGAAGGCATCGGCCATCATCTGGCGGCGGATGTGCTCCGATATAACGGCCTCCCTTCCTGGCGGCCCTTCGCCTAGTTGGTTTATCTTGACCACCACCTGGTATAACGCATTAGGGAGTTAACTATATCATAAGGGGTTTGAATATAAACCCACCTTGGTCTTGTCATTAATGCCCAAGTAATCCTTCATGAGTTTCCCCATAAGGATCTGCTTACCGGCGAACCAAAGCTGGGCCTTGGAGGGCTCAATAACCTCCTTGGAGGCCTGGGTGCCGCTCAGGTCCTCCATGTTGGAGAACTCCATGCGAATAGTGTCATGTGGCGGCAACTGCATGGGATAGACGATGGTAACGGCGCCTCTCAGGATGTTCATGGCCTCCTCCACTATTTTAAGGGTGAGGGCTTTCGAGGATTTGGCCAGTTTCTAAAGGATATACAAGAATTAAAATTGAAGGCAACTCTTCAGGATAGTTGGCTTCCTATCATCCAGTATTACCCGATCTACCATGGCCTTGGCGTCGGTCATGGCATTGGCCAGAACCTTTTGCATGGCCTCAGTGGGCTGCTGGCCGTTGCGGCGGCTGAGGGGATCCTTGTTGAAACTAAAACCGCCAGAGGGAATACACTTGTCGGCCCACATATCCTTCAGCTTGAGCTCCTCGATCTGGTCGTCGTTGAGTCCAATCATTTCGCTTGGAAGCATGGTGCCGTGTTCGGCCAACTCCTCGATTTCCATGCAGACGCGCTGAACCTTCAACTGGCCATTGTGGATGGCCACCAAATCCCGCAGCACAGTGTCCGACTTCTCATTGACACTGGTCTCGAACAGGAAGAGGGTCTCATCCCCACGTTTCACTTGAAGAACCACCATTTCGAATACCAGTACCAGTAAAATATATTTTTCGACTAATAAACCCGGTGGCAGTTTTGAAAATGTCACAAAAAGCCGACACCGGAGAGCAGCTGGAAAAGCAAACAACTCGGTTGCTAGGTTCGGTTTCGATGGAGATGGACGGAGGAGGTAAAGGGCACTGGAAATATCTAACATTCAGAACATTTATTTTCTTTTTTTTTCGGTGTCGTAAGGTCGAACTATTGCACAATGCGATTACTTTTCCATTAAGGTCTGCTTACAAACTTCTTCAGCTACAATAAATACTATCCTAACTTACAATAAACACCTGCATCCATCCAGGGATATATTTTTTTGTTTGTTTGGTTTTATCGGTACGCTTGGTTGGCTGGTGGGTGGTGGGTGGTGGTTGGGTGTGCTAAAGTACAAGTAGCCTAGAGAAATTGTTTATATGTACAAGGAAGCAGCTATTCTGATGTCTGACGACGGCTAGCCTCTGGCCGGTCATGGGTTGGAGGTTAAAAGGTATTCAACATCAGCCACAATCTCGATGCAGCCCCATCTGCAGTCATGTCAATTAACTAGTAGTTTGAGCTGTTCCAGTGCAGCGAATAGGATTCTTCTCATCACTCCGTCATTTCAGATTAGCTATGTTATCTCAGGACGCGCCGGAAGTTTTCCATCTCATATATACTGTTGGATAATCTGAAACAAATATTATAATTTAATAAGCTTTCAAATAATTTATAAGAGGTATGCAGACACCCACCTGCCAAAGGCATTAAAGAGAGCAACAATTTCTGTACGCGAGAGCCTGAAAATGGGATCTGCCTCAATGTGTGGCTTATCCCACAGCCCGCTCTCCGTCGCCAGGTTGAGCTTCTCCGAATACAGAATCTTGAGAGCAGTGCCCAGTCCCTGGGTCTGCAGTTTGCCCCACAGCTTGCACTTGTCACAGCCCACACAACTCATGATACGGGATATGTTTCGGAACTTTTCCTTGTAGTCGTGTTTGAATTTAATGGAAGCAATGCCGCTGCTGAAAAGCGCGTTCTCGTCAAAGTGCGACTGGAAGGATCTGTGGATGAACCATGACATTATTTCACTTTCTCCCAAAAGGATAAATAATAATACTCACTCTACAACACTCAGGAGGTCGTTAATGGCAAGCTTCACCTCGTCATCCTCTTCTGCTATGCCTGTGTAGTAATCCTCTCTCCGCAGATACGGAGCAGCCTTGGCCAGAGCGCGCAGCTCTACCAGATAGATGAAGTACAAGTTGCGTAACCAGTGCGGTCCCTCGCCCCCAGTTGTTTCGGGGCTGAAACGGCGCTTAAATTCCTTGGCATTCGGACCCCAGATGCCTTGCGGATCGAGGAAGTCCTTTGACTCGGACAACAGGTATTTGGAGCACAGGTGTATATTGATGCTGGAGTGCAGGCCGGAGACGATGCGATAGAAGGCACGCTGTTCCAAGCACACATCCCTCAGGTCCATGTGAGGGACATAGCTCGAGAACTTGTTAGCGGTCTCGTTGTTGCCTCCAAAGCAATTCTCCAGATAGATGCTCTTCCAGATGCGATGCGCCGACTCTCCCCGATAGCCGGTATACCGCTCCGGATTCAGTAGCAGATCCACATACTGGGAGCCCTCCTCGTGATCATCGACGATGCAAAAGTCCTCCTCGGCCTCGTCGTGCTTCGCCCACAGCTCGAACTCCCGGTGCGCCTGGTCGCTAATGCTGGTGTCCAGGAATCCCAGGGCGCTGTCAAAGTCCTCCACCTCCGAACAGCTGCCGCCGTCCGTCTGCGCCTCGCGGGTGTACTGAAAGATTCAGATGAGGAAGCCAGTAAGTCAATTGTGTAACTTTGCCACCTGTGCAAACAATCAAGCTGCGATTGTAAGTCAGTTGTATTATGTTTATATTATTTTGGGAGTATTTTAAGGTCTGTAATATACAACGCGAATTTATGAATGTAAAAAACCAAGATCTAAAAATAAATAAATAAAAAACTGCACTTTTCTATGAGATATTAATTGATTTGCCCGCAACTACCTGAGTAAGGGAACTACGTGCGCTTCGCCATGCCGTTAAACTTTGTTGTCAAACAAATACACCTGATTGAAAAGTTGCGAAACTAATACAAACAAAAGGGTCGGATAAGTGCTCAATGAGAACCGGCTGCACCACGTCAGCGGTACACAACCAAATCAAAGGCCACATCATTACCCACAAACGCTCAATGGGAGATTACAGATGTGCCTTCATTCCAATATAAGTAAATCGCATTCACCTGCAAAAACCAACCCATTGAGCGTGCAGACCAGATAGTGGAAATATCAGTGCGCTACTTCCAGCAAAATAATTAAGTAGATAAGGGGGCTCGTAGCTTTCTGATTGTTCGGTGGTGCTTGGAATACTATAGCTTACTTTGAAGGCAGCGGATTTCTCCTTGTGCTCGCCGTCCTCCTTGATGCCCTGCGGGATGGCCTGCTCCTCACAGTTCTCCACCTGGCAGAAACGAATCGCACAGCGACTGTCGTCCGGCCAGAAGGGGCATTCCTGCTTTAGGTTCACCTTATAGAAGCGGAAGAAGTTCTTTACGAGCAGACTCTGCAGGCGGGGATAGATCTTCATGTTGTTGAAATGGTCCACAGTGTCTACGTCACAGCTACAATCGTTGATGGATCCTTCCAGCTAAAAGGATATAAATAGTTTTAGTTTTCGAATGTTAATGCTTAAATATTTAAATTTTATTTTAAAAAGAAGGAGTTTTCAAGATAATAATACTTCTAATGAAGTTTATCTCTTTATACAAATTAATTTTTATAATGGATAAAGTATTAATTAAAAATATTTCACAACCAGCTTAGCTAATTACTAGGCTTCCCTCACTAAAGACAACCGTTAAGCAATACGCCCATTAAAAGATAATTACTATTAGGATCATAAAAGCACCCAAAATCAAATTAAAAGAAACCTAAACCATCCGATAATCCTATTACAACGCCCCCAAAACACCTACATACCTCACAGAAACAGTTTTTGTTGGTCTCCGTCTCGTCGAGAGCTGCAAAGTATCCACGTGTGGAATCCGTCCAGTAGAGGAGGAGCACAAGGACCACCAGAACGGAGGCCCACAAATTCCGTTGCACTGTGTTTGTTGTCATTTTGTCCTTGTTTCTATAGTCGTGGCCAGGACTGTTGCACTCGGTTGTTTCCTATGTTTGGTATATTTGATGTTGATGCTGTTGAGGGGTGCTGTGTGTTTGGACGCGCTTCTTAACCAAGCCGCCGATGGATCGCATCTGATTCCGTAACCTGACTGCGCGGCTGATATGTGCAATTGCCAATTTCACGGTGTTTAGCGAGTATAAACGGTTCGCAGCAGCAGCATTGTTGATTTACGGATTCATGATTTTGGACACGTACTTTTAATGTGACCGTACACGCGCGATAAAAATACACTAAATTCCAGCCGGTGACATCAAATGTGATTGTCCAACACTTTTTTCATGATGTTGCCAGTCTGTTAAAAATATATAAAAAAGACCGTAATATCAAAAAAATTTAGATATTCAAAAATTTGAAAATAAATCTATCATCGTTGTGGGCTTATTTCGTTTAGGTTTAAGTGCAGGGTTATTGTAGGTATTGAGAGGTAATACTTTGAATAGTTTAAAACTTCTAGAACCAATCTTACGAAAATATGTATATTAATAGATTAAAATACTTTAAAATAATACAGGAGTATTAATGTTTTACAATAAATTTCTAAAAATTTCTTTAGTATATATGATATAGTTTTATTTACAATATACTTCATTTTATTTTTAAAATTTTTATGTGAGATCATAAACACAGAATCGATGCAAATATAAGATATGTATATTGCTAGAGAGTACCACCATAACATTTGACTTATGTTGATAATATTCAAGATAACATTGAATTGTCAATCAATTGATTGCTAAATGTGAATATTGTTATAGGTTTTCTCTTCTCCAATATTGATGCTGTTAATTAATTACCTCAAATATTGATTTCGCCTATTCTTCGGCGTTCAATGCGTCCTTTGTTCCCATGACAAACCCCTTGCCCGACGATAGCACCCCTAGAAAGTGGTCGGGACCCTCGATATGCAAATTGAGAAAACTCGGTCAGATCTAGGATTGAATCCTTTCTAACTCAAGACGATCATCATACATCATCCCGGGGGGTAAATTGCTTAAGATGCAGGGCACGAAGATGCAGGGATTGCGATTATATAAGCATAAATTGGAAAAAATAGACTCATCTGTCAAAAACAATGCCAACCACAAAATAATGTTTAAGATTTGGTTTTTAATAACAATTTTATTTTAATCTCAATCCCATTTTCTTCAAATTCCTTTTTTTTATTTGATATTTGAAATAAGAAATATTCTAAGCTATACTTTTCATCTTTATTCTTAAGTTCGTTCATTAAGTAAAGCATCACTTCCTTATGTTATTCTTTTTTTTAGTATAAAAAAACTTCAATTATTGCCCACCTGAGAATCCTATTTCTTCATTCCAAAATCATTCCCAAGACACCAACTTAAGTTCTCACGGAAAAGTGAAACTACAACAACGGGATGACTTAAGCAAAAAAAAAATGAAGAAACCTTCAAAAACGGGGAAAAATCATAGAAAAAAATGTACCGAACCAAAGGGTTTGATCATTTTTTTTAAATAGGACTATTAATGTATAAAAAACGCAGACGAAAACATGTGTGTGGCCAAAGGACAGGGCGGCGACCCTCGGCATTGTTCGAATTGAAAAGGAATCATCGCGGACTCGGGCGAGCAATTTGCATACGCAGGACTAAGGACTAAGGATGAAGGACGCAGGACGCAACTACCACCACCAACAACTCCTTATCTATTTGCCTTCGGTTTTCGGGGCCCAGGTAAAGAAAGGATCATCGAGATACACACACGAACACACCACCGTACAAAACGCACACGCACGGAATGATAAATAATTTTTTTCTTTCGATTTTTTTTATGAAGTTTTTTCACTTTTTTTTACCACTTTCAATTTTTTATGCAGCGTTTTATTCAAATTTCTATCCGAGCTGGTCGTGTGAAGTTTTGTCTTGAGAAGATTTTGCCTCGAAATGAAGGATGCGCGACGGCTGCAGATCTTAAGGAGCCTGGGAACATCCGCGAGCAAAGGACATGAAGGTTTGTCTCATTGCTGTCTGTCGAGACTGATCATTTGCCTAGATATTTGATTACTAATAGAAAAAAAACTGTCCAAAACAATTTCTAGGAAATGGGTGTCAGCTAAATATATCACTAATTAGCTATATCCTTATATTATCCTTAAAATATCCAATATATTTCTTTTACTTTTTAGAATTTTTAGAATAGAATAATGACTACTTATTAGAATGTCCATTAGGAACTCTTCCAAAACTTCACAAAAAATATCTATTTATTAGTATCTTCGTTAGGAACTCTCCTACAACCTTTAAAATAACATCTCTTCAGTAGCATCTTCAAAAAGAACTCTTCTAAAACCTCTCCAAAAATAAGTCCCTTTCTAAGTAAATGGTCCAAAACAATTATTTAGGAAATGGGTGTCAGCATAGTAAATATCACTAATTAGCTATATCCTTATATTATCCTTAAAATATCCAATATATTTATTTTACTTTTATGTTTAAAGATTTGGAAATCTTCCAAAACTTCCCAAAGAAAGATATATTTATTAGTATCTTCATTAGGAACTCTCCTAAAAATTTAGAATAACATCTCTTCAGTAGTATCTTCATTAAGAATTCTTTTAAAACCTCTCCAAAAATAATTCCCTTTGAAAATGAATGATTAATTCGCCAAACCCACCGCAAATCCCCTTTTCATCGGCTTATATCGCTTTCCCAGGCCATATGCAAATGCAGTTAGTTGCTCATTAGATTCGCGATCTCATAATTACATTCTGCAATGTTTTGGCAACAGAGAAACGTCAACAGCACCTCAAGACCTCAAGGATTAGGGTTCTCCAAGGACTCGCCAAAAATTAGCATATGTAACAAGATGTTGGCTGAAATATGCAATGCAATGCAAGCCGGGCACTTGAGATTTGCATAACTAAGCTGCGGCAACAATGCAAATGGGCAAAAATTGCCAAGGTATTCGATAGGGGTTAATATCTTGTGCTAATCCGCTAAAGAAGGCACACTCCGGGGGTAATTCGATTTCTACTTCTACCTTTTTTTTTGCAAGGGGTGCTAATAAAATGTGTTTGCAAAATGGTCGACCCGTAAAGTGGCAAAGGTGTGAACCAATCCCCAGGAATTTCTGCGTGCGGTTTATGGCTCAAAAAAGAACTGATGGTCCGAGACAGGTAACCACGCACTTTCATGCCAACAGGTGGTAAGAGAGAAGAGCTTGGTCGGCCAATTGTTTCTCTTTCTTGTGCTCTTCCACACACTTTCTCCGAAGACTGGGATGAAGGCCTGGCCTTCTCGAGAACCATGAGCGCTGGTCAGTCGGCTTTTGACTTTCGCAAGGTGCAGTCGCATCTTCTGGATACAAGATACAATATACTAGTTAATCGAGAGGATTGCTCTATTTTAGGATACATTGTGAGTGGTCGTAACTACATAGCTTATCTTTCGTGCGTGTTTCAGTGGATATCTATAGATATGTATGGGTTTCGAGGTTCCGGATATCGGATTACGGATTCCGAATTCCAGGGAATGCTTCTATGGCTAGGTGGCATCGGACAGTTATGCTTCTGCCGCTTACCGTTATGAGCTGAACCGATCGCTTCTTCCCAGAAGAAAGAAAAGAGATGGAGATTGGCCAGTAGCAGCCAGTGGCAATGCCAAGAAAAAGAAGTCGCTTAACTTGTTCGAGAGCCGAGCTGATCTGACTCTGACTCTGAGACTGAGTCTGAGTCTAAGGCGAAGAAGAATTCCTCTTCCTCTTTGACGTGGTCTTCTGCGTTTTCTGTGTCTTTCTTGGGACTTTTATGGAAGTGCTAAAAACGAAAGAAACCAACAAAAAAAAAAACAACATAATTACAAAAAAAAAAAAAAAACATTTTGCAAATTGAAAAGTGGCTTCAATAGTTGACCAAATCAACTACGATAGTTACAGTGTATGACGGTGTGCGTGTGTGTCGTTTACAGTTAACCCTAACCGTTCTGTGTTTGTTTTGAAAGAAATCTTTTCTTTTCCACTCGCGTGAAATTCAAATTCGTATTTGTATTCGACCAACTGGAATTTCAAGTGATTCCCATAATATGCCAACAAATGCCAAGAACCCAAAACCAAACCAAACCGACACCGAAACCGAACCGAATCGAGCCAAGCGATCGGTGTTAACGCCGTCGCGCCTTATGCATCTGACCTAGTTATCGGTTTTGGTGCCGGACTTGGTATTCATGGTGGCGTAGGCGTGGTAACTGACAGAATGGGGGGAAGAATGTGGCCAGAAGAGAGCATCGGAATGGTAGCGGTAGCGGGAGACGAGGCGGGAGCGGAAGCGATATAGGGAGCGGGAGAAACGTCTTGACCCAAAATACGTGACGTCTTTTGAGGAGCGATTCTAGGTTCTGTTTTTTCTTCTTAAATTACAGTCACTTTCTAAGAAAGAAATGGAAAAAAGTTTTAAATATGTAGATTATATTTTTTAGATTAAGAAATTAGTAGGAAAATAGTAATCTGGGGAGTTCTATTAAATGATAGTAGATACATAGATTTTCAAAGAGTTTTTGGTTTACAACCTTAAAAACTATATTGGATCTTTTCAATAGAAAATAATTAAATAAATAACTAATAATTATTAGTATTCTAGCAGTGTTTATTCATAAGAAAACAACACTTTTTTTGGTATTATACAAAGACCTTTTAATGGAAAATGTCTCTTTCAAAAAGACAAGAATTTCAAACATAATTGTGTGATTAACTAGCCAAATATTTTCTTTTATAACAATCGTTTTTGGCCAAGAAATTTCCGGTTTGTTGTAGAAAGCTTTTCAACCGGCACGTGATGAAGACCAATTCCGACTCTGAGATTCCGAATCCGATTCCGAGTCACTGAAAACCAACTGTCATCTGGTGTTGCACTTTCGCTAGAGATCTCCATCGTCAGTGCGGTTTCATTTCGTACTAAGTACTTTCTATTTCATTCATTAAACGGTCAGTTTCGTTAATTGTCGGCCAAGAATGCTATATACACTGTGTGCCATGGCTTTTACCCACATTTCTGAACATTTCTGAACGGCCCTCTGAACGGGGTTCATTGTCGTGGCCATAATTATTTGCATGGTCTTTTGTGTCCAATGTGCGATGTGTTTTTTGGTTATAAATGGTGTGGCGTGTGTAACCAGTTTTGGAACTCTTTCCCATTCATTCCACGGCTGTCTCTTCATTCCCGTTCTGGGCAACCCAGATACATACATTGATTAGGCCGGGGAACGAGCTGTGCGACCCGTTAGGCGGCGGGGCACCGCTACGTATACGTAATATTGAAATGGGGCACCTGCCGCATATCGCCGGGGACAGAATGGATAACCGAAACTGGTTTCGACTTATCACACCGAGTATGCCACCGAGTGGTAAGAGGTGCGTTGATCTTGAGGCGGCGACTCTTTCTAGGCCAATGATCTCGATGCCACTTCTTCTCCTCCACTCGCTGTGTCTCTTTCTGGTGGTGGGGAAGATGCCCCAAGCTGCCGGATTACGTCACAGGGGGCTTGGGTTACACGACTCGGGTGATGATTCAGTGCCGCAGCAGGCAGTGCCCCGACTTTCACTTGACCACCGCTAATTACCTCACACGTCTCACCGCCTTTCTCTGTTTCTCTCTTTCTCGCAGGTTCTCGCCAAGCAATGAGCACGTGCTGACCATGTTGGACCATCGAAATAATCCAAGATTTCCCATGAGCACCACCATGAGCAGCGTCCTGTTGCCCCTGATCCTAGGTCTTCTGCTAGTCAGTGGCCCGTCACCTTCCCAAGCGCAAGATGAGTCCCTGGCTGGTAGTTTTCTATCAGGTGAGAATTCACTAAAATATATATCCTTTTTAGTTATTAACTAAGTTTTTAAAGGTCTTTTGGACACCATCACCAGCACGGCAGATGCCAAGGACTGTCCCGGTGTTTGTGTCCACACCCTGGCCACCTTAATCTGCTACGAAGTCCTGGACGATGTGCCCTGCCCCTCGCCCAGTATGAAGTGCTGCATTGAAAATGCTCCAGGTTTGACTTAAAATTATGAATTAATTACGGACTAAGTTATTAATTAAAAAATATTCATAATAGCTGGTAAAAACGCCACTGCGGTGCGGGCAACCACAACACCGAAAACCACAACGCCAGCCAGCACCACAACCACACACAGAACCACAACGCAGAGGACAACCACAACAGTGGCTACCACCAGTACCACTAAACGGACAACCACAACCACTCCAAAGCCCAAGCCAAAGCTGCAGACAAAGCGACCGGTGAGTAGCACCACCACAAAAGCCACGGTTGCCACAACCAAGAAGCCCAGCACCACCAAGAAGGCAGCCACCGTGAAGCCAAAGGACAAGGAGGAGGCCACCAAGACAGATGATGCTAATAGTAAGTGGTTAAAAAAACATTAAATATGAAATGGACATAATATTAATAATTATTTTGGTAAACTTTCCAGAAGACTGTACCGGAGTCTGTGTGGCAGATCGCATAGCCGAGTACTGTGAAGCCTATTTGACGAGCGATGGCTTGTGCAAGGAGGGCACCAAATGCTGTGTCTCCCTGGATGAGTACTCCAACGGAAAGCTGCCCAAGGACATCTACATACCAGCCAGTAAGTATCCTCAATCATCAAAAATATCTTTTATAAAACATCTCTTTCTCATAGAACACATGAGCAATCTGAAGATCAACACTACCATGACCGTGAAAAATGCTCCTGCAAAGACCAGCTCCAGTACCTCTACCAGCAGCACTTCAACCACCACCACCAGTACCACTACGACTCCGGAACCAGCCAGAACCAATGGCAACAGCTCACCCAAGCCGAGCAAGCACAAGAAGCACCCGGCAACGACGACCACCACGGAGGCGGCCGACGAGGAGGATGAGGAGGAAGAGAACGACGACCAGGAGGAGGAAGAGCCCCCATTGAGCAACAAGCTAAAGTCCGGACAGGGCCAGGGTCAAGTGCTCAAAGAATGCGAGGGCGAGTGCATGAATGGAATTTTCGCCATTTTCTGTGATGACATCGATTCTGAGGCATTCTGTCCGGGCGAGGGAAGTTGCTGTGTGACTGGAAGTGTTTCGGAGGCTCCAGCCTCCAAGCCTCCGCCCACCAAGCCTGCCATTAAACACGCCCCCAAACCCGCGGCCAAGCCAGCACGCCCAGCCTCTCCACCTCCTCCGCCCTCCTCATCCACCCAAGGCGGAGATCTCCTCTCCCAGATCATATCCTTTGCCGAGAGCACCCTCAACTCCCCATCTCCGCCACCACCGCCACCGCAGGCCCCGCCCCAGGTGCCTCGTTGTCCTGGATTCTGCTTGCTGAATATCATGGCTGCCTTCTGTGAGCGTCCTTCGGTGCTGGTCTCCACACCCACCACTTGCGCCAAAGGATCCGTGTGCTGCGATAATTCGCGATCAGGAGTCGTCAAGCCTAAGCTTCCTCCGCCCACGCCCTCACCCACTGCTCCGCCTACAGCCCCGCCCTATGTCCTGCCCAACACACCAAGTCCAGATCCACGAGAGGAATGTCCAGGATCCTGCATCGTTAGTCTGCTCAGCTTTACCTGTTTCAGTAAGTTTAAGGTTTAAAACTTTAATTAATTAAATAAATTAATTATTTTTAAAAATTTTCCATCAGAAAACGCCGAAATGACTGATCTGTTCCGGTGCAAGCGGTCTGGCCAGATCTGCTGTGCTCCAAAGAGCAAGATCCTCGAGAAGCAACAGTTCCAGACTCGCAACGACACCGCCTACTATCCGGCTCCGCCGCCTCCTCCTCTAGGACCTCCGCAGGCCTATCCGCCACAGACGCCACCCTACTCCTACATGAACCAGCCCCAGGGACCTCTGCCGCCACCACCTCCCCAGATGGCGCCACATCACCCCAATCCCTATCAGCCCGGACTACCCCCACCCGGACCTAACTATGCTGATTATTATCCTGGCTCCGGCCCTGGTCTGCCGCCACAACCCCAGCCGCCGATGACCACGCCCCCCACGACAACCACTACTACCACAACGCCCAGACCGCATGTGTACTCCAAGTACGTCTGCGGCGTGAAGGGAACTCTGCGAACCGGACGCTCCCAGGCCCTGAACTTGGTGTCCTACGCCCGTGCCAAGTACGGAGTGCAGCGCACAGCTCGACAAATCACCTCCGCGGCGCCCTACGCCGTGAACTTCAACAAATCCAACGAGAGACTGGTCCTGGGCTCGGCCATTGTGCCCATTCAGATCCACAACGATAAGCTGGGCGACCTTGTGGAGTCAAGTAGCCTGCAGAGCAACCAGCTGCGCTCCTACCACAACCACCAGGACTCGGCTGACCGGCCGGAACTGGTTTATCCGGATTACTACCAACAGCGTTCCCTATCCGCCCTTCAGTCCAACTTCACAGGCCGGCGGCGAGCACGAGTCGTTGGTGGCGAGGACGGCGAGAACGGCGAGTGGTGCTGGCAGGTGGCCCTCATCAACTCCCTGAATCAGTATCTCTGTGGAGCTGCCTTGATTGGCACCCAGTGGGTCCTGACAGCAGCTCATTGTGTTACAAAGTGAGTATCCTTTTTAAAAGGTTACATTTCTTAGTTTCATCCTCTCCCAAATCTACAGCATTGTTCGCTCCGGAGACGCCATCTACGTTCGTGTGGGTGACTACGACCTGACCCGGAAGTATGGAAGTCCTGGTGCCCAAACCCTTCGTGTGGCCACCACCTACATCCACCACAACCACAACAGCCAGACCTTGGACAATGATATTGCCTTGTTGAAGCTCCACGGCCAGGCGGAGCTCCGAGATGGAGTCTGTTTGGTGTGCCTTCCCGCTCGAGGAGTCAGTCATGCGGCGGGCAAGCGTTGCACTGTCACAGGCTATGGTTACATGGGAGAAGGTAATTTTAGGGATCCTCGAAACCACTAAGAAATAATCTAAAACCTTTCTTATATTTCTACAGCTGGACCCATTCCTCTGAGAGTTCGTGAGGCGGAGATCCCCATTGTCAGTGACACGGAGTGCATCCGTAAGGTGAACGCTGTGACGGAGAAAATCTTCATCCTGCCCGCCTCCAGTTTCTGTGCCGGTGGAGAGGAGGGACACGACGCCTGCCAAGGTGACGGAGGTGGCCCGCTGGTCTGCCAGGATGACGGCTTCTATGAGCTGGCCGGTCTGGTGTCCTGGGGCTTCGGCTGCGGCCGCCAGGATGTGCCCGGCGTCTATGTGAAGACGTCCTCCTTCATCGGTTGGATTAACCAGATCATCAGCGTAAACAATTTATAGTGAGGCATCTCGCCTAGGACATTGACATTTCGTGCGGAAGGAACCCCGCTCTTGTGGCGATTTCCCGAACCTAGATAGGACGGGTGACCCCTACGATTGTACCCAGGGGTTCTGCGCTCTTCGACTGCTAACGTAAACCCATCCTAGTGTAATCTATTCATACCTAACCCTAATCTAAAGACACCAACCCAGAAGGCAACTATATTAACTATTACGATTATCGATAGCGTAGACGGCAATCTTTAAAAAAGTATTCCCCTTATTTGATAACTGTTTTTGTATATAAAAAATAAATACAAAAAAAGAAAATCTTCAGTAAAATAAAGGTATTTTATTTCAAAAGAATATTATAATATAGAATCTATTGAAAAGACTTTATGTAAAGTTTGGAAATTATTACGATTTTTTTTTTGGAAAAAAGGTTAAGAGGAAAGTCTTCAAATACTTTGTAACGGTTAGATTTCCAAAAATAAGATAGAAAAAATAGAAAATTATATACAATCTCTAATTAAATCCTTTGACATGGGAAAATCCTTTTTTTTGGCCACAAATTTATGCAAATGTTGGCCGTTGATAAAATTTTAAATATTCCAAAAGAATTTTAACGGAAAATATCATAAAAAAAAAGATTCAGAAAAGGATCTTCCGAAAGGGACACCCAACACCCAAGACTAGACGGATCTTTGAGTGATTCCCAAGAGGCGGAGCTCAATCACTCACTCAAGCACCCGGCAGATGTCTCAACTTTGAGCTGGGGAAGCCCACTCACTCCTTAGATGTCTCGTTCTCTGAGGAGTTCTCTCAGCTCTAATAAGAGTATCTTAAGCATCTGCAGATACTTCGCCAGTAAAAAACTAACCCTCGAGCCGAAGGCTGGAAGCCAATCCTTGCCCTCACCCTCTCGCTCCGATTTGTTTTGTTTTCGTTTTTTTTTTTTTTGTATCCCTGTTTGTAACCCTTTGATTTAATGTGCTGAGTTTTTCTTCCCTCGGAAGAAAACGAAAGCGAATCTCGCTCGGCTGGGCTTCGACTGGCTTCGGCTATGCGGAAAGGGTTCCTGAGCTGTCCAGTCTGGGATCTGAAACCAGAAGTTCATCTGGCCTCGAGCTGAGCGGATGCAGAGATCGTTCAAAACTAGCGCGACTCTCCCCGATACTTCGTGATTCTTCCCGATAAAGAAGCTCTTCATAGGGAATTAGTGTAGTCTTGTAGTGCATCCTTGTTGTAGATCCCTAACACCAAACTCCTTGATCCTAGCTTGCATGCATTTCGTGTTAGTCCTTTGTGTTTGTGCCTGGTTCTTGTTCGCCCATCGTCCAAGTCTCGTGAAATTAACTCGCCCTTTTGGCAAGGACATAGTTCATAAACAACCCACAAAAATGGAGGCCGCAAACTCCCCCACAACACCAACCACAACCACCGCATCCCGAGTGTCTGTCTCGAGTCCTTCGCCAGCGGCCAGCACCAGCAGTAAAAGTCAACCTGCCTCCAGCTGCCCAGCATCTGGCACAGTATCCGCCACCGCATCTGCATCCGCCGCTGCCACACCTCCTGCCCCCGTCACACAATCGCAGCTCCTGACCACGAATCTGGAGGTGGCCAAGCAGGAGGATCTGTATAATCTTTCGTTGGCCAGTGGCTTATCTGAGGGTCAACGATCGCTATCAGGAGCTCCCTCGGCCTCCTCCAGTCCCATTCTGAGTCCGCAGGGCAAGATCTTTGGAAGGAATGCAAATGGCACAAGTAAGTAGTCAAATTATATATTTTTTTAAAATATTTTTCTTGGTTTCTTCTTTGATATTGGAGAAGAATTCCCTGGAATATATCATAGGAAATCGTTCATCTTAAAAATTCATGATAGCCATCTTGACCCTTAATAGCTTTAAAGATTGCTTCTAGCTCGCTTTATAAGGATAACATTTTTAAAATTGTTTGAAGACCTTAGGTCCTGATTATGTACTAAATCAGAATCCTAGTGTATTGTTCCTAAAATATTTTTAAGACTAATTCAAGAACTACCATACCTAAATCAGGAAAAAGTAAGAATTGTTTTCCTATTTAGAAGAAATAACGAAAAAGCTCCGAGAAACTCAAAAAAGATACTTCTGCTTAGCACATTTTCTTTCTATTCTATTTATGATGTGATATAGATATAGTTCTATTTATGATATAGTATGATACCTCTGAAAAACTAGAATTCAGTTAACATTCAAATAGATTTTCCCCTGGACCATATCAAATTCTAAATCAAGTTTCTTTATAACCCAAAAAAAATAATCTCCATCCACATGCTGCATTTTTCGCGCTCTTTTCTGGAGCTTATTGTTCCTGATGTCCTTCTGTGATTATGTAACGGAAGCTCTGCGAATTTAAGAAGCTGGTTCCTGGTCCTAACGGACTTCCTAACAATGGCAGAAAAAAAGCCACCTTTCATAGGCAATTTTATTCCCAAATCCTAGCGGTTCCCATTCCGGTTTGCACTTCCTCGGTGCCGATTGCTCGGGGTGTCTTGTTTTGCATAAACGCTCAAGACTCAAGATTCCGCCAGGTAGCAATGGCAGACGGCATCCAATGAGATCGGCTCAAGGATCCAGGTAAGATGCCCGGGCTAGGCAACCGTTAGATCGACCTCGTGATGATAGGCCATGTCCTAGGGGTGACAAGCAAGAACGGCGAGAACGAAACGGAAAAAACTCACCCCAAAAGGTGAGGGTAGCACCGCAGTCTGAAAAAATCTCAGTCTTAAGGGGTGAATCCACCAACGAGACGAGTCCTTGTTGGAAGGACGAGAAAAAATGTCGCCGGCCAGGGGAGAATTATTAAAAGTAATTAAAGTTCCTGGCAACCCTTTTGATTATTTAACTTTTTTTTGGAAAATAAGGGATAATCCAAACGTTAATAGATTTCTATTTTCTAACATAAGATTTGTATAATAAGTTGTGTTTAAAGAGTCGGCAATATTCTTTTGCTGTGCAGGTTATGGTTATGGCCCGGTCCTTTCCGATGGGGCCATCGGCCATTGGCACGTACGGGCCAAGTTATTGCCACCAATGGAATTTTGATCGACAAGAATTTGGTCGTTGAAAAAGTTGGCTTTTAATTTATCGTTGTATATGAGAAATAGTTTCGGTTACTTGTCCATTGCCAATGGCCGAGCCAAAACGAGAGCCAGCGGAGGAGGGCTACCGATCTTCCCGGGTCGGTCTTAGGTCCCAGGTTCCAACTCCAGTCAGACCCAAGTCAAAGTCTGCGGTCCGGCGTCTACTTTTTGCCCATAATCGAAGCGATCGTCCGATTGACTGGTCCGCTCCACACCGGCACACTTGTACTCTCACACATGCGGAAATACACTGCAAAAAAAATACAGATATTATTTAGTTGTGGACCAAGGTAATGGCAATACTTCTTTATAGAGATGAAGACTTTCATACCATTAGTTTTCTATAAATAATAGTAGATTTATTTTAATAATGTTATCAAATTTTGTCGCCGTGTACTATACTCACACGCATTTTCTGTCTGGATATCTGGAGGTCTGGCTATCCTGGCTTCCTTTCTGCTCCTGGCTGGGCAGCTGCTTGGTATGTGGCGTCGAATGTCATTATTGCTGCCAAGTGCCAACTAAAAAGTTACTGCAGTTAATTTTTTGTCCATCTTTACCATTTGCCGTTCGCATAAAAACAGCATATTTAGCAAATGACAACAACAACAACAACAACAGTAGCAGAAATAAGAAGAACGCATCCCAAGAAGCAAAAGCTTGGGGAAGAGCACAAAAAAAAAATAAAAAAAAAGCAGCAAACCCGCAAATTAAATAAATAAAAAATCAGCAACAATTCGCAGCAGCAGCTGAAGAAGCGAAAGAAGAATAGCCACTGGTGGAGCAGGACAACCACACCAGTGTCCCCACTCGAGATTGCTTTAGAGCTCCCCCTTCCCCTCCCACTTTTGGATGCCTGGGATGGCATTATTTGTGTATTGAAATCACGTCTCATTTATTTATTGCTGCAAATGTATGCCCATCTCACTCCGGCTGACTCCCGACTTACGCAGGTCTGCGTTAAATACCCGGGTGCCCGAGTGGGAATGAGAGGTGTAGTGATTGGGGCCTAGACCAGAAGTGTGGCCATTGGCTTAACCCTTTGGTGATGCTGGGGTTTTGATCAGAAATAATATGGATATTCTTAGGTTTCAATTAAAAACCTTAAAATCATATCACTTCACGTCTGGCCAACTGACTTGTCAACAGATATTTCAGTTTAACAAAACTATTTATGATATATCCAATTAAAGTGGCCAAGAATGCATATAATTCTTGGTTCCAAGCCATAAATTGTAACAACCCCGTGGCGCAGAGCGTGGGTTAATGACGCAAAGTGAGAATCCTTGGTGTCGTCCGTCGTTGGTGGATGCGGTTGGAACTGGAACTTGCCACAAAAAAAAAAACCCGGTTCAACGCCGAGTAGATGGCCAGGCCATCGATGTACGCGGCTTTTTCTGCCCAGAGTTTGTTATAATTTTTGCTGCAGCCAAGTAGCTCGTTTTTCTATTAATTAAAGCCGGGTTCGGAGGAGCCATTGGAGTTGTCGCCGCCTGAAATATTCTCACATAATTATTTACGATTTGACATAATCATCATCCTCGTCATCGTCGTCGTCGTCATCGTTGTCGTCCATTTAAAGCTGTGCGCTGCCATAACAGTAACCGGGGGGATTCATTAGTATGAGCAATAAATCGCTGGATGCTGCAGCAAAGTTCCTATGAATTTAAGGCGCATCACATAATTTTAACCCCTACTTCGGTCTCTATTTAACCCCTTCTCGTTTTTTACTCTTTTTGGGTTAAAATCGAAAGTGATAAAACCAAAAAAAAAATAAATGAGACAAAATTAAAATGATCCTGACAGGCTTGAATCCTGGCCTTGCTGTTGTCTTCCAGCGCATGCGTGACGCATTTCTAACGAGTTTCGCCGACTTAAAATCGTTTGGTCGTCAGGATCCGGTACAGGATCCTTCGTCCCTAAAAAGGGTTGAACTGAGCGTTCTCCCCGTCTCGCTCGCACCGCTGCTTATGCAGATGAGCTGGTTCCTCTTACCTCATCCTTTTTGTGTGCTTTTCGAGTTTTTTTTTTGTATGTTACCTCACTTTTTACTGAGCTGGCCTTGCCCGAAAAAGGGTTAGGGTCCAGACGTCCGTCGGGTTTTTTTTTTTTTGTAAAAAAAAGCGAATTTAATTAAAATTTTTTTCTTATAGGCTGCCAACATTGTGAGAACGTTGCAGGCTAGGACTTAATAAATATCATTTTTTTTTTACCCGAAACAATTTTTTAAGCCTGTTCTGGTTTTTTTTTTTATCTTTCACAGTGATCACCACATCGCGACCGAGCAACGAGGCAGAGGTGCAGCTGTACCGAGTGCTCCAGAGGGCCAGTCTTCTGGCCTACTACGACACACTCCTGGAGATGGGGGGCGACGACGTGCAGCAGTTGTACGACGCCGGCGAGGAGGAGTTCCTTGAGATCATGGCACTGGTTGGCATGGCCTCCAAGCCGCTCCACGTCCGCCGTCTGCAGAAGGCTCTTCACGAATGGGCCAACAATCCGGGCCTGTTTCACGGACCTCTGCTTCCGCATCTCGGTAAGTCTAAGAATATTTGGAAATAATAGAAACCCCCCTTAATCTCATTGTTTAAAAATTTCAGGTCTTTGCGAAACCCCGCCCAAGCCAGCGTTGGTCTTCAATCCAGACGCCACTCCTGCCCTGCCCCGTCAAAAGTTTCCCTCCTTTAATCCCGCAGGTTCCTCCTTTCAGCATGCATCGGTAACGCCGGCTCCTGTTCTGGCTCCTGCCTCACTTCCCGCTTCTGCCCCCGCAGCCATGATCACCCAGATCAGTTGTCCCTCAGCTGTGCCCGTGCCAGTGCCCCTGGTCCTGCCCTCCACCCCGCTCACCAGCAGTCCCCATCCCCCCGCAAACAGTAGCCTGCCGCCCGTTAGTACCGCTCACCAGGTGTCCTCCAGTTCGCCCCAGCTAACTCCTGTGCTGACGGAGATGCAGATCCAGCGGATCACGCAGTGCGCCGACAAAATAGCCCGCCAACTGCCGCATAGGGAGCCACGTGCCCAGACCACTAGAAAGCGAACTACTCGGGAACTGGAGCAGGTGATCGCCATGGGGGAAAATGATCCCCGGCGCATGGACGAGATCCGTAAGTACTCGGCCATCTACGGCCGATTCGATTGCAAGCGGCGGCCCGAGAAGCCCCTTACTCTACACGAGGTTTGCGTCAATGAGGCGGCCGCTCAGCTCTGCCGGAATCCGCACACCATCTGGCTGCTGACCCGCCGGGATGAGCTCTTCCCGCTGGCCCGTCAGATTGTCAAGGATGCTGGATTCGGCCATTCCGCCAGCATTGCCCGGTATGGAGGCCTTCTGGCTCAGTTGCCGGGCAGTTGCCAGGCAGCCGGAGGGGGTGGAGGACGCGGATCGAGCAGCATTCCTCCCAGCGACACGGACTGCGAGTCAAGCGATGCCTCCATGCCGCCCAAGAGGCAGCGACTCTCCTCCACGGAGGCCGCTCAGATGCCCCTCGACTTGAATCGGGTAAGGAAGCTAGATTCCGTAGAGCCGTAGGTTCAATCCGTCGCCGGTGCAGTGCTTCAGCTTCGCTTCGGAGTCCTCCTTATCCGGAGACTCCATGATAACCCACAAAATTTGCTTTACAGCTTACCAGATTGCCAAACACAGTTACTAACCCAAAACCGAGGAGAAGTTCTTTTCAGAATATCTCACCCATGCAGTGAAGGGATCATCTCACGTATTTGGGAAATGTTTTCACTTTCCATTCTGTAGTAGATTTTGAAAAATTTAAGCTCCTTCCAAATTAGACTTATTTTTTAACCAAAAACGTATCTCGATTGTAGAACTAGTCTTTGTTTAGGGGAGAAACTTCTCCGAAAAACATTAAAATAATCTAAAAAACCCTTCTAATAACTTTTAAAAATAATATTTATCTTTCCTAAAAAAAACTGTTTACTAAAGTTACAAATCTTTAAATCTTTACTGACCTGGTATTATTAGTATGTAATGAACTTTTTGATAACTGGTTGATTTTAAATATTGTTGATAATCTATTACTGTTTGTATACTCGAACTAACACTTCTACTAAGCCAACTTATTAACAAAAGTCTTAATTCAAGTTATTTAGTCGGTAGTCTTCTTGCAATACATTGTTGTACCTTCCTTGCTGTTGAGTCAATAAATAAATCCTACGAAAATTCCAACCAACGATCCATGTGTCTTCTTCCTTGGCCCCCAAAACCATTTCTGTTCCATTTCTTCGCCTCCTTGCCACGCTTAGCTTCATGTTAGCATCTAAGAGAGAAACAATGACAGAGACTTTAATCCTTGATCTTGTTGACAAATCCAATCCTCATAAAAGGAAGCTGTCGAGGACTCGCGCTACAATTTATTCGCCATGTACCAAAAGTTTGCCAAGCCGCCTTTTGACTTGACCGAGATCGCCAAGTTTTCGTGAGTATTTGAATGTTTTATATATGACTAACAATTAATATTTAAAATTTCTGTAACAGTCTTGGCAAAACTGCCGACTACGAGGATAACGATTCGCGATTCTCCTTTAGCAACTCCAGTTCGCCGACCATGCCAGTGAGTATGTGTTGGAGCTCTACGTGGCCATTCCGTTCCCCATTAAATTTCCCAAATTAAGATCCACTTTGTATCCCACTCTTCATCCCCAGACGCCCTGCAATGGAGTGGAAAGTGAGCGATCGCCAGTTTCCCGCCACATGGACACATCCCCCACGCCAAGGGAGTCCTCAATGGATCTAAGTGGCTCGACTTCAGGCTCAGTTCTCCGGGGTGTTCAGGTTATCTCTGCTGCCGGGGACAACATCATAGCGGTGGCGAATCCCGCCCTCGCCCTCAGTCCCACATTGAACGAGGTTCTGACCCTCAAGCGGAATGCCGCATCTCCGGAAGCCTAGCTCTAGGATGGGGCGTCAGGCTCAACTTAGTGCCACATCCAAACTATTATAATTCCAGTGCAATTCACTTAGCATAGATTCGTCCAGGAGGAAATTTTGTTTTAGGCATCTGAAGTCAATGACTAGTTTTTAGTTTCTGTGATCTATACTAAACACTGTAATAAAATTAATATTTAACCCATAATAAAAAGTTATGCTCTACAAATCTTGTGTGAAAAACCTTTTAAAATTGGTCCTTTTTAAACAGAATTGGGGAAAATGCATGGAAGGCCAATATGGGCCACAGGGATGGCTCTATCTTGGCCAATTTTATTCCGATTCTTGAGCGGAGTACCTTAAATGCGATGGCTCTATCTTGGCCAATTTTATTCCGATTCTTGAGCGGAATACCTTAAATGATTTCTGGATCGATTCTCCATCAATCTGCATTAAAATCTAGAAACAAAATATTTTTTAAATTTTTTGTCAAATTTTCTGAAGGATCCCCTACCAGAATTGGGCAAAATGCATGGAAGGCCAATATGGGCCACTGCGATGGCTGTATCTTGGCCAATTTTATTCCGATTCTTGACCGGAATACCTTAAATGATTTCTGGATCGATTCTCCATCAATCTGCATTAAAATCTAGAAACAAAATATTTTTTAAATTTTTTGTCAAATTTTCTGAAGGATCCCCTACCAGAATTGGGGAAAATGCATGGAAGGCCAATATGGGCCACACCGATGGCTCTATCTTGGCCAATTTTATTCCGATTCTTGAGCGGAATACCTTAAATGATTTCTGGATCAATTCTCCATCAATCTGCATCAAAATCTAGAAACCAAATATTTTTTAAATTTTTGTCAAATTTTCTGAAGGATACCCTAGCGAAATTGGGGAAAATGCATGGAAGGCCAATATGGCCCACTGCGATGGCTGTATCTTGGCCAATTTTATTCCGATTCTTGACCGGAATACCTTAAATGATTTCTGGATCGATTCTCCATAAATCTGCATTAAAATCTAGAAACAAAATATTTTTTAAATTTTTTGTCAAATTTTCTGAAGGATCCCCTACCAGAATTGGGGAAAATGCATGGAAGGCCAATATGGGCCACAGCGATGGCTCTATCTTGGCCAATTTTATTCCGATTCCTAAGCGGGATACCTTAAATGGTTTCTGGATCGGTTCTCCATCAATCTGCATCAAAATCTAGAAACCAAATATTTTTTAAATTTTTGTCAAATTTTCTGAAGGATACCCTAGCGAAATTGGGGAAAATGCATGGAAGGCCAATATGGCCCACTGCGATGGCTGTATCTTGGCCAATTTTATTCCGATTCTTGACCGGAATACCTTAAATGATTTCTGGATCGATTCTCCATAAATCTGCATTAAAATCTATAAACAAAATATTTTTTAAATTTTTTGTCAAATTTTCTGAAGGATCCCCTACCAGAATTGGGGAAAATGCATGGAAGGCCAATATGGGCCACAGCGATGGCTCTATCTTGGCCAATTTTATTCCGATTCCTAAGCGGGATACCTTAAATGGTTTCTGGATCGGTTCTCCATCAATCTGCATCAAAATCTAGAAACCAAATATTTTTTAAATTTTTTGTCAAATTTTCTGAAGGATACCCTAGCGAAATTGGGGAAAATGCATGGAAGGCCAATATGGCCCACTGCGATGGCTGTATCTTGGCCAATTTTATTCCGATTCTTGACCGGAATACCTTAAATGATTTCTGGATCGATTCTCCATCAATCTGCATCAAAATCTAGAAACCAAATATTTTTTAAATTTTTGTCAAATTTTCTGAAGGATACCCTAGCGAAATTGGGGAAAATGCATGGAAGGCCAATATGGCCCACTGCGATGGCTGTATCTTGGCCAATTTTATTCCGATTCTTGACCGGAATACCTTAAATGATTTCTGGATCGATTCTCCATAAATCTGCATTAAAATCTAGAAACAAAATATTTTTTAAATTTTTTGTCAAATTTTCTGAAGGATCCCCTACCAGAATTGGGGAAAATGCATGGAAGGCCAATATGGGCCACAGGGATGGCTCTATCTTGGCCAATTTTATTCCGATTCTTGAGCGGAGTACCTTAAATGCGATGGCTCTATCTTGGCCAATTTTATTCCGATTCTTGAGCGGAATACCTTAAATGATTTCTGGATCGATTCTCCATCAATCTGCATTAAAATCTAGAAACAAAATATTTTTTAAATTTTTTGTCAAATTTTCTGAAGGATCCCCTACCAGAATTGGGCAAAATGCATGGAAGGCCAATATGGGCCACTGCGATGGCTGTATCTTGGCCAATTTTATTCCGATTCTTGACCGGAATACCTTAAATGATTTCTGGATCGATTCTCCATAAATCTGCATTAAAATCTAGAAACAAAATATTTTTTAAATTTTTTGTCAAATTTTCTGAAGGATACCCTAGCGAAATTGGGGAAAATGCATGGAAGGCCAATATGGGCCACAGCGATGGCTCTATCTTGGCCAATTTTATTCCGATTCCTAAGCGGGATACCTTAAATGGTTTCTGGATCGGTTCTCCATCAATCTGCATCAAAATCTAGAAACCAAATATTTTTTAAATTTTTTGTCAAATTTTCTGAAGGATACCCTAGCGAAATTGGGGAAAATGCATGGAAGGCCAATATGGCCCACTGCGATGGCTGTATCTTGGCCAATTTTATTCCGATTCTTGACCGGAATACCTTAAATGATTTCTGGATCGATTCTCCATAAATCTGCATTAAAATCTATAAACAAAATATTTTTTAAATTTTTTGTCAAATTTTCTGAAGGATCCCCTACCAGAATTGGGGAAAATGCATGGAAGGCCAATATGGGCCACAGCGATGGCTCTATCTTGGCCAATTTTATTCCGATTCCTAAGCGGGATACCTTAAATGGTTTCTGGATCGGTTCTCCATCAATCTGCATCAAAATCTAGAAACCAAATATTTTTTAAATTTTTTGTCAAATTTTCTGAAGGATACCCTAGCGAAATTGGGGAAAATGCATGGAAGGCCAATATGGCCCACTGCGATGGCTGTATCTTGGCCAATTTTATTCCGATTCTTGACCGGAATACCTTAAATGATTTCTGGATCGATTCTCCATCAATCTGCATCAAAATCTAGAAACCAAATATTTTTTAAATTTTTTGTCAAATTTTCTGAAGGATACCCTAGCGAAATTGGGGAAAATGCATGGAAGGCCAATATGGCCCACTGCGATGGCTGTATCTTGGCCAATTTTATTCCGATTCTTGACCGGAATACCTTAAATGATTTCTGGATCGATTCTCCATAAATCTGCATTAAAATCTAGAAACAAAATATTTTTTAAATTTTTTGTCAAATTTTCTGAAGGATCCCCTACCAGAATTGGGGAAAATGCATGGAAGGCCAATATGGGCCACAGGGATGGCTCTATCTTGGCCAATTTTATTCCGATTCTTGAGCGGAGTACCTTAAATGCGATGGCTCTATCTTGGCCAATTTTATTCCGATTCTTGAGCGGAATACCTTAAATGATTTCTGGATCGATTCTCCATCAATCTGCATTAAAATCTAGAAACAAAATATTTTTTAAATTTTTTGTCAAATTTTCTGAAGGATCCCCTACCAGAATTGGGCAAAATGCATGGAAGGCCAATATGGGCCACTGCGATGGCTGTATCTTGGCCAATTTTATTCCGATTCTTGACCGGAATACCTTAAATGATTTCTGGATCGATTCTCCATCAATCTGCATTAAAATCTAGAAACAAAATATTTTTTAAATTTTTTGTCAAATTTTCTGAAGGATCCCCTACCAGAATTGGGGAAAATGCATGGAAGGCCAATATGGGCCACACCGATGGCTCTATCTTGGCCAATTTTATTCCGATTCTTGAGCGGAATACCTTAAATGATTTCTGGATCAATTCTCCATCAATCTGCATCAAAATCTAGAAACCAAATATTTTTTAAATTTTTGTCAAATTTTCTGAAGGATACCCTAGCGAAATTGGGGAAAATGCATGGAAGGCCAATATGGCCCACTGCGATGGCTGTATCTTGGCCAATTTTATTCCGATTCTTGACCGGAATACCTTAAATGATTTCTGGATCGATTCTCCATAAATCTGCATTAAAATCTATAAACAAAATATTTTTTAAATTTTTTGTCAAATTTTCTGAAGGATCCCCTACCAGAATTGGGGAAAATGCATGGAAGGCCAATATGGGCCACAGCGATGGCTCTATCTTGGCCAATTTTATTCCGATTCCTAAGCGGGATACCTTAAATGGTTTCTGGATCGGTTCTCCATCAATCTGCATCAAAATCTAGAAACCAAATATTTTTTAAATTTTTTGTCAAATTTTCTGAAGGATACCCTAGCGAAATTGGGGAAAATGCATGGAAGGCCAATATGGGCCACAGGGATGGCTCTATCTTGGCCAATTTTATTCCGATTCTTGAGCGGAGTACCTTAAATGCGATGGCTCTATCTTGGCCAATTTTATTCCGATTCTTGAGCGGAATACCTTAAATGATTTCTGGATCGATTCTCCATCAATCTGCATTAAAATCTAGAAACAAAATATTTTTTAAATTTTTTGTCAAATTTTCTGAAGGATCCCCTACCAGAATTGGGCAAAATGCATGGAAGGCCAATATGGGCCACTGCGATGGCTGTATCTTGGCCAATTTTATTCCGATTCTTGAGCGGAATACCTTAAATGATTTCTGGATCAATTCTCCATCAATCTGCATCAAAATCTAGAAACCAAATATTTTTTAAATTTTTTGTCAAATTTTCTGAAGGATACCCTAGCGAAATTGGGGAAAATGCATGGAAGGCCAATATGGCCCACTGCGATGGCTGTATCTTGGCCAATTTTATTCCGATTCTTGACCGGAATACCTTAAATGATTTCTGGATCGATTCTCCATAAATCTGCATTAAAATCTAGAAACAAAATATTTTTTAAATTTTTTGTCAAATTTTCTGAAGGATCCCCTACCAGAATTGGGGAAAATGCATGGAAGGCCAATATGGGCCACAGCGATGGCTCTATCTTGGCCAATTTTATTCCGATTCCTAAGCGGGATACCTTAAATGGTTTCTGGATCGGTTCTCCATCAATCTGCATCAAAATCTAGAAACCAAATATTTTTTAAATTTTTTGTCAAATTTTCTGAAGGATACCCTAGCGAAATTGGGGAAAATGCATGGAAGGCCAATATGGCCCACTGCGATGGCTGTATCTTGGCCAATTTTATTCCGATTCTTGAGCGGAGTACCTTAAATGATTTCTGGATCAATTCTCCATCAATCTGCATCAAAATCTAGAAACCAAATATTTTTTAAATTTTTTGTCAAATTTTCTGAAGGATACCCTAGCGAAATTGGGGAAAATGCATGGAAGGCCAATATGGCCCACTGCGATGGCTGTATCTTGGCCAATTTTATTCCGATTCTTGACCGGAATACCTTAAATGATTTCTGGATCGATTCTCCATAAATCTGCATTAAAATCTAGAAACAAAATATTTTTTAAATTTTTTGTCAAATTTTCTGAAGGATCCCCTACCAGAATTGGGAAAAATGCATGGAAGGCCAATATGGGCCACAGCGATGGCTCTATCTTGGCCAATTTTATTCCGATTCCTAAGCGGGATACCTTAAATGGTTTCTGGATCGGTTCTCCATCAATCTGCATCAAAATCTAGAAACCAAATATTTTTTAAATTTTTTGTCAAATTTTCTGAAGGATACCCTAGCGAAATTGGGGAAAATGCATGGAAGGCCAATATGGCCCACTGCGATGGCTGTATCTTGGCCAATTTTATTCCGATTCTTGACCGGAATACCTTAAATGATTTCTGGATCAATTCTCCATAAATCTGCATTAAAATCTAGAAACAAAATATTTTTTAAATTTTTTGTCAAATTTTCTGAAGGATCCCCTACCAGAATTGGGCAAAATGCATGGAAGGCCAATATGGGCCACTGCGATGGCTGTATCTTGGCCAATTTTATTCCGATTCTTGACCGGAATACCTTAAATGATTTCTGGATCGATTCTCCATCAATCTGCATCAAAATCTAGAAACCAAATATTTTTTAAATTTTTTGTCAAATTTTCTGAAGGATACCCTAGCGAAATTGGGGAAAATGCATGGAAGGCCAATATGGCCCACTGCGATGGCTGTATCTTGGCCAATTTTATTCCGATTCTTGACCGGAATACCTTAAATGATTTCTGGATCGATTCTCCATCAATCTGCATTAAAATCTAGAAACAAAATATTTTTTAAATTTTTTGTCAAATTTTCTGAAGGATCCCCTACCAGAATTGGGGAAAATGCATGGAAGGCCAATATGGGCCACTGCGATGGCTGTATCTTGGCCAATTTTATTCCGATTCTTGACCGGAATACCTTAAATGATTTCTGGATCGATTCTCCATCAATCTGCATTAAAATCTAGAAACAAAATATTTTTTAAATTTTTTGTCAAATTTTCTGAAGGATCCCCTACCAGAATTGGGGAAAATGCATGGAAGGCCAATATGGGCCACACCGATGGCTCTATCTTGGCCAATTTTATTCCGATTCTTGAGCGGAATACCTTAAATGATTTCTGGATCAATTCTCCATCAATCTGCATCAAAATCTAGAAACCAAATATTTTTTAAATTTTTTGTCAAATTTTCTGAAGGATACCCTAGCGAAATTGGGGAAAATGCATGGAAGGCCAATATGGCCCACTGCGATGGCTGTATCTTGGCCAATTTTATTCCGATTCTTGACCGGAATACCTTAAATGATTTCTGGATCGATTCTCCATAAATCTGCATTAAAATCTATAAACAAAATATTTTTTAAATTTTTTGTCAAATTTTCTGAAGGATCCCCTACCAGAATTGGGGAAAATGCATGGAAGGCCAATATGGGCCACAGCGATGGGTCTATCTTGGCCAATTTTATTCCGATTCCTAAGCGGGATACCTTAAATGGTTTCTGGATCGGTTCTCCATCAATCTGCATCAAAATCTAGAAACCAAATATTTTTTAAATTTTTTGTCAAATTTTCTGAAGGATACCCTAGCGAAATTGGGGAAAATGCATGGAAGGCCAATATGGCCCACTGCGATGGCTGTATCTTGGCCAATTTTATTCCGATTCTTGACCGGAATACCTTAAATGATTTCTGGATCGATTCTCCATAAATCTGCATTAAAATCTAGAAACAAAATATTTTTTAAATTTTTTGTCAAATTTTCTGAAGGATCCCCTACCAGAATTGGGAAAAATGCATGGAAGGCCAATATGGGCCACAGCGATGGCTCTATCTTGGCCAATTTTATTCCGATTCCTAAGCGGGATACCTTAAATGGTTTCTGGATCGGTTCTCCATCAATCTGCATCAAAATCTAGAAACCAAATATTTTTTAAATTTTTTGTCAAATTTTCTGAAGGATACCCTAGCGAAATTGGGGAAAATGCATGGAAGGCCAATATGGCCCACTGCGATGGCTGTATCTTGGCCAATTTTATTCCGATTCTTGACCGGAATACCTTAAATGATTTCTGGATCAATTCTCCATAAATCTGCATTAAAATCTAGAAACAAAATATTTTTTAAATTTTTTGTCAAATTTTCTGAAGGATCCCCTACCAGAATTGGGGAAAATGCATGGAAGGCCAATATGGGCCACAGCGATGGCTCTATCTTGGCCAATTTTATTCCGATTCCTAAGCGGGATACCTTAAATGGTTTCTGGATCGGTTCTCCATCAATCTGCATCAAAATCTAGAAACCAAATATTTTTTAAATTTTTTGTCAAATTTTCTGAAGGATACCCTAGCGAAATTGGGGAAAATGCATGGAAGGCCAATATGGCCCACTGCGATGGCTGTATCTTGGCCAATTTTATTCCGATTCTTGACCGGAATACCTTAAATGATTTCTGGATCGATTCTCCATAAATCTGCATTAAAATCTAGAAACAAAATATTTTTTAAATTTTTTGTCAAATTTTCTGAAGGATCCCCTACCAGAATTGGGGAAAATGCATGGAAGGCCAATATGGGCCACTGCGATGGCTCTATCTTGGCCAATTTTATTCCGATTCTTGAGCGGAATACCTTAAATGATTTCTGGATCGATTCTCCATCAATCTGCATCAAAATCTAGAAACAAAATATTTTTTAAATTTTTTGTCAAATTTTCTGAAGGATCCCCTACCAGAATTGGGGAAAATGCATGGAACGCTAATGTGGGCCACAGGAAATTGTCTATCTTGGCCAATTTGATTCCGATTCTTGAGCGGAATACCTTAAATGAAAGATACAATGAAAGAATATTTAGATTCGTGTCAAATATCATCCTAAAAACAGAGCAGTCAACATAAATGTGAACTTAATGCCACACAATTGCCCTGATTGATTGCATGATCATTGCCAATTGCAAATTGAAAGATCATCGGTATCATAGATCACAATTGGACACCCGTTTATATTGAGTGATCGTGTTTACATTTGCGATTGTGGGCAATTCCTTTGTTCGCCTCTTGACGCCGCAGAAAGGTAATAATGTCCTGGCCAACCCTTGCCAATATTTCGAACCCTTGCGAAAATCCTTGGGACAGGCGATAAAGATGTCTAAGATGTAATGATGAAATTAACACCCTTGCGGCCTTGTGGGTTTAGGTATGCAAATTTCGCAAAGATTTTTGCTTATGCAAATTTTGTTGGCATTATTGATGATGATGATTCACTTTCGCTGTTGTGATTGGATCTTAATTAGAAATGCAGTTTAATGAACTTTCTTGTGAAGTAAACGAAATCCATCTGCCAGATGCGATTTGAATCTCAAAGGCCCCCTCAAAAAAAACACGACCATGTGGCCACAAATGCGCGGGAGGCGTACTCTGACTTTTAAAAGGATTCGTCTTGCATTGTTGGTTGGCATATGATTTGTTCATCTGCCGTTGGAGAAAGGACCCCAGAAGAATGGTTTTTTTGGGGTAGAAGGTAACCCTTTGTTGCCTGCAAGGAGATGGCGCCCAAGCGATACGATCTACCTCTGAGGGCAGCGGCTTCTTCGGAGCGAAAGGAGATCATTCTTTTAGGATCTTATTCTGAATTATGCAAATCCGCTTGTGGCTGCCGGAGCAATTACAATGCAGTTCATGTGTAGGGACAGCGGCTGCCTTCTTACCCTGCATTTACATATTCTTGTCTTAACTCCTTTTTTCAGGGTCCGCGATCATTACAAACATGATTGATGAACAGCGTCTTGCGCTTGATTTGCATAAGATTTGAGGGTAGGAAAATTCTTACTGCCTTCAGGCATCGCATATAGGGATTAGACGTCCTGAGAACAAAGCCAGGAGTGTAAATATTTGCACTCTAATATAAAAGAATTTTCATCAAAAGGTTCAATATTTAATATTCCCTATTAGATAAGAAAGTTATTAAATATAATTTTAATAGATCTTAAAAAAATAAGCACTTTAAAATATTTTATTCCATATGTTTAGGGAGTATTTCGGACCTGTTCTTCAATCCAATCCATAAAGTACTGGGTGCTGGCATAGACACCTGGTACATCTTTGCGAGCACACCCGATGCCATACGAAACCACACCAATAAGGTAGAATCTGACTTTGTCCTGGTACAGTTCGTTGACCACCAGTGGACCGCCGGAATCACCCTGGCAAGTATCCTGCCCTCCGGTCAAGAATCCAGCACAGATTACCGCGCTATCAAACTGGTTGTCATTTCGATAGCGATTCTGAGCCCGATACTTTTCAAGACAGACTTCGTTCTTGAGGACTGGAAGCCGCAACTCATTCAGCACAGTGGCCAGTTCTCCCCCCTCCTGCAACTTGCCCCATCCGGCGACATAGGGCCAATAGTCCACGTACGATTTGTGGCGGAGATCCTCCGTATGTGGAAGACAGACGGGCAAAATCGCCTTGGTGAACTCCACATTATGTTCCAGGTACAATATGGCAATGTCACTCCGTCCGTTCCATCGATTATAGTCCGGATGGGACACGTACTAGAAAAGGAAAATTATTGGAAGATATATATTTTCTGGTTTGTAAAGAAATCTCTTACCCGAGTCACATTAACGTCTATGTGAGGAGCCTCTGTATCGGTGGTAAGGTTAAATTCTCCCAGACGCACAAATGTTCTTAAGAAATAAAAAAATATTATTAGATTCAAAATTTAAAAAATTTATTTTCTTACAGATCGTCCAAAATGCAGTGGGCAGCTGTTAGTACATGCCTGGCAGTGATTAAGCTGCCTCCACATTTAAAGGGTCTATGAGAACCATCGTCGTAGCCCAAGAGTGCAATCCATGGCCAATCCCCCGGCCGGCGGGATTCATTACCGCCCACAACGTAGGGGTTATTGAGTTGGTACGGTGATACACCGCATCCCTCTTCCACTCTCGGCAAGCGGCGTGGCACCTCATCCGTATCTTTCAGAATGGTTGTGACTTGTTCGGGACAACAAACCTGGTGACCTTGGTTGCCGCATATTCCTCTAGAAGAGCGTAAGAACTGAAAAAAGTTCTCATCCCGATTCCTTGTCGTTAGCTGGTTTAGAAACGCTGGACAACTTTTGATTTCTATTGAAAATAATTTCTATATTATAGATGTAATTTATAGATATGTAATTTACCCAAACAACTTCCAGGCTGGTTATCGGGGCCTCGACAAGTAGATCCCTTAGAGTCAATAACGGGAGTGACTGTTTCAACCGGAACTGGAGAAATAGTTCTAGTTGTTGTCAACAAAAATCTAGGTTGGGAGGAAACCAAGGGATTCTGCGACATCATTGTTCCCGAAACCAGTGGATTCTGGGACATCATTGTTTCTCCAGGCCTTTGAGATGGATGGAATGCATTTTGCGATGGCTCTCCTTGCTGGAGCATATAGTAAGCACAGCACACCTTTGGTGTTAAAACAATAAAGCATTAGTTAAAGACAATATTTGGTTGTGGGCAGTCATACAAATGGATCCCTGTTGATGCTACGGGTGCCACAGCTGCGGTTCAAGGCAATCACATGGCTTCGGGCCAAATCCTGACTGGTTGCCCGAAAAATCAGTACCACCTGGGGGCAGTAGCTCAAAGGCACACAATTTCCATAATTATTATCCGGAGTGATGCAGCTTTGACTAGCTGGTGGGAAAATAATGAATATATAATAGAATAAATATAAAGAAAAAATATATTTTCTATTGAAATCTACTTTAAATATTAATTTTTTGTTTTTTCAAATTATCATCATCAAAAAAAATCAAAAGACTTAAGCTACGAACTTGATTTTCTTATCAAAACACATAAGTAATCAAAATTGTTGAATGCGAGAAGCTGTTAGCTCGCATTAAAACAAATAACTTAAACAACAAACTTGAATATGCACTCTCTTTACAAAAAATAGTACAACAAACTGTATTTAATTAACCTTTTTCGGAAGCATTGTTTTAGTTCAGTTATTGAGGGTCACTTTGTCCGTTAACATTTTTTAATCAAAGATGATTCGTGCTTGTAACTGGTTTTTTGTTTACTTCAACAAGTTAAGATTCATTGTATAAATTATTTAGATGCAGTAGTGACGTTTAATTGTTTAAACATTTTAGGCTACCTTGCTGGGCATCAAAAGGCGTGGCAGAAAAGAATAGTAATATGTGCAACGTCTCAAATATATATTTCATGACTATATTGGTCAATGATGATACCCGAGTTGCAAAAATATACGCGTCACTTTTAAATTTCTTTTAAACTTTATCAACGCAGCTGCTACAGGCTTCTGATTAATCCACATCGAAAGTCGAGCTTTATATGTTTTAATTAAATCTACATTTTTTCTAACAGCTTCTCCCCTCAAAAGCTGTTTAGGTGAAAAACTTAGATACTTGGGATTATTAGATTAATCATGTTGGGTACTCGCATATATCGAATAGAGTAGTGATCGAGCAGGAATCGTATAAGTCGCGAAAATGGAAATAAAAAACAATCCTTTACATTTAAGAAGAGTCCTGTATTGAACCTTTATGAACCTTTTATAAATATTTGTTTACATTTCTGAGCAGTAGGCAACTTAAGCTTAGTTTTAACAATTCTGACAAGATGTGTACACTAAGACGGCTTAGTGGAAGCTTATGGCATAGATGGCAACGGCATCTTAAGGCGTGTCCTGGACCTGGGCTATGATCCAGTCCATGAAGTACTGTGTGCTGGTGTAGACACCCGGAACATTGGGCCGGGCACAGCCGATACCGTACGACACCACACCGATCAGATAGAACCTGTTCTGGCCCTGATACTGTTCTGGTATCATTAAAGGACCACCAGAGTCACCCTGGCAGGTATCCTTGCCACCGGTCAGGACTCCGGCACAGATCACGGCTTGGTCGAACTGATCGTTGCTAAAGTAGCGTTTCTGTTCCCTGTACTTGTCGACGCATACGTCGTTGCTGTAAATAGGTATCTGTAGTTCATTGAGTACCGTGGCAGATTCGCCGCCCTCCTGGGTCTTGCCCCATCCGGCCACGAAGGGCATGTAGCCGATGTAGGATTTTTGACGGAGGTTTTGCGCGTGTGGCAGGCAGATGGGGGCGATGGTCTTGCCGAAATCCACATTTCGCTCCAGGTACAAGATGGCGATGTCACTGCGTCCGTTTCTTCGATTGTAGGCAGAATGGGCAACATACTTTTACGAAGATAACAATTTATTAATTGAAAATATATTTTAAAATTAATAACTCACCTTTGCCACATTAATATCCACATGCTTCGTTTCTGTATCCGTGGACAAGTCGTGCTCTCCCAGGCGAACAAAAAGTCTACAAGAAAATACTACTTTTAATTAAAGATCCAAAAAATAAACTTATTTAACTTACAAATCGTCACGGATGCAATGAGCTGCCGTAAGGACATGCCTGGCCGTGATCAAAGTTCCGCCGCACTTGAAGGGCGATCCGGAAGGATCATCGTAGCCCAGCAAGACTATCCAGGGCCAGGCACCCTTACGGCTCACCTCGCCGCCCACGATCTTCTTGTAATATCCGACGGTGGAACCACATCCCTCATCAACGTTGGGCAAACGTCGTGGAATCTCGTCCGTATTTTTGGGCAAAACTTGAGGCGGAGTGGTGGCTGTCTGTCCATTGGGACAGCAGACGTTGGTGCCCTGGTTTCCGCAAATCGCTCTGGATGCCCGCAGGAACTTGGCAAACTCTTCGTCATGCTGCCTCTCGTACAGCTGACTCACAAGCGATGGGCAGCTCTTCAAATCTACCGAAAAGGTAAAAATAACATTAGATTAATTAAAAGCAGAAGTAATTAAAGATTAAAGCATAATGATTCAAAAATAACTCCAAAACATGGCAGTATCTGTTTCAATAAATCGTAAACAAGAATGCACTCACCAATACAATTTCCGGGCTTGGTATCCGGTCCCCGACATGTGGGTCCTCGGAAATCCACCAGAGAGGCTGCTGTGCTAACCGGAACTGGGGCTGGGGTTGTTGTTGTCGTCGTCGTCGTTGTTGTTGTGGGTTGGGTGAAAAAGTTTGGTAGAAATGGATTACTTGGCTCATTGGGGACCGGCGGAGGCGGCCGTGGATTAACAAATGTCGACTCTGTAGGAAAAAAGGTATTCACAGGCGGCGGTCGCTCTGTGAACTGGTTATTTCGGGGGGCCGTACAGCATACCTAAGATGGCAGGAAGATGCGAAAAAAAGCTTAGCGTGAAAGGAAAGGATAGATCGGAGAATAGTCCCTACCACCGGATCCCCGTTGAAGCTGCGGGTGCCACAGGCGCGCTGCAAGGCAATCACATAGCGCTGGGCCCGTTCCGGACTGGTGCTCTGGAAGACGTTCACAACTTGGGGGCAGTAGCTCAGTCCCACACAACTCCCATAGTAGTTCTCGGGTGTGACGCAGTTCTGGCGAACTGGACAGAAAAAAAGTTTGTTTTTAGTTTAAGCTGAGTTTCTAAATAATTACCCAAAAGTCTTAGCTTTAGAATTAATTACTAATCTTTGAAAGTAAAATGTACAACTACATGGCTTTTTAGTCAAAAAAATTAATATAGAATGAGTCAGTGGTCGACATGGGGGTTTTATTTATGTTTTTTAGCACCATGTCAACAGGCTATCATTAGCACAAACCACTCACAAAATACTAAACAAAAAATCGCACTGGTGGGGCTTAACAAAAATTAAAAAAAAAAAAGCAGTTGAGTTAAACAATGGGTTTAGTATACGAATTATTTATTCCATTTGATTTTTGAATAATATATAGTTCTCCTGGGAAAAAGATTCTTTTGTTTACTCAGAGAGAACTCAGGTTTAAATTAAAATCGCGAAAAGAGGCTTGTCGAACTGCGCAAAACAATGTGTTTCAAAAGTAAAGCCATTTGTCTTTTTTTTTAAATGCCAAAAAAATCGTTGACAGTAAGAAGTGTGTATAAAAAATGTGATATATGTTCAAATGTCATTCACATGTGAGATTCAAAACGATTCAACACTAATTGATTAAAGTTATATATCTTAAATATATTTGTTAGCCGGGTAAAACCGATACGTGCTCTAGGGGAACGCCTGTCCGGCAATAAACACCTGTCAGAGTCACCGTCGGAGACAAAATCCGACCTTGGTGACTGGTTTCGTGAACTGGAATTGAACTCGGACACAACAGGCCAAAAATTGGCTGTCAACAACTTGAGATTTAATTTCTACATTTTTGCACTTGATATAAACTGCCGCATTAACTGGCAAATCGAAAGACTTGAGAAACGAACTTGCCATTGAACTTGAGAGTGTAGAGTGAATAGATGTGCCTATAAAGTTTATAGATAGTATATAGAGGCTATATCTTAATCCATCGTTAGTCAAATGCGTTCCCGATTATATATAATTCGTATTTAGTTATTCCGAGATGCGTTGTTAATGGAACTGGTTTGTTGTTTGCTCCAAGCCGATCAGATCGAATCAGACGTAAAAAGTTCTACAGATTTTAGCGATAGATATGGCGAAGCAAAGTGATGGCGACTTTAGAGCTTTCTACTAATTAAGTGGCTGGCTACCTTGCCTGCGCGGCTGATTGAACTGGGCGTCAGTGGGCGTGGCACAGAGCAACGATACAAGTGTAATCACAACACCGACACCGCACACCGTTGCTGATTTAGTTTTCATGGCGAGATCGAAGTGTTATGAGAAAATACGGGTTATATATCCGGTATCCGGAGGAGAGCGTTGTTCGCGAGCCGAGCTGCGTTATCAGACTGAATTTGGAGAATCCGATCGCCGGCCTCTTGACCGTCGGAAGCTTCAATCTTTTCTATCGAATTTCGTGGCCTCCGTGACCAAAGTGATCGCGTCTTCGTTTCGGCTGAGCGATCGGCCCCCAAAGCCGAGCTTTATATGCAGTCTTCCTCTCTCAACGATCGTATCTCTCTGAATTCTACAGTCTCTCCCAGTCTCTCTGAGGTTTCTTCTGGCGAGAAAACGAATGCACTGACTTTTCATTTTTGTTTTGGGGTTCACAGGCTCATTAATGGGGAAAAATCACTAAAATTCGCATACTCAGATCGGGAAATAATTTTTCCAGCCTAAAATGCAAAACAAATTGCTTTAATAATATAGATCAGTTGTTTTTTTAATAATAGGACTCGCCGTCTCATTGTTCCAAATATGTGGAAATTCTTAGATTCGAAAGTGACTCAAAAGGCTTTCAAATTATAACATAGAGTATGCCATCCGACCTTGCCTTGCTCTCAATTGGTCATTGATCAAGTCCCGGGAATTCTGTGACTCAATTAAGTGTTTTAAAATAGGAGAATGATATATTCCATTAATCAAGGTAAATTAAAGCGGATCCCTTTGACATGTCAATTGGGAATCACTTTTCCAACGGTGCTTCATTCCAAAGCCACCTAATAGAGTCTAGGAATATCTTTGTTTATAAAGTGATTATAATTAAGATGCAGATACTCAGTCATGATATTTGTAAAATGCATTCGAATGCAATTGCCGGTAGAAGCTTTCGCTGATTAGCAATTAAAGTTGTAGCTTTTGATTGATCTTTATTTACAGTGAATATTATGTAACATTAAACAACTTAAAAATTTGTATTCAACTTGAATAACATTTATTATTTTAAGATTTTTTTAGGGATTACCTTAGTAGATACTTTCAACGCAGTTTACAAAATACTGTGGATATTTTTTGTAGTTTAAAATACAGCTAAATATTCTCTTATCTCTACGTTTTATAAACTTTTGTATTTTTGAATTTTTTAAAATAAACTAAGGATCTTTAATGCCGTGACTGTGTAAACATTTTTTTAAAATTTTATTAGATTCTATTAATACTGTACTGCCTTGTGGAATATGACGCCATGTGTATGCATTTTGTCACTTACATTAGCACTCATTTAATAAAGACACCCCACTAAGACGCCTTTCCATTCAAAAGAGAACCGGGGGCACTCAACCTGATTAGGAATTCCGCGGAGGCGCTTCCAAAAGCCAATTGGCATTCGATGAATGCAACCGCTGGGGCATAATATCCGGCGATCGTTCTACTATTATGACTAATTCGGATCACTTGGCCATGCAGCACAGGTAACAGTTAATAGGTATCAGCGGGGGTCCGAAGTGAATTGCGGGAAATTCCAGACACAGAATTGGCTAAAGAATTGATTTTTTTGTCGGTTCCGGCATGGTAGTTATGAGATTGTCTTTTATCTTTTTTATGAGAAACAATATCCAAAAAATTTACTCTATTTTTTACTTCTTTAGCTCATAGCTTTACTTTTTGTAAGCCACACTCTACCTATCCTTGTATAATGCAATAAGAAATGGTTTTTAATGAAATACGATTCAAATAAATTTCCCCTTTTTCAGGAATATCAATTAGCCTTAATAAGGACATAAAAACATGAAATTTATTGCGGGTCTTGCGGTGGGAATGTGTTTTTAGGATTTAAATGAACTTTTTACATGTGTCATCGGAATAATATGTTCGGCAGGTGATGTGTCACATTCTAAGCCGCCGAGATGTGCTTCTTGATCCATGGAACATATGAGGCCACTCTCGTGTAGACGCCCGGAAAATTGGGTCTAGCGCACTCATAGCCGAATGAAACCAGGCCAAGAAGATAGAATCGATAGCCATTGGACTCCAGCTGAAAGTTGAAAAAGAGGTTAAATCAAATTAAATAAAGATATTGGTTTACGCGTAGTCAGAATAAGATTTTTGTCAAGTCATTGACGTTTTCGCAAACCAACGAAAACTTATCTGCGTCACCGAAATTGGGTAATAAATGGGGAAACCTTGGCGGCTTAAGACTTGGCGACCAAGAAACTCGTTTGATGACTCACAGAGCCAGATTATTGGAGAGGAAATCTCTGAGAGATTTGTAACTGACCTGCGGCAGCATGAGTGGTCCACCAGAATCCCCCTGACACGCATCCACGCTCGAGCTTCCAGCACAAAGAACCTGTAAAGGATTTATTAGCTTAGCGATGTTTTGGGGGATCCCCCTCTCGACCTTGTCTTACCTTGTCACTGAACTGGACAAACTGGAAGACTGACTTGTAGCTCTGCTCACAACTGTGCCGGGAAACAATCGGCACCTGAGCATCGCGCAGCACCTGCGAGGTGGGTCCCTGGTGTTTGGCAGCTCCCCAGCCTGCCACGAAGGGATTCATGCCAACAAAGTCCTGCTGCAGGAACTTGGCCGCCTCGGGCAGACAAATGGGAGCTATATTGGCTGGAAGTTAAAAGAAAACTTGAATAAAAAATTATTATTTATTATAGGCTAAACCCTTACCTGGCAAAGGTCCATTCACTCCACTCAACTGGATCAAGGCTATGTCATTCGATATGGAGTTGATATCGAAGTGCTCGTGGACCACTGTTCGCTGGATGCGAAAGTCCATTGCACCCGCTTCTGTGGGCTTCGAGAGGTCATGGGCACCCAGACGCACCAAGGTCAGCATGGGATTGATGCAGTGTGCCGAAGTGATCACGTAGTGGGAGTGGATCAGGCTGCCGCCGCAAAGGAACTTGAGAGCATTGCGATTGGCCTCCTCGAAGTAGCCCAAAGCAGCTATCCAGGGATAGGCTCCTCTTCTGGCCTCCATCCCGCCCACCACGCGATTCGATGTGGCGCCACTAATACCACAAGTAGTTGGTAGTTGTGGCATAGACTGTGATGAAGGTGGCGGTGGTGGTGGTGGAGGAGGAGGATTATAAGTTGGTCTTACCACTATAGATCCCTGGTTAAGAGGCGGAGTGGGCTGGAAGACCATTGGAGTGGCTGTGGATCCTCCACTAAGAGGCGAGAAGTGAAAGAATCCGAAGGGGGCAGTGGTGGTCGCAAGATCCTTTCTACTCCTGGCATTATCAGCTCGATTAGAGGAGCAGCAAACCTATACAGAAATATGTAGATAGCTGTAAGATTATTATTTTAATTTAAGATTAAAATTTGTCACTAAATTAAGTCACTTCTTGCTGCTAAACTTTTTTGTTAATATTTTAATCACTTTCACAAATAAATTTAAATGCACCAAAAAAGTAAATGCATAAATAAACAATTTAAAATACGATTTAAAAATAATTTTCCAATTATGTAATTTCAACTTAATTTTAATGTACTAACACATGTGCCAAGCACTTATGTGAGTATTTTTTTGCTATTTTTAGAAAAATAAATATCAGAGAGTTACCATAAACGTGGAGCCATCGAAGCCGCATATGGACTGGCCCAGAAAGGTGTGGAAATCATTGCCCTGCCCCTGACCCTGATACTCCTCCATGAGCTGGGGGCAGGAGGTCAGAGGCAGGCAGCTTCCAGGCCGGGATCGGGCATCGTAGCAGGACTGGGCTGTAAGAACGAGGAGAGCAATATGGGTTGTGACTGGGAGGGAGCGTGGCAAGGAACTCGGTTCCTTCTTTCAGTTTGTCTTTTAAGAATTGAGTTGGCCAATTGGATTTGTTTGAAATTTCGTGATCGTTTATTTTGACTAATTTTGTGGTGCTTCTTTTTGAAGAGGTAGTGTGTAAGTTGGAGGTGTTTAGGACTCAGGGTGATATCTTAGAAAAGCATCCGACGTCTTCGGCGACGACGCCGCCTACGTCCGGAATTCAGAGGCATGAAGACCATCATATCCGAACCGATTTGTGGTCCGGTCGAGGAGACCAGTGGCGAGTTCTGTTGCTGGCGAGGGTCGATGCAGGGACAATTGGGCAGCGGACGCGCTCCCCCAGCCAGGCACACCAGTGGCTGGGATGGACAAGTCGGCACTGGGATGGGCAAGGTCGTTCCAGCTGTACTAATCGTAGTACCACCCGTTGTGGTTGTCGTTGAAAGCGTTGTGGAGGTGGTGGTGCTGCTGCTGGTGGGGATCAGCGGAGGTGTCACCGGCGTCTGGGGAAACGGAGGTGTCGGCTGAAAGGTCGGGATCACTGCAGGTGTGGACGGAAAAGCGTTTGGAGGCGGTATTAGTGGCGGTGGACCAATCGGCGGTTGCGGCGGTGGAATCAGCGGTGGTTGCGGCAGCAGCGGGGGCTGCGGTGGTGGCAGTGCGTAGATTGGATAGTAACCTGGCGGATACAGCGGGCACCATCCCTTGATGCTGGCCAGATACGACAGAAACGGCCAGAAGTACACCTTCACGCAAAACTCGTCCAACAAAACCATGATTAATCCGAATTCTCCGTCCGTGCTGATGGGCCACCAGGTGGCAACTGTCCCCAGACTAGGCTTTTTTGGCCATTTGCAGCTTGGCCAAGTGGAGCATGGCAATACGTAATGATTTTAATTCAATTGTATTTTAGTGGGACACAATTATCCGAAGAACTGTGTGGAATGCCCAGCTCAGGAGCGGTTCAAATAAAATAGAGGCTCTAACTATTTAATTTTAAACTATGATTTTGTCATAAAGGTATTGCATAAATGTCACATGTTTGTAGTAAAAATATCAATACATATATGGAGGTTTATTCTCACAAGGCCTTTTATTGAAATGCAAACCTCTATAATCATTCAAATCAAAACAGCTTTTAAATATTGCAAAAAAAAACGATTAGACTATTAATCACAAACCCAACCATCAACGGGAAATGCACATTTCTAAAAGGCTTCATCATTATTTACCAAACTTAATTGCAACTATAGCGAATTCACACCGAAATGCATCGTTAATTCTGGGGGAATTAAAATATCTGGGCCAGTCGCCTCTGTCTGGCACTCGATTAGAATCATTCCGGGGGTGCTCTGTTCAAATCGTTTGCTGGATGCCCGAATGACAAACATTGAGGCCCCACATTTGTTTATGTTGACACATTAAGCGGAATGACACGAAATTATATCAAACGATCACATAATTCAAACAGATCTATTGCCACGATCTGGTAGTAAATTTTAAAAATACGACAAACTGGCAAAGAACAGAATATAAAAATATACACAGAACTTACACATGACTTGTGAGGAGATCACAACCATTAAAAGGCATAAAACACTTTTAATATGTTTCGAATGTTTTTGGGAGCCGGAGATCGCACACATTTTAATCCTATGAACTTCGTTGACGCACTGATCCCATGGGCCACTGACACACCGGAACTTAAGCTCCAGCGGAGTCCATTGGGCGATGGGTGTCACCATGAGTCAAATGATTTAATTGTGGCAATTGAAATGAAATTAAATTTAATTTTAATTTAGTAATCGACTGCCTTTTTTTTTGGTAGAGGGATGAACTTGAAAAGGTGAAGGATGATAAGGTAAAGCCCCCACTAAAGTAGTCATATCTTTTCGATTACATTTTGGATGCGCTTATTTATTGTTCGAAAACGGAAATTCCTCTAAATCTAAATGCCGACTACGACTACCTCGATAACGTGCGAATATAAATATATATATAGATACATGGGTATATAGATAGTGTATGTGTGTGTGTGTGTGCTAGACATTATCCGAGATCCGAATTGGAATCCTGTTTCTATTCCCGGTGCTTGCAGTCAAGGAAGAGCTGAGCCTGTGACTGAACAAATCGAAAGATTTCGAGGAGCATTTCGTTGGAGGTTTTGCAGTTGCCTTGGGAGGACTCGAAGAAGGATCCTGACCCGCCGCTGGCACCACCCACAGATCTCTTGCCCCAGTCAGGCGAAAATGTCAGCTAGAAAGGCAATAAATATTAGTTTTTAATATATTAATATCATTTTAAAATCCAACTCACTTGACACTGGACGCAGGCCATCAGAAGGAGCAGCACAGCAGCAACCAGGACCTCGCTCTTGGGATTCATTCTGCTTTCTATGTTCGACTACATCACTAGACCTTGCTTTTATACCCCATTTGGATCACAAAGGATACTAGGAATAGTATCCAATTAATTAGCAGACCACTTGAAAGGCTTCGACTTATAATTAGAATCTCCAACCAATCCATTTCGGCACAGACAATAAAAGATTTCGTCTATGTGGAAGCGTTTGTGATTCTCCATTTGTTTATTAGAATTGCGCATAAGTTTTATATTAAATATAATAATATATTTATTTTATATACCATTAAATAAGTTCGTTAAATTAAGCAGTATAAGAGTTAAACGAGATTGCGGCTGAAGCAATTGTTGCAATACATTTGGCGAACAATAAACCATATTATCTGGCTAGGGGACATTTACAAAAATACGTTACATTTACGGGTTTACGGGTATGGTTTACAAAAAAAATGAGTTGTGCGCTTTACAGCTGTCAAATATAATACAAAAAGTTATGTATTCTTGCATTGTGCGTTTTAAGGTCGTTTTTTTTTGAGATTTCGGAACATATAGATTTTGTTTAGATTTCTACGCGCGAGAACGAGGCACTCAATTTGTTACAAAAAAATCGGATTGTAAGCAGTATATAATATATACGTTTATATTAGTATTAAATAACAATACAAATTACAATAACACATTATTACGTTTTGGCTTGATCGAAACAAACGTTCTGGGGAGTTATTGCATTATAAAACAAATGGCCTGCCGGCCACCATTGGTAATAATCATAGAAAACATTCGTCCTTAATTGTTGTCGTTGATCAACAAATAATATTACAAAAATATATTTAGAAATATATGTATATATATGTTTGTATATATGTATATGAATGCATATATGTGTTATCCGTGTTTTGCGTGTAAATCTGTTGTATATATGTTTATCTAACTATGCATGCGCGTGTGTATGTGTGTATCTGTGTGGTTTGCGATTTGAGTTTCTTCGTAGCTGCTATTCGTGGCGAAGCTTATTCGATTCTTTCGTTGAATGCGGCATGCACCTGGGCAGGTATGAAATGCACTTCGTTTGGGCTCGTTAACGCGAATACGTGTGTGGTTACGCGGTTACTGGTTACGGTTCTGTCGTTCACTGGTTATTGGTTTATCGTCTTCTTAACGAAATTCAAAGCTCAGTCGACGCGTGTTTCTAAATTTGGTGTTATACTCGTTAAGTGGTAGCTAGCTGCCTCTGCTGCATCCAGGAGATTCTCGGTCACATCCTTCTATTTTACATCAGACAGCACTTCCTCTTGCCCTTCTTCTTGTAGTCCTGCTCGATGTAAGGCCGTTCGGCGATCTGGAACTTTCGCACGATTCGCACCAGTTCGTGGAATGCCTGGTCGACGTTCACCCGCAGCTTGGCACTGCACTCGATGTACGGGATCATCAGGTTGCGGCTGGTGTTTTGCGCCTCCTCCAGCGACACCTGACGCTGGTGCTCCAAGTCACACTTGTTGCCCACCATCAGCATGGGGAACTCGTCGCGATCCTTGACACGCAGTATCTGGCGCTGGAACTTGGGTATCTCATCGAAGCTGGAATGATCGTTGAGCGAGAAGACGAGCAGGAAACCCTCACCGGAGCGCATGTACTGCTCCCGCATGGCACTGAACTCCTCCTGACCAGCTGTATCCAAAACTAGAAAGAGATCAGCTATTAGTATGAAGGACGGAAGATGGAAGTTAGCTAAACTTACTATCCAATTTGGCTGGCACATCGTCGATTACACATTGTTTCGTGTAGGAGTCCTCGATGGTGGGATCGTAATCTGTCACAAAGTAGCTCTGGAACGCAAGATCAAGATAAATTAGTTTACGTTAGACTAAGTCTGAGGGATATTTATCATTGCGTCTTTGATTTGTTTACACACGTCTCAGGCGACGCCACTTTTATCATTTATGTATGTGCGCTATGCTCTATATCTCTGGGAAAATCAACCGTGCTTTGTATATACACGAAAGATGTGCAGATGACGCAAATGACTAAAAATAAATGGAAACGGTCGGTCGGGCCGTGGTCGTGACCATGGCACACCCAAAAAGTCGGGGGTGCTCTTCAATGCTTAATCTGGGCGAGCATCGGTTGGCCATTGAGTCCACCACTCCGTAAATGGAGTACATATGGAGGGGGTGTGGCATCGATGATCTCTGCTCGAAACTATGCAGCACACGCATGTCCAAACACAGATGTCGCTTGTTGCTTCACCAAAACAAGGGCCCACTCGTCTCCCCGCCTCGCCCCTTTCGGGTCGACCACCTCTCCGCCAAATGAAACGTCACCTCTTCGGTGTTTGTCCTGGGGACTCACCTGAATGAACTGTATCGTTATGGCCGATTTTCCCACGCCGCCGCCGCCGACGACCACCAATTTGTACGTTTGCATCTGCATTTCCGAGTCTTATTCGCCCAGTTGGCCACCTAAATTCTTTTATTTTCCTCAGCTATTGCGGCCAGTGCTGAGAATTGCAGAAAGTGCTGTGAAGCGTTAAAAAAGAGTTCGTCCAAGTGGCAGCCCAAAGATTTTCGCGGGTTTTCCATCAGTGTGGCAACACGGCAGCTAAGCGTCACATTTGTTTTGCGAATTAAAAACTATTTATAAAAATATGCCAGAAGAAACAGAGATTACAGCCGACGACAAGCGCAATCACCTGCCCTGGATCGAGAAGTACCGTCCGGTGAAGTTCAAGGAGATTGTCGGTAATGAGGACACCGTGGCGCGACTTTCAGTTTTTGCCACACAGGGAAATGCTCCCAATATCATTATTGCGGTAAACTTGCCATGTAAACTTGTGATTCTGAAAATTATATAAATTTTCCATTTAAAGGGCCCTCCTGGAGTGGGCAAGACCACAACTATTCAGTGTCTGGCCAGGATACTCTTGGGAGATAGTTACAAGGAAGCTGTCCTCGAGCTGAACGCATCCAACGAACGAGGAATCGATGTGGTCCGCAACAAGATCAAGATGTTTGCCCAGCAAAAGGTGACACTACCGCGTGGCCGGCACAAGATCGTTATCCTGGACGAGGCGGACAGCATGACGGAGGGCGCCCAGCAAGCTTTACGCCGCACCATGGAGATCTACAGTAACACGACGAGATTCGCCTTAGCCTGTAACACCAGTGAGAAGATCATCGAGCCTATACAGTCCCGCTGCGCCATGTTGCGGTTTACTAAGCTCTCGGACGCTCAGGTGCTGGCGAAGCTGCTGGAGGTGTCCAAGTGGGAGAAGCTCAACTACACAGAGGACGGTTTGGAGGCCATTGTCTTCACCGCCCAGGGTGACATGCGACAGGCCCTCAACAACCTGCAGTCCACCGCTCAGGGTTTCGGAGATATTACTATGGAGAACGTCTTTAAAGTCTGCGACGAACCGCATCCCAAGCTGCTAGAAGAGATGATCCATCATTGTGCCGCCAATGACATCCACAAAGCCTACAAGATCTTGGCTAAACTATGGAAGCTTGGCTACTCGCCAGAGGATATCATAGGCAACATATTCCGCGTCTGCAAGCGCGTTAATATCGACGAGCAGCTGAAGCTGGACTTCATTCGAGAAATCGGCATAACGCACATGAAAATCGTCGATGGAATCAACTCCTTGTTGCAGCTCACTGCCTTGCTGGCGAAACTTTGTATGGCCGCCGAGTCTCACTAGGCTCGAAATATTTTTATTCTTTTATGTTAGGGTAACAATGAATAAAGTTATGGATGAAATCTTAATAATTTTTTTAAAATATGTTTATCCTGGTTTCAAACCTTTGATTTCAAAACGGAGGTTTTTGAATATTTCATCATTTTCCAACACCAAAATTTAGACCAAACTCTGTTAACAGCTCTGTTAAGTAGTTTGGTCAGTTGGTCGTGGTGTTGTAAAATTAGGGGATTCCCCTTGACTGGGGAGTTTTTATATATTCAAAAACTCGATTTTTCGGCACGAATACATTAAATTTTAAATTTTTGAATTTAGAGGGAAATCGGGATTTTTTAGTTGGTTTCCGTGGCTAGCCGATAGATTTTGAGGGGAAATCAAAATCGACATCTGGCAACACTGCCTATTCTGACAACACTGGAACAAATGAAACATGGCGAGTCTTGGCCACGAAAATTATTCGAATAATCCCGAAGGTACGCATTGAAAATAGCCCCAAAAAGTGCAAAGTCAAAGGATAAGCCTGTGCGCGTACGGATGATGTGGAGGCCGTCGAGGAAAATCGCGTAACGGACCGTTTTCCGTTGCCACAAAGTGCTGGTCGACTGCGCAGCAACGGCACTCTGAGTGAAAAAAAAAAAAAAAAAATACGAAAAAAGAAGTGCCTGGCAGTCGGATGGGAGAAATTTTGATGCCGTGTGTTCTGTGCTCCCCCAACCGAAGTTTGAGTTTATAAATAAGTCCATGTTTCCAGAGGATAGAAAAACATTTTCCGTCCGACGTCGCTGTTGCGGTCGCTTCGTCATCGCAGCTGCTGCGCTGCAGCTGCGGCGTTAGCTTTGTCGTTTGTTTGTTTGTGTGTGTGTGTGTTTATTCGCCTAGCCTGGCTGGCTGGTGGCCTGGCCTGGCCGTCCAAATTGATTTTCCGCACTTGCCTGCCAGGAAACTCCGCACAATCGGATAAATGGAAAAGCACACTCACAGCCTTTATCTACTTTCAGTGGAAAACACATCCAAGCGAGCCGACAGCCGCGAGGGCAGCGCCGAGCGTAAAGGTGAGCATTTGGGCACTTTCGTGGGGATTATCATTTCGGTTACATAAAAAAATTGGCACTACCAAAACCAAAACATCACACAGCAGGCACTGTATACACTCTAAAATTAACTCCAGCCCACGCACTTAAATCTGCATTCGCACCATCAGCCGCCATGTCGGAGGCCAATGCGTTGCCAAAGATCTCCGCCTGCGGCGTCAGCGCCGGCGCAACTTTGCATTGGTTTGCCCAGGTGGGCGGGCCGAGCACCAGCCACGGCAGTGAAGACGACTCTCAAGGTAGTTGGCATTCCGTACCAACGCAAAACCCCACCCGCCTGCTCCCCCAGTTCTTGTCGCATGATCTCACTAACCAAATGGGTCCCATAGGCCACCTTATCTGGGCATTAATCCTCTGATATTCCACCTGACATGTCAGTTACAAGCCAGAGAATGTAAATAAAATCTTCTAAAGTCGGTAGAAGTCAAAATATCTTAATTTTTGAGTCACTAAGGTGTCTATTTTTTTGTCTTTAATTGATAGGAAATTTTCAACAAAAAGGGGGATAGTTCTGCTTGAAGCTGCACCTTAAAATGTTTTTCCCAAAAGTAGAGACTAGAAACTATAAAATCCATCATTAACTTTGGTATCTAATTCTTACAAAAAAAACCTTCACCTTACCCTATAGAGACAGTTAATATCCCTAGTATTTAACTGTGACCTTGCCTGCTGATAATTTTCCATTTGCTAGAACATTTTCACACCTAAAACGGCTGACAAGATTGACTTGCAGTTGTTCTTTGTAGTCTCACTTACGTCATTAAATTCCAAAAATACTTCTAACCGATAACCGCGATAACAGCCGGTACTGTTTTGATTATATGCAGACTTTTACAGTCAGCCGCATGCTAATATTGTTATTATTATTATTATTATTACCCACCATTCCCCCCCACCCGTGGCAGCCGCATTTTTCCGCCTCAATGTCATTTCAATAGAACAAAATGTACGCTTGCATTTGCTTTCTATTTTTTTTTTTTTTTCGCAAAAGTGCGAGAAGGGATCAGCGGGGGCGTTCTGTAGTGGCCCCTGTAGTTGTGTTTGTGTGTAGCTTCAGTGCTAGTTTGTCAATTGACCCACAAAGCGAGCGTACATTCGGCCATGACGTCAGCCACTTCTTGTAAGTAACTTGCCGGCAAGAGACCAAAAAAAAAAAGGGGGGAAATAAAGCAGATTTTTATTGATTTTTTCGGCCACAGGTAGCAACCAGACGACGAGTTCTGGCCTTTATTTGCCTGCGAAATGAAAATGTTTACTTAATTACGAGTTTAAACCGCTTGATAATGCTACCTGATTGGATAACCATTCAATAACATACAAACTATTCTATCATCTACCTATTTTAGCGTCCAAAGACCGCGAGGAGAAGCTGAGGTACGCCCGCGACCGACAAAATGAGGAGCGACAGCGAAAGATCGAGGAGCTGCGCGCCCAGGCAGAGGCCGCCCAAAGGTATCGCGAACAGAAAGAGGAGGAGCGTCGGCGCCGCATCGAGGAGATTCGCGTCCGGGACACAGAAAAGCGCCACCAGGTGGAGGAACGCAAGAAGGCCATAGTCGAGGCCGAAAAAGAGCGTCGCGAGTACATCCTCAAAAAGAATCTAGTATGTATTTTGCAGAAAATAGTTATATATTTATGATTCTATCTTTTGTATTATTCCCCAAAAGGAACGCGACTCCCGAATAGAAATCAAGAAACGGGACAGAAACTCTATTGGCTTTGCGTTTGGCTCGTCGACTCCTCGCCTGCTGGATGTGCCCGCGGATTATGGTCTGGTATCGCCCAGTGCCTTTTGGGGTCAGCGGAGGTGAGAGACCGAAATACTGACCAGAGGATGACGTGATTTTATTAAAAAAAAAAAAACTTTTTGTTATGTAGACTATTATTGTGGATAATTAGAGAATATATAATTATAATCTTTCATAAAAAACAAATCTTTGTTTTAGGTCCACATCCATATCAAACGTTGCCGGCGCCACGCTCTCACGTCGAAGTTCGGAGCGAGAACTTGCCGACAGTGGTGCTAAGAAGCGTGCCTCATCCTCGACGGATCGACACGATGGTGAGTCCCAGCTGCCCATTGGCGGCATCTTGAATCGCCCTCCAAGACACACACACACTAGACACACACCATGCAGAGAGACACCACAACACACACACACACATAATGAGATTAAATTTTACTTTGCAGTTATCGTTATCGTTGCCCTCCTAGACACTTGTAACTATTGTAATTGACAAGAACCCAGTTATTTGTTATTTTTTTCAATGTGCCCCACAATTTAGAGATTCTCTTACTGTACTATCTCCCACTGTGCCCAGTTTTTTATTATAATTATATTATATAGACACCCCCACCACCTGCCACTTCAGGTACTCTCACATATGGCACTACCACCTTTCAATAGTTTTTTTGTTTTTTATTTTTTGATTTATTTTCGAATATAATTTTGCACCCAAAAAGCAAACAGCAGTCACACCTCTAAAGATCACCTTTCTTTTTAAAAAACAAAAAACCGAAAAAATCGCGCATTCTCACACAGATCACCGACGTAAATCTTCGTCCATGTACGAGGTGTTCAATTGGGGCTATTCCAATGATGAGCCGCCCAAGCGCTTCTCGCTCTCCATTGCCGGCAGCGAGATCAATATCGATGGGCCGGCGCCACCTCAGCGTCCCCCAGCGCCCACTTCTTCTTCTTCTACTTCTGCTACCAAACAAACAGCGCACAGACCCCATCCACCAACTACAACAACAACAACAACTAGCACCACAACTACAGGCCAAAACTACAACCATAACTCGTATCGTAAGGGTGAGGGTTCTACTCTTCTGCTCCACGTTCTTATGCTCCACGTTCTTAATTCTTTTAAAACTTACCCCATCGTTCTGACCCTGAATCTTTATTGTTTTTACCGTTATATTGTAACCCCCAAGTGACCTTAACTTAACCTTGTAATCGTAACCCGTAAAGCCCGTCGTAAGCTCTTAACTACTGTCCCGTCTAACCCCTAAGAATCGATGGCATGTTTCGCGTCTGATTCCCCCAGTTTGCATGATTCCCCCAACTGATCTGCCTTGTCTATAGCTCTGATCCTCTGTTTTTTTTTATATATCCCTGAAGATGATTGTAAAGATATTTAAGTTGATTCCTAACAGCATGGTTCTCTTTTTTTTTAGAAAAGTTTTTACAAAGGGCTCTATAAAATATATGATTTGAGAATATAGACTCTATTTTTGAGGGTTCTTTGTAAGAATTCTAATAAAGTAAAGATAGGGACTTATATCCAAAGAATATATATTATTATCTGAGGATTATAATATATATCCTTACTATAAAAGATCTCTTTGTAAAAACTTTCTTTTTCTATATTTTTGTTAGCTATTTCGCTTTGATTTTTCTCGTTGTTAGTGCATAAGTATATTTTGTTGAGGTCGAAATCAGTTACCATTTCGATATTGCATCTGAAAATCAATCAAGTTTCAAAATCATAAATGCAAAAAAGAAAAACCCAAAAAAAACAAAAATATTGCAGAAGATAACGTTGATACATCACCCATGGTGTTCCGAAGCGTTTACCGCAGGAAAACGGACCTCATGCCGACAATACCCAGCCCCCGAGACGGGCATTATGGTTCGCGAGGCTCCCTGAGCACCACGCCGGCCAGAACCCCAGGTAAGATTCACCCAGAAGGCTCCTCCCACCAACCCACTCCATCTAGCACACACCATACACCAATTCTTCAATAGCTATCATGATCATCCTGCGATCTCAGCTTCATCGTCCAGCTACGCATCATCAGCTCTCCATTCTCCTACGTACATTTAGTTGTGTTTTTCCTTTGGTTTGACCATTTCGGACCAAGTTCGGACCGCCAAAGACCTCTCCAAACCCCCCGACTATGATTCTCTTGTTGCCTGGGAGCTGCCCTGCTTGGGCAGAGAGTGGAAAAAGTGAAATTGAAAACGAAGTAAAAGGAGCACACACTACAGCCTCTCCTCCAGCACAACACTATGCCACACTGAACTCTGTTCTTTGCACAAAAATACACACACACTCTTCAGAACACACACACCTACTCTTCAAAGCACACCCACTTGTAAAAAGCCATCCACTTTGTAGCCCAGTTTGTCCACATATCTTTTTTTTTTCTGTGCCGTCTTCCTGTATCTAAGGTGGCCATCGAAGTAGTGGGGCGGGGACCTCATTTCAAAGAATGAGAACAAGGTTGGATCTCTATTGTCCATCTGAAACCTATCCTCATATTTTGAAATATACTCTCCCCCCACTATTGAGAGCTCCACCATTTGTAGACATATAAGTGTAGCTAAGGTGCCACAGCCAGAGCCGGGCTAGAACCGATTCAAGAAACCATTTACAACTTTCAACTGAACCGCAGGACGTGCCTACTCGATGAACCGCCTGGACCAGCTGGCGCAACCGATACGCCGCAACGGAGAGCATGTGCGTGCCATTCTGGAGCGGGAGCGACGCGAACGAGAACTGGAGATGCTAGACGAGACCTCCTCCCTTGGCGGGGGCCGGCGCAGTGCCTCCGGCAGTGCTCGAGCACGGCGGGCGGGCAGCGCCGGTAGCGGTAGTTCCAGTGCCGCCGGCATCATGTCCCGCAGCATGACCCACCTGGCTGGTGGCGGCGGCGGCGGAGGAGGCTCGCGCGGAAAGTACTCCCTGGGCGGCGGGATATCGACCAGTTTCCGGCCATTGGGCAGCGGAGCCGGAGGGCAGCGCGACTCGACCAGTAAGAGCATGACCCAGATTAGCAGTTGGTCGGTTTATGGCAGCACCACCTCGACACCACCCAACCACCACAATCTGCACCGCCAGTCCACACTTGGGCTGCAAACTGCGGCAACTAAGAAATACCTCCAGTCATCATTTGCCTCAGCCTCATCCTCCGCATCCTTCCGCTCGAACGCGAACCTTAAAACGACCGGGCGTGGCCAGCAGCAGCAATATGCGATCTCTACTAACCCCCACCACCGTTTTCTCGATCTCGATCCCAACTCATTGTTGCTCATGAACTCTGCTAGTTTGTTAGTGAATGCAGGTGTGTGCGATTAAACCAAAACCGAAATCATACATTTCTCGAACTACCAAGAAAACACACCACCAACACCAACACCCACACCTACACCTACTCTATACACTGAAACTAAATCGAAATCCTCTCCAGATTGCGAATAGTGTTGTAGCCATTTACCCATTTCCTCGAGTGTCTAGCGATAGCGAACCACTACAAACCACATCAAAAAACTGAAACCAGCCAGCTAGCACACCACAATTGGCTAACTTGAACTTTCACCACCACACCACCACCACCAACAACAACAACACAACACCACCCACATAGGCTTTGGTTATCCCCCCCAGTAGTTGTAGATCCATAGAGAACATACGACCGATACGAGGTTGTCTTCAGTTCATCTGAGCAGCAATTTGTGATGCGAATTATTCACTTCATTAGATCCATAAAAGGAAATCCATTTGCATACCGATCTGCATACATAAAGAAACTATTTTTTAGGCCAAGCCATTAAAAGACTATCTATTTTACGAATATAGTTTGTTTCACGATCTTGAGTTCCTATTTTGTTATTTTTAAACTAAATAGAAAGCTTAATTATCTCTTAGTTTATATTGAAAATTAGTATTCAATGAGTTAATCACCTTGTTTAGTAGTTAAAGCCTTACCATATCCCTAAAATCATAAAATCATATATATTTTTGGGGTTTCCTCGGTCCATATTGTCTGCTGCGTGTCGCCATCTGTCGGTCGTTTTGTTCGTATGTATCTTTAGTTTTGGAACATTATTATTATTTGATTTATTTCACGGTGAAGATCAGTCATTTATAAACTTATGGTTATTATTTCACATCCCCTTTAATACACTCTCATATCTATAGACATAAGGATAACACATTTGTGATGGGTTCTCCTCCTCCTGGTATTTGGTATATATGTTTATTGGTCCCCTGGTTTTTGTTTCGTGTCTTCCCCTCATTTTATTTGCTCGCTATGTGACCGGACCTCCATCCGATCTGTCTATTGGTGATTTGATTAACCTGTGTCTACCTTTGGTTTTGTGTTATCCCCCCGTGTAATATGCCCTGCAGTAATGGTAAACTCTGGTGACGGTCCAAACTCACGTACGCTTTATTTGGTGCTCCACATAAGCTCATCCATAATATTCTGACACCCCTCCCCCTTGAAGTTCCCTCTCCCAGCGACGGTTCTAATCTTGGTTTGATACTCTAGGCTCGCGATCGGGAAATGCCACGCCCGGTGGACACTTCAACAGCTCAAGGCCCGGCAGCGCCATGTCCACTTCGACAAATATGTCCACATCCGGTCTGGTCAACAGGCGACCGGCCACAGCGCCCAGGAAGCCAAGGCCCGCCAGTATCGCTGGCACGGGCATGTCTCTTGAGGGTAAGCCTATCAAGCCATCAGATAGTACAATAATAATGATATATATTCCACTTTCAGAGATCAACAAGCTTAAAAAGGAGCAGAAGCCGCCCGTTAAAACGACAGCCGCCTCGCCGTCCGCACAAACGACCCCCAAACGAACACAGAACCTTATGTCCACCTCCATGATCGTGACCTCCAGCTCATCGCGGCAGAGTGCCGAAAAGAAGACTCCCTCAAAGAGAGTAAGTTCTTGCCACAAAAACCTGTACCCAGTTTTAATTTATTTTATTTTCAAGGAACCCTTGGTGCCCAAGGCAGCATCTGCTTCCAAGGCTCTGCCAAATCGCACCGCAAGCTCAGAACGGATCAGCCGACTCAGCAGGGAACCCAAAATCAAGGATAACTCTGCCATGACGAGGTCTATGATCGTCACCAGTAGCAGTTCTACAACAACCACCACAAAAGTAGCTGCAGCTCCAGCTCCGGCTCCCGCTCCTGCACCCGCACCTGTACCCGTTGCTGCACCAGCTCCGGAACAGAATGGAGTGGCTAAGGTGGCTGAGAATACCCCCGCAGAGGTGGCAGTACCAACGGTTGCAGTTATTGCCGAGACTCCCGTTGCTGCGCCTGCAGTGAGCAAGGCTGAAAAGGAGGCCTTGAACTCTGAGAAGACCGAGGAAGTGGCTCGTCAGGTAGAGGCAACAGCTGTGCCACCAGAGACAGAGGCCGTCTTCCAGATTGCCTCTGTTAATGTGGAGGAGAAGTCCGACGAGGGCACGGAGAAGGAATCCAGCCCCAAGCCACAGGAGCCAGTTCAGGTTGTCAGCAAACAGTCGCGGAGCAAGGAGAACTCAGAGGTGCGAGAGTTGACGCCGCCGGAGGGGGCTGATCTGATGACAGCATCGATGATGGCCAAAAAGATCACGACCGAGGAGGAAGCCAAGGCCGCTTTGGCCGAAAGACGACGCCTGGCCCGCGAGGAGGCCGAACGACAGGCGGAATTGGAACGCCAACGACTGGAGGCGGAGCGCCTGGCCGAGCTGAAGGCTCAGGAGGAGGAGGCCGAGCGCCAGCGCCTTTTCGAGGAAGAATCTATGCGACTGGCCGAGGAACAGCGCCGTGGTGAGGAGGAGCGCCTGCGCAAGGCCATCGAGGTAATTGGGGAAACGCCCATACAAGGAACAATGGATAACATTTTCTAATTAATTCCAGGAAGCACAGCAACGCGAGGAGGAGGAGCAGCGTAAGCGTGAGGACGAGGAACGACAGCGTGTGGAGCGAGAGGAGGCCGAGAAGAAGGCCAAGGAGGAGGCGGAGAAGCAGCGCGTCGAGGTGGCCGAGCGACTCAAGCGTGAGGAGAAGGAGCGCGAAGAGCGCCGCAAGAGAGTCGAGGCGATTATGTCGCGCACCCGCAAAGGAGGAGCCGCCGCGCCCTCCAAGGTAAGTGGACACCTACCCCCTTTATGGACTCTCCTTTCATGAAATGTATCCTTTTAGGATGGTAGCGACAAAGCAGCTCCTGCAGCCACGGCACCTGCGAACAATAGTAGCAGCAACAGCGACACCAACAGCAGCAACAATTCAGCTGGCGGTTCGCCCAGTTCTGCAGATGCCACGCCCACGCCAAATGAAACGCCTGCAGAAACAGTAACTGCCTCAGAGCCGCCCAACAGCCAGGCAATGTATGAGCAATCGGTGCTAGACAAGCAGAACTCGCTCATCAACAGCTTCTCGACGATGATAATCGACGAGAATGCCAAGAATCTGCAGCAGGTTAGCAACGGCAAGTTGCTGGCCGATTTCGAGGGAACCAACACAGTCCCAGCGGTGGCCAATGGCAATGGTCATATCGAGAATGTCAACAACAAAAAGTAAGGGTTTATTCTATGGTGTTTGTTTATAAAGAGGCTTTGGTTGGAGAAACTTTTGAGAGAAGAAACTCGATTCTTATCTTTATATAATGCCATTCTTTCCCATTCTTTATAGCGACATTAACCTCCTGCAGGATGTTGTCGCCCCAGCTGCCACTCAGCTGATCGACCTGAGTATCGAGTCACAAGATCTACACTTGAACAATAACAACAGCTTGCTGACGAGCACAGCGGCAACCACCACGCTAGTCACTGCTGATAGTCACGAGAATAAAGGTTACTATAACAAAATACTTTAACTAAAACCCATCTAATATATCCCATTTTTAATAAACAGATATATCGTTGCTGTGAATTGGATGAGAAAACCAAACCTGATTGTTTTCTAAACCTAAATCTTGATATAGCTAAATGTGTGTGGAGTTGGAGTATTTATTAATAGGATGAGATCTACATAGGAATGCGAGAAGAGTGGAGAGTGCGACAAATTATGGTTACTAAAAAACAGGAAAACATAAAAGCTTATAAACAACCTATATACATAAACGTAAAGATTATATAGATAGATCTGAATCGGAATCGGTATCAGAACGGGGATTGAGGGTGAGCCTGTTTTACGAGCTGCAGCAAGTAAAAAATTAGTTAAGAACTAAGACAAACACTAAGAGAAAAAGCGAGAGTGATGGAAACGAGAGTTGAACTGCCCGAGAGTCGGGGGTATCCTTTGCGAAGCAATTCTATATCAAAGAAATCTGTTTGTGAAGCATATAACTAAGCTAATGAAACAAAAAAAAAGGAAACATTTGATGCAATTTCTAATCTAATTAAATTACGAACTCGCTTCAAAAGTTGAAAGTGCATGCTTACATTGAGTATAACTTGAGCCTGCTGGAGGATGCAGAGCAGAGCAGGATGAGCGCCGTTCAAGCGCAGCGTATATAATTGAAAATTATATAAAAATTAGTAGACACAACCCCTAGTTTAAAGAACAATGCGAGATTCGGATCAAGAGGATCACCCGGAGATTCTGAGATTGCCCGAAGCGAGAGCAATAAATGAAAGGAATCAAAGATGCAGACGCGGTATCGACCATACCATTATAACAACAACAACCCCATCCACATAGGAATCCGCATCCACAGCGCCTCACTGCTATTTTTTTCGCCCAACTTTGCACAGTTGTTCTGTAAGTTAAGTTTACTACGTTGAGCCAACGAATCGTGCGGTATTATTTATTAAAAAAACGAAAACGAAACCAACAAAAAGAAGCTGCAAAAAAAAATAGAAAATGGAAAATTCAATTGAAATTATTTGCTGATACTGATAGCTGAGCAGCTCCATGTAGTTTGCCTGAAAAAAACATTCAAAACCAACAATCGTCAGTACACGGATATACAATCCATAAACACCCACTGTAATCACAGATGTCAGTGCTTGATACAACATATACCATATATATATATCGCAATTGCCTAGATCTAGTGGAATGGGAGTTATGAACTGTTTCAAGTTGTACTATTCGTAGAAGGAGTCTAAAATCTGATTATGCTTATGTCACTTTTTTTAATTGTAGTAAAGTTCTCTGTATATTGTCTATTTTTTGCGTCTACGTCTATATATTTTTGGTAAAAAATTTTTTATATATTATACACACATTTATATTTGTAATTGTATTTATCCATGTGCAAAAATAAATTATGATGATTATTTTTAAAAACCCTCGTCGTCCCCCTGATAAGCATGTGCATAACAGATTGTAAAAAAAAAATATATCTCTATATCTCGACACACACACACAACACACCCACATGTATCTGAGCGAAAGGGCCTTAACAGTTAGTAGGATGCATGATCGATATATAGATCGATTATAGAATGATAGATCAAACAGAGTTAATGAGAGTTCACGTTTCGAGCGTTTCGCATGCGGAAACCGTTAATAGATTAATATATATATATTATAATGGCAATATGTGTATGCAACTAATAAACTCTAACTTTTAGTAAATTACTGCTTTCCTATGTTGTAAACCTAATGGAGATATAATCAAAAACAAAAAAAAAACAAACAAATGAAAAAGAATTAAAAGACAACCCACACATGTCACATGCCACACTCAAATGTGTTATGCTACCACACGAAGCTGCATATAAAAACAGAAACCTTTTAAGATCAAGCTGAATTATGTATATTTAATATTATATATATCAAAAACACCCCACACGACAACACAGAACAACAAATTATACAAGCAATTCCCCTATTTATTTAGATCCACACTAAACACTAAAGAAATTCGCTTCTTATCGTAAAATTAAAAAATAAAAAATTGCATAATTTATATGATTACCTAAACGAAATATATATTTATGTGAATAAACTGTAACTAATTCTCAAGGCAAAACTAAACCCGAATCTCGCTATATTCTTGGTTTCCAGAAGAGTCTCCCTGAAATGTCATGGTCATCCGATTGGAATGCTGGGCTAGTAGGGTGTTTTTAAAAGATAACACCACGGGAACATGGGAAGCACGATGTTTGGTAATAGAGTGGAATTTTTTTTATACATTGTTGTGGATATGTATCTTATCAGTTGGCTAGCCTTTTAAATTTGGATCACCAGAGTAGCCTTCTATATATTTTGAAAACATCAACCGTTTAAAGAAGGCCTATGACATCACCAGCCAGTCTCCCAATGTGGCCCAAACAGCTGACTGATAAGCCGCAAGAGAGCCAGAGCGGGCAAAACTAAGCTTTAGTTTGCTCTCTTTAACAGTGATGCCAAGTTAGCTTTTAAAAAAATAATATAAATAAAATATTTTTAAATTTATTCAATGACATAACAAAATAAAGAGCTAATACTTTAATTTTAATCCACTTGATTTTTTTCGAAAAAAATAAAACATTTTAAATAAAACTATAAAATAATAGAGGCTTTTAATTATTTTTGACTAATTTTTTTCTAAAAATAGGTTTAAACTTTTAATACTTTAATTTGTTTTTATCCCAAAAATGCCCTTACTTGCACAATACTTTTAATCCTGTCTTTGGAAAGTACTAAATGAGTGAAAAAACTTTCCATAATAAGTGCTTCCTCCAAAAATACCCCCAACTCTTAAAATTTAAGTCTAACACCTCTCCTTTTATTTCAAACTCCACTCTGGCGATAAAGAAGCCGATCCGGCAACTCTAGCGCGAGCAAAAGCTCTGGCTTTGAGAGGTTTCCTCGTGCTCCACGTTGTTGTGGGCATTCAAATCGTAGTAAGCTCTCGTTCCGAACGGTCGCAACCTAAACTTGGCTCCAAAGACCCCTGCGCTCCGTTTCATTTCGCGGCAAACAACACACATTCCAGTGCACAGTGCAACGCGCCCAAGACCAACCTACATTTTAACCAAGTCCCTGCAAGCCCGTTTCTCCAGCCCAAAAACCACTACTCTTCAGTAACGCCATGTCGTCCAACCGAGCTCCCAAGTCTGGTTTCGCTGCCGAGGCTCAGCGCAAAGTAAGTACAATCCAACCAAAAAAAAAAAAACCTCCAAAACAACACAGTAAACAAATTGCCAAAAAAAAAACAGCTTTTTGGATATGCTGGGGATATGCCATTGGTGTTAGTGAGTTTGGAGCTGCATTGACTATATTTGGCAAAAGTTTTATCTGCTGGTTAAAAAATTAGCTAAAAATGGTCTCGAAATTGCCAGCGTCTAACAAGGAATGACCTCATTTCGCTGATAAGTCAAACAAGTCTACATAATATAGATTGTACGATACAATACACAAAAGATTGTGTGTTGCATGCCTAATGTGTAAGCTTGAAGATGATTTAGGTGATTTTAAGTCATTGAAAGTTTTGGGTGATTCAATGGAAATGAATCTTACTAGCTGAGGGACTATCTCAGTAGTTTAATTAAACAAGGAAATACCTATTCAGATATTAATAGGTCATTGAAAGATTGAAGACTTTGAACTCTGACAATAGAGCTTCCTAGTAAGCTCTATCCCTATAATTGAAAACATTAGTTCCGTCCATTAGGAGCACTTTGCATTAAATGCACTCATACAAATGCATCCAATAAGGGGGGGTGGGGTTGGGGGATACTGGTACCCTTCGACAGTTTAGCCCTCGTCGAGTCGGGGTTACGCAATTCAAGCCGCCCCTGGGCAAGCCAGAGTGAAATTGTATATGTCGCCGGCAAAGGGGATTAAGTGCACTACTATTACAACATTGTCCAAACAAAAATGGGGGAAAAACAACAAGAAACATGGACGAATAAGATGTATACCCTTTCCAGGAAAAAGTTAGTCGATAAATTGTTATTTTTACTAAGAAGCCTTGGCTATCGGATTTAGCTTTCGCATTATTTAATCACAATATAAACAAATCTTGGAATTTTGTTCAAGTTCTATACTTACTTTCTTTGGAATACCCTGCCATATAGGGTATAAGATTACGGAAAAAAACAAAAACCTTTTCAAAAGAAAAGGAAAGCTAGTTGGTATTGACATTTCAGCTCCAGGCCGTTCCGCAAGCGCAGCTGCTGGCGCGATTTTAAACTTCAAACCGCGATCAAATGCCTCCATATCCCCAGGAGCCTCTAACGATGATGTCACCTCCGGCTGCCTCATCCATCTCCTGCTCGTCCCTTACCCCCAACTATTAGCGTCGTTAGTTGTGAGGTTTTTTTTTTTTTTTAATTTTTTTGAATGACGAGACTTTGAATGCGTTGCCGGTAAAATGAAGCTTATATATCTACACAGAGAGAAATTATTTAAGATTTTTTTTAATAGAATTATAGTATTCAAAATTGTAGTTGTAAGGTGATATAAAGATATATATTTATAGTAATTTGTATAAAAATTATTTATTAAATATAATAGTTATAGAATTTTCTTTCTGTGATCTTTTGAAAAGGGTTGAGGGGGGCAACCGCGATAGCAGCACCTTTTCCATCACTCAAACTAACACACACAAGCACTTAAAAATGTGTATATATATATACTATATAGCGTAAGCAAACAAAAGTAAGGTAAAAACGTAAGAAAACAAAAATTGTTATTTGCCTCCTTGGTGGGTTCTCTATAATGTTCCCCGACCGACACCCGTTCATGTGTGCCAGTGTGTGCCGTTGTGTCGGTTATATTCTTTCGACTTTTATGGCCACTCACCGACAAATGGGCAAATATCTCAAATTTCGGCCAGGGGATCCGGATCCGTGTCGCCCCTTCTGGATTGCAACAGCAACCAACCCTTTCTTAATTACAGTACCATTTCTCAGACCTCAACTACAGACTGTCACATAAACAATAAGATATCTATGGACTTCAAGTTACAAACACAAATTGTTACATTTTTGTTGGATTGGTTTACGAGTTCCAATGAATATTTACTTGTAACGAAGGGGGTTCACATTTTCCTAATTTTCTCATTTTACTTCAAAGAAAAGATTTAATAATAGTTAGTCGTTTTTAGGAAAGTCTTTGTAAAACTTAAACTTCTAACTGTCATATTAGCCGAGATATATCTAGAGATATTGCCATAAATATTTACTAGTGACGAAATAGTTTCACTTTTTTACTTATAAGAAAAGTTTTAGAATAGGATAGCATCTTAAACCTAAACTACCCACTAAGATTACTTTTACTAAAAGATGTTGACTAGTTAAAAAAAAAAAATTTACTTGTAACGAAATACTTTCCCTTTTTTTTCAACTTCTCATTTTTGTTTAAAAAAAAGTTTTAAAGAATAGTTAATGTAAGAAGCTAATGTTTTTAGGAAAACTCTTCTAAAACCTAAGCTTCAAACTAATAGATATAATGACAGTTTTTAAAATAGACTGACTAGTTCCAATAAATAATTACTAGTAACGAAATACTTTCACCTGTTTTTTTTAGTTCTCATTTTTCTTTAAATAAAAGTTTAAACTTTAAAGACTAATTATAGCTAATTAAAGTAAATAGCTAATGTTTTCAGGAAATATCTTTTAGAACCTAAACTTCAGAGTATAAAATATAATGACTCTTACTAGACTACATAGTCTAGTTCCAGTTATTATTTATTAGTGACGAAATACTTTCACAACATTTTTATTTCCTCATCTATGTATTTATAAGCAAAGCTGTAAGATCCTAAAAAGCCAATGCTAATTAGAATATTTTTAATTACAATATTTTTAAGAAAATTCATTATAGCCCAGTTAGGTGGCAGTTGTTTTCGTGTTGTATCTCATCAGGTGAGGCATTGGCCACGTACTAATCACCTGGCCGCTTTTGGAGCCAAGAATCCACACTCAATTAGCGTTGAATACCTGAAAAGTATGAGTGGCTTTACATCCGCGGCACGCAATGCTGCCCCTTCCTCTTTATCAGTCGGGGGCGACACATAAATGGAACACGCGGGCCTCTGGTACTCCTATCCCCCTCCTCCTAGATGGGTACCACAAGAACCCCCGTGCTGCCGAAAAGCACTTGTTGGCCGTCGGTTACCGTCATTTTTAGATAAGCCATAAATACTATAGTGGCGGGAGGGCACAACAGTCGACACAACAATTTTATCATAAATCAAATGTTGTTTTGGATTTCCGGTGAAACTCAAAAGCACCTCCAATATATATACATAGGTGGTGGAGGAGTTTGTAGCCCACCACCCTCCACCCCACCTGGATAAGGCGTACAACTCACTCAACCTCCGGCCAAGTGACAAGCTTTCTGGCAACCTGGCCATAAACCAGACTTCAAAATCATATAATTGACCTCGTTACATTTTTGCGGATTTTGTTTATGTTTTTGGTGTGGCATTTTTGTCGTTGTTGTTGTTGGCCAAGTTAAAATATCGGTCAGCAATTGTCATGGATCATGACACATCGCGAAAGAAAGCCAGATCGGCAATCTGTATGTAGTTGGATTGGGATTGATTTTTTTTTTATTTTTTTTTTGTGGAAACTGAAACCGAAAAGCTTACGTAATGACAGTGAATCGAAGTGTATTGATGCGTCAACAACGGGCTGTACGATTCCCTTTCCGACACCATACACATTTAACTAATCATCGCCCATCTACGCTGAAATATTGCCAAAGTTCAGATCCGAGCCATAGCCGAGGCATGACATCACCGCCGATCGCTGGATGATGGCTTTAAAAAGCCATCAGCCAAGCAAAACGTGCCCCTGTCTTGGGGCTCCATGGATCCCTATCCTACGATGGATTATTATGCAATGATCATCAGTGGCTGGATGTCTAAAGACTCTGCTATACTCACAAAAATATATGTTTGCTAAATGGGCGGAAACTTCCGTCAAAGTAGCGTCTGGGATTTGGGTTTTTGAAGAGAGAAGACAGGAATGAAATTCAAGTGAAGATTTGCAAGTAAGGTTTTAATTTGTTAATGAATCAAACTTGATGAATCAATATTTTTGTCAATAATCCAACCTGAATCATGCTAAATAAATAACTAGTTATTTATGTTGGACCCTAAACTTTTCACTTTCAAGTAACGCACCAATGTAGGTGTGAATTAAATAGAATCGGCGTGGGCAGTTATCTTCTCCCAAGATAATTTTTTATTCCGAGGTTTCAGCTGACCCACAGCTTTATTTTTTTTTTGGTGGAGAAATATGCGGGAAACATGCTCAGCCAGTTTTTGGGTCTTTTTTTGAAGCCCATTTCAATTTTAATTTTAATTTCACTAAAAGCCAGAAGCCCGAAGACCAGGCTTGGCTTGGCATGTCGCGGTCACTAATGCGCATTGCGTGTGGAATCCCATCCACCCAGAACGGAACGTACTTGAAAAGATACTACTTACTAGGGAGGAAGGGGGCCCAACCCCATCAAAAAAAATTAAAATGTACATCATAAGCCAGGGAAATTAATTAGGTTCTTGAGGTTTATGATGAGCAGCCTTTCATTGTCACGCCGTTTTGTAATTGTTGGTAATCGTGTTTAATTCATCAACTGACCCATAGACCCAAAACTAAAAAAAGCTGGAGACATGGTCAGGGCCATCAGAGGGCAGGAAAAGCGTAAAGGAACCGTTACACTGACGCCATTTCTAACGGTACAAATGGTGATGACCAATTTCCCGGTTACGCTTTTAATTTAAATTTATTTTTCGCAGCTTTTTTTTCTCAATTCAACCCTGAAATTTCGAGACTCTCGATAAGGCAGCTGTACAATATGTTTATGAACATATAGTATTGTTTGTGTTTATGTACTCCATTCCCTGGCATTCGATCGTTTCGAGTATACAAGCCTCATAGCTCATAGCTCGCTAAACTAAACAGAAAAAAAAATACAAATGAAATGCTGGCTCCAATGCTGACTCATTAAAACAACGCTAAAAATATTTCCACAAATGGGGATCAGCGCTCAGCGAAGGGGAGCGAGTCGATTTCGCTATAGCTATAAGATATAGCTATAGCTATAGCTATTCTTCAACCATTTTTCAGCTGTCAGTGGACCACCAACTGTCAAATGTTGTTTTTGGGGGTCTGGAACGTGTAAGAAGCGATCGGAATTCATTAGTTTCTTAACGGCTTTTTATTTATGTATAATATGATAATATGCTAAAGCTGGCCGCAGAATCCCATAAACATATTTATTCCTAATCAAAATTTATTCATCTGGTGGCCCGAGGGTGTCAATTTATCTGCCACCGTTGATGATCATTATGATTAGAAGAGTCTCTAAGTCAGAGGGGGCCAGATTCTCCAACACGAGAAGAATGTCAATCAAAATTGATTTTATTAATTGTCTCACGCTTTTCGCTTTTTTGATGGATGTTTCTGCTTGAAATATTTTCTCTTTTCGAAATAGTCTCTAATGAACTGACCTCTGCTGTTAAGTGCTTGACCGTTAACTTCCAAAATTCGGACAAAGCAATTTGCCAAAAAAAAAGCGTCGATTGCAATTATTGATAAATACCCGGCCAGACTTGGGAGCCGGCGATGAAGCCATAAAGCCCAGACCATTAGCATATTCCTCACCCGTACCTCTGCATATCTCAATGATAGATCTGTGCTCCAAACACTAACGACAATGATCGTAAAGTTTTATGTTCTAGTCCGGGACTAGGGACTACCGGTAGAGCTATCTACCATATAGAAAAGGGGATACTTTAATAATGTGGACAAAGTGCATTCACCTCCGACAATGCAGGGGGAAAGCTTCAGACTTTTATTTAATTTTTTCATTTTTTTACTGCCTGGGGTGCCCCTTTGGACAATTTACGAGTTTGGTGGCGATAAGGAGTGGAATACCACTCAATTGGCGACAATCGCTCCATTTGTTTTCTGAGATCATTCATTTTAATAGACTTGCCGTCAGAAAATAAATCACAAAACAACCATAAAGTAATGATGTAATTTTTAAGGGAAAACCTTATAGCAAACAACTATAGACATAAAAATAATGCTATCTGTTATCTGTTTACCTTATCAATCAGGAGTTATAGTTTATCTTTTCATAAAAAAAAAAAAACAGAAAATAATGATGAAATAAAACTAAGGTTTATTGGACTTGTTGGGTTCATATCTGGAATCTATTTCCGACACCAATTCAATTCAATAAAAATAAATGCTCCGATATGACCCGAAAGTTGGCTAAACATTTTGATTTTCTGGTGGAGATCTTGATGGGGATCTTTAGTGGCAGGCCAAATTGAAACCCGACACGCAACGATTTTGCGGTTTGTTTTGGGGAATCTGGCTTTTGTGGTCTCACCAATCGCCAATCGAGTGGAAATAGAAGTGAAGTGGGGGGGCCACCAGTTGAACAACAAGTGGCTAGAGCTATGGCCAAAATCGGTGCGAAGGACGCCCAAGCGGCCGGCAAACTTAAGGCCTAATATGGTCAAGACAGACGCTCGGATATAGCTATCGGTCGGCATTGGCTAATATGGATACTTACTATTCAGTGCGAGAACAAGGGAACATGACCGGATTTTCTACACTCAGCCACCCATTATGTGAATAAAATGGGGAGTGGCGGAAAATAACTCAATTGTGCCGATGAGAGAACCCAGAATCGAGTGCAATCTTATCCTTATCGAAGCTTGAAATACAACTAACCGACGAATTGTCACGCGGGCGAGACAGGGAAAGACGTATGTTTATAACCAATTAATGATAAGTCTCTTATCAGCGATATTTGGCCAGATAGGAAAAGGGGAAATGGCCCACAAATATAATCATGCCTTGCACTTGCTCCAAGTCTCGATTGGGGCATCAGTTTGCAAAAGCCTAGCGACTGTGAGGGATTAGCTCGAAATGTACCAGTCCAAGGTTCCTAAACTAGTCTACACCTTGATTTTTAGTAATTAACTAATTAATATCCTTTTATTTTTATAGATTAACTCAAAGTACAGCGAGGAGCTGGCTCAGGAATCCCTGGAGTGGATCAAGGCTGTCACCGCTGAGCCCATCAACACCTCCGGCGACACCGACAACTTCTTCGAAGTCCTCAAGGATGGTGTGATCCTGTGCAAGCTGGCCAACGCCCTGCAGCCTGGATCCATCAAGAAGATCAACGAGAGCAAGATGGCCTTCAAGTGCATGGAGAACATCTCCGCCTTCCTCGAGTGCGCCAAGAACTTTGGTGTGCCCACCCAGGAGACCTTCCAGAGCGTTGATCTGTGGGAGCGCCAGAACCTCAACTCGGTGGTCATCTGCCTGCAGTCCCTGGGTCGCAAGGTACATATTCCAGCTATCCTTAATTATGAAATAGTACTAATAGTACTATATATTCTTGATTTTTAGGCCTCGAACTTCAACAAGCCATCGATCGGACCCAAGGAGGCTGATAAGAACGTGCGAAACTTCAGCGAGGAGCAGCTGCGCGCCGGCCAGAACGTGATCTCCCTGCAGTACGGATCCAACAAGGGCGCCACCCAGTCCGGCATCAACTTTGGCAACACCCGGCACATGTAGAGACGGAAGTCTGTGCCGCCCCACTCCCCTCTCAGACATTCCGCAATAAAAGCCAAAACCAAAACGCCAACATCTTCCGCAACCGCCAAAGTTTGGCTATCTTTGCTTTTGGGTTTCCACATATTTCACGTTTCGAGATAAATTTTGGGATGAGCCCCTACCACCCCGATAAAACATGATATGATACAGATATATATTTATGATGATACCGATTTGTATTTGTATTCAGATTGACCAGGCGTATGCTGTTATGTAATAACATAAACTACTTTAATTTAATATTATTAAGTACTCGTACATACGGATCTTTAGGATGATTTATTCTATTTTCAACATTTGCATTTGCGACGACGAAATATTAAACAGAGCACCCACACAGATCCTGTGCCATTGAAGACAGCTTCAAGTTATCCTGTCCCCATGCAAAATGAGATAATAATTGGATCAACCGATCGATAAGGAAATTGGAAAGATAATGGAAATGAAATTAGTGTTTTGATGAAAGTGTCTTCTATCTCTTAGAGTAACGATTACAATGTTGTTTCAAACTAACCACCTGATTATACCAATCAAAAAGCAGAGCATTTAAAGTTAAAACAAATCTATTTACATACAGAGAACTATATATGTATTACACACTTTTGAAGAATCTATTTTGAATAATGTCCCCTGTTGAAAATAAATAATTATTCTTTTAACATATTTTGCTGGTTTTATTATTTTTTAAGGGAGTTTTAGTAATTAAAACTTCGAAACCATATTCAGACGCAGCACTAAAGTTTGAATTGGGCGCCACAGTGTGCCCCTTTCATACGAACATGCAGCTTATCAGTACTTTTTAGTTCAGTATATTTTAGTCCCCACTAGTAGTATTTTTTAGATCATGTTTGGCGCGCAAATTCAAACAACACTTTTTATAACAATGACATAATTAATTTTATTTCAAAAAACAAAAATTAATTGTTGCATGCATTGACATTATTACTTAATTAGCAGCCAGTTCCGCTTACGATTATATTCAGCCGGTAAATAATATACTCGCAGCGGTAAAAAATTATATAGTCATCGAATAACAATTAAAAAATAATTTTATACGATCGCTTATATAAAATAGAACATATTGTACAGTCGTTGATAATGTGTTTGCATTCGGGCATCCACTTAGGAGTATTATGAGAATAATTCGAGACATCGTTTTCGATATTGGATTCGCTAACTATAGACATGAATAGAATGTGCCGGACCAGGCAGCATTCCGTGTTCAGCAATTACATAAAACTATAGCGGTTATATTCGAGCTAGTAATACGTGATTTTTGTGTAGTTAACCCGCCAGGAGCATTTCCGCGGCCACCTCCAGACTCCAGTTGCTCTGCTGCAGGGCCTGTTCACACTGGGGGCGAGCTGCCACGCCCAATCGCGCCAGCTGGTCGATCTTGTAGTGCCTCGTGGCCAGACCCACATCTCCGCTGGCCGCTCGCAGGGCGTTGCGCACATCCTGCTCCACCGCCGTGCTGCCCAGTTCCTGCATCAGTTGCTGCAGCTTTTCCTGCTCGCGACCGAAATCCGAGGGCACCGGCGCGTAAAGCTGGTGGGCTCCCTCCAGTTGCTGCTGTTGCTGCAGACGCATCTTCTCCATTCGTCTCTGGATTTGCTGGGCGGATAGCGGAGGAGGAGCCAGAGGAGCAGGTCGATGGGGCCTCAGGTAATCATCTGTGGTCACTTCGTCGTAGAGAGCAGCCCCGCTACCGTTCGGCACCTGGCCGTAGTAGGTGGATCCTGCCGTGCTAGCCGCCACTGCATCGTAGAGGGAGCCTGACGAGGCGTAGGTGTTGTTCTTGGGCGCCACTACCCGGTTGGAAATGGCCACAAACGAGTGATTGGCCTCCGGCTGCATCGAGACATGCTGGTTATTCTGGTAGATCTGCTCTTCCGGCTGCTCCCTGGGCGGCTGGGCATAGTACTCCGAGGATGTGGCCACCTGCTCGTACCATATTCGATTCACCACGCTCTGGGTAGAGCCGGCTGCTGCTGCCGCCTCGACATTGTTTTGTTTGGGCGACACGGTTGAGGAGGGACTGGAATGATTCGAGGGAACTCCATTCTTCAGGGGCGTCAGATTCTGCTTGTAGACCATGTCCTTGCTGGAATACATCTGGGTGGAGTTGCGCTGGTACTCCTCCTGCGCCCGGGTCTGGCCATTGCTGTACATGTCCTTCTCTAGCTCGGCAATGAAGGACTTGTCCAGCAGCACGCTTTCGGAAGGAGCAGCAGAAGGTTCCACGGGCTGGACTGGCTGGTTACTCAAATTAAGCTGCATGGCTGCTGACTCGAGGGCAGGTATGTTCTCCTTGTTCGCGTTGGATCCCCCAAAGAGACTCTTTCGTACGGAAGGACTACTGTAAATGGGCGCTGCCTGGGCAGGAGGAGCTGTCTCCAGGGATTGGTAGTTCGAGTTGGAGTAAAGGGCTACTCCCGTGTCCACGTTGCTGGTATCGAAGGGATCCATTTCCCTGACCGGGGTAGATAGCTGTTGATTCAGGTCTCGCTTCTGGGCGAACTCCATCGTGTTGGAGTAAGTGGGAGGCATCTGGTAAGGTGGCGGCTGCATTCGGCCCGGGGAAGTGGGTGCCCTGTTGTTCATGTCCAGCTCGAAGTGGGGTTGCTCATTGAAGTATGTGGGTGAAGCACAACGTTCTCTGGGTCTTTCGTTTTCGTCGAAAGTGGGCACATCAATGGGAGCATCCAGAATGCAAAACGAGCTATCCGCCTGCAGTGAGGAGCTGTCTCCCGCTCCCGACATCATCCCACCGGACGGGGAAATGTCGATGAGTAATCCCTCCTGCTGGAACTGGGGAGGCGGTGGCCGTTGCGGACCCACAAGGGCACCCTTGTGCTTCACCGCGTTCCTCCGCTGAAGACCGGCAGCCGCCGCTTCGTTCACCAGCTTGTTGTAGGCGAACTGCTTGCTGGACGTGGACTTTCGCTCCTTGGCATGGTTTTGGGGGAAGGCCGGTCCACCCTTCGATTGCCTGGCATCTCCATTGGCCATGGCCGCTGCTCCGCCCCAACAGAATCCAAAGGGCGAAGAGGATGACGCATTGCCCATGCTGTTCCTCATGGCCGCATCATGGACGGCGCCCACTTTCCGCTGCTCCAGCAGACTCCTCGGAAAGATTCCGATATCGAAGGTACGCTGATTCTGACCCTTGATCAGTTTAAGTTCCTGCCGTCCATCAATGATGGCTACTGTGTCCCCAGGCTCGATCTGAAGGCCCTTGGATTCGTGATAGCCGCGAGAGGCGCGCATCACGGGAGGCGACATGCTGGCAAGGTATTCTCTGAAAGGAAAGGACATTGGTTTGAATATCAAGGATTTGGAGAGTCTGCGATGGACTCACTTGAGAGCAGCGAAGGTAGGACGTTCTTGTGGCGTCTTATCCCAGCACTGCAGCATCATGGCGTAGACATCCGGAGGACAGGCATCTGGCTGATGGAGTCGCTCGCCCTCGCGATCGATTTTTCGCAGGATCTGGGAGCCATTGAGACCCACCCAGGGATCCTCGCCAAAGCTGAACATCTCCCACAGCGTCACCCCAAACATCCAGGTGTCGGAGGCGTGCGAAAACTGACGAAATCGCAACGACTCCGGGGCACACCAGGGGAAGGGCACCTTCTTGTGCTCGGACATCACATAGCAGTCGTCCTCCTGAGGCAGGGCTCGCATTAGTCCAAAGTCTCCGATCTTGATCTTGTTCCCAGCAGCCAGCAGAACGTTCCGGCAGGCGAGGTCTCGGTGCAGAAATCGTTTCTGCTCCAGGTAGGCCATGCCCGTAACGATCTGAACCGACCAGTTCCAGATGATGGTCAGCGAGGTGTGGCGGCACTGCTTGCGGAGTGTGTCCAGCAGGGATCCGCGCTCCGCCAGCTCCGTGATCATCATCATGGGCTGGGACAGCACCACGCCGTACAGCCTCACGAGATTCGAGTGGTCCAGAGCGTGCATGGCCTGCACCTCGCGGAAGAAGTCATCGATGATGCCGGGCTGGGTGAGATTATCGGACTTTAGCACCTTGACAGCCACGGGGATCACTTTGCCAGCCGGGGAGGCACTCCACTCGCCGCGACGCACCACCCCGAAGGATCCGTCGCCCAACTTCAGGCCCAGTGTGATGTCCTTCTCGTGGATGAGGCAGGTCAGCTGGGTGCCGTTGCCCTGACTGGAGTCCTTGGCCGAGGACTGTTGCTTCTTGGAGGAGGGCTGCTTGCCGCCGCCAATCAGCTTGGACAGGATGTTCTTCCTCCACTGGTGGGCCTTCTTTTTCCGCACCGCCTCCATGAGCCGCCGGATGGCCGGCTTCCCCAACCCACATCTCTCTAGATCCTCGGGCAGAACATAGTCGAAATGGGCCAGTCGGGTCACCTGCAGGTCATCGCGTATCCGGTCGAGGAACTGCTCCAGCTGCACCTCTCGCAGCAGATCTTCTAGCCAGGCCGTCTCGCTGCTCGGACTTCCATCGCCCGTCACTGTCGAGGTCATGTCCTGAAAAAACACAAAAACGAACCGAAAAGTTGAAGTTAATCTCGGCGGCATAGGGGTCTGGAATATCAGACATGGGTTAGTGGGTTACTGGGTCGTCGTGGGGCCAATGCGGTAATATCAGACGGAAATAGTGGCTCGAAATGGTCAGAAAGCAAAAGTACTCCCCGTTTATGGTAACCAAACCCCAATGGAATATTAATATCATTGCCTAATCGTATGAGGGGGAGTTGGAGAAAGAATATACCAGTAAACAGTGGCACAAAGTGGGTGTTTTTTAGAGAAATTCTTAAAAATATTAATCAGAATAATAATTTACTATCTAATCCCCATCAAGTGAGTGTTAAATTCTTAAATAGATTGATTATCTTAACCCCTAATTTCACTAACTTGTGACTAGAAATAAAACTAACGCTCTAATCAGCTCTCGAAATAAGTGCTAATTATAATTTAACAATATTTATTGGCTTTTGTTTTAATATAGTTCTCAGAACGTGTTGTTTAACATCACTAGTTTGCTAATTAAATGGAAAATATTAATAAACAAAGATACCTACATACATATATTTTTGCGTAAATGACGATTTATTGTTTAAGAAACTCAAGGTCAGTCTACCAAACTATATATAACCGATAAAGGGGGGCTCTTATTTACTATAAAAAATATAATATTACTTCTCTATATCCAACTACTTCCTAGAACTTGCTATTACTTAGAAATAATATCATTATTTTTTTTATGGAAATGTCAAAGTTATCTGGAACTTATAGCTGTTTCCAAGGGGGTCTAAGCAAACACATAAGCTGGCTTGAGGAGGATTTGTATAAATAGACCCCCAAAGTGACGTCATATTAAGGGGAAAAACGTAAACGAGTTGCGTCATCTTCCAATGTAAGGGAAGAACCGTGAGGCAAATGCTGGGGGGGTTTAAAATAATAATAAATATTTTAAAATTTTACCTACTATTTGATGAGTGTCAGCCCACTGTATCTATGCAGCTGCATTCGCAAGAAAATGATAAAAAAAAGACTGTCATTACATCGGTTGAGGAACCGGGTACGAGGGGCTTGAACTCTGGCGCGTGCCAAAGTGGAGTTTATTTATAAGTCGGTTTCAAATATTCCAGATAAAGGTGAGCAGATGGGAGACTCTGAATGAAATCCATACATACATATATCAGCCCCCCTAGAGGATTCTCTGAAAAACGAAACACATCATCGGTTCCATAACCCAGGCTATGTTTGTTGCTAATGGGTATGGTTTTATAATAGCCATATAATAGATATTAAGCTTAGTGGTAGTGGTGACAGTTTTGAGTAATTATTCGGCCGGAAACTGGAATTTGTTTGGCGGATGCCAGGGAGTGACAGTGAGAGCAAAAAAAAAGACAACAACGCCCAGTTGAGAGCAGGTTGTAGCTCATTTGTAATTTACACAAAGTATTGCTAGTGCACTGAGAAAAATTATAAAAAAATGTTAATAAAATAAAGGTATTTATAAGATGGTATATAGGGTAAAGAAAGAAAGATATTTCATAGAAATAGTCTTACGATAAACCTGGAAATCTATGAAAACCTCCGATAATTCTGATAAAAACCTCTCAAATTCCCCTGCTAGTTGGCACTCTAGTGTTATTTTTTTCCAGTGTACACGATCCCACCCCTTAACTACCGAATTCATTAACTTTTTACAACATTTGTGGCATTCCCCTGGGGGTCTTTCAAAGGGTATATATCTTTATTTCCTTTGTTATCTCCAAGCAATACTCACCAATATTTTTCAAAAATCAGAGATGATTTTTTTTTACGAATTTCTGGATGCAGCTGCTGAGCCGCTGGCGGCGACGCTGGCAGCGAAGCGTTGCGTTACTGCTTCCGTCGCTGCCTGCGGTGCGGCTGCACTTGGCTAAACTTCCTGTCTGGACGCGAACAGGTTGCCAACACAAAAGATTATGATGATGATGGCGAAAGATGGAGGGACCAAAGATGTGAAATTCAATATGCGAGGGCAGTTGTGAAGCAAGGTGAAGGACGTCGACGTCGACGTCGACGTTGGCTTCAGCGTCAGCGTTGGCGATCGTTACAGTGATGCGTATGGGTATGTATCTATGTGTGTGTGTAGGTTTGTTTACACTCTCGAAAACAACAGTTGTTGGGTTTTTCGCTGCTGAACTCGCAGGGGAGAGGTAATCAAGCCCATCATGCGGCAGCTAGCGGCCACTTTAATATATTAATTTAATGGCGCGCACACAAAACAAGCAAAAACAATGAATTCGCTTTCAACACACACCACACACTCTTTCCAGCCCCACCTGCCCCTCCCCCGCGCTGTCGTCACAGGTTTTTGCACAATTTTTCACACAAACGCATTTGCACGCTGCACACTGGCATTGGTATTTGGATGATTGTGTGTGTGTCTCTCGGTAAGGGAATTGAAAAAATGCACGAAAAACAGCAACGCAAATCCGTAATCGTAATAACAAAACCGTTTCAAGCTATAAATATGCTTCACTTCAGCCGTCGAGTACTTAGAATCGATGAGATTCGCTTTTTATTCGAGTCCAGCAGGAGTTAAAAACATCTGCAACGTTTAATTCGCGATTGAAAATGCGCGACAGCCGAAAAATGTTTTTTGCCAGCAGCTGATGCTCTGCATTTTAGCGTTATCCATCCCTGGAGAGCGTTGCCAGACGCGGTAGGGGTTTGAGTAACCTGCAAGCTGGTCCCACTCAAATCACTTTAGCTGGCAACCCTACAACGCATATGTTTTTTAAAATACACGTGCAGGAGCATTTATTTTAATTAATGCTATTTATTTAATATTTTGATAAATAAAAAGATGCCGGCAGCCGTGGCCTCAGGTGTGCAATTGGGTGGACCACCCAAAAACAAGAAAATCGTTTTCGACGACTCGGGAGAGGCCATAGCCAAAGCAAATAAAAAGGACGCCTCCCCCAAGGAGCAGGCGAAAAAGCCCACAAAAATCCAGTTTGGAGAAGATGGTGAAGCTGTATCGAAGAAACCATTCAACAAAAGTCACCAGAATGGCCAAAAGCCTCAAAAGATAAAGTTCGGAGATGATGGTGAAGCTATAGCCCAGAAACCTTTCAACAAAAGTCACCAGAAATTCAATGGCCAAAAGCCAGGATTTGAAAAGAAGCCCCAGAAGATCAAGTTCAACGATGACGGTGCCCCTCAGAAGCAATTCAACAAAAACCAGCAACAAAATGACCGAAAACCTTTCAACAAAAATGGAGCCAAACCCGAGCAGGCCAAGAAACCGCAGAAAATAAAGTTTGGCGATGACGATGAAGCCACAGAGAAGTCCAAGAAACCGCAGCGCATTAAGTTTGATGAGGATGGAGCTGGGAAAAACGTGTCCGATAGCGAAGGCGATAGCGATGTAGAGCTGGGAGCTGTCCTCAAAAAGCACAACAAGTACCACTCCAAGGCGGACGAGGACGAGGCGTCCCAAAAGAAGTGGTACAATGTGGTAAGTTGGTAAGAAGTCATAGAGGAGCAAAACACTGCTATATGTCCTTTTTTAGTATCCCGATTATCCCTCAACCGATGAAGTGCTGGACATGAAGGAGAACGAGCAGCTGGAGCTGTTTAATCTCTGCAAGAGTTCCTTCGAGGCGGAGAAGAACACATTTAATAAACGTAAGTCACAAGAGTTGACTTCCAGGGTATATAATGTACTCCCATTTATATTTTAGGAAACCCCACCGATGCTCGCTGGTTGCAGACCGCTCTTCACAAAGGTACGGCCAAGGATCGGGCAAATGCCGGAGCCCTGCTGGTCACGAGTAATCCTCTGGGCAATTTGGAAGCCCTCACAACTCTGATTGGATTCTGCAAGCTCTCCAACAAGGTCAGCAACGATGTGATTGCAGTGCTGACGGATCTGTGGCAGGAGGTGCTGCTGCCACCCAACAGAAAACTTCTGGCCATCCACACTCGCGGTGCCGATTGGAAGAAGCTAAAGAAGGACGATACTCTGCACAAGGAGCAGCAGCGACGCATCTACGCTTACTGGTATTTTGAGAGCGAGTTGAAGGATCAGTACCACGAGTTCCTGAAGAATGTGATGCAGGGACTGCAGACGGGACAGGAGCACAACAAGAACTCGTCGATTGTGGCTGCCGCTAGACTGCTCTCGTTTGCTCCAGAAAAGGAACAGATGCTGCTGACGATGCTGGTCAACAAACTGGGTGATCCCGTGCCGAAAGTCGCCTCCAAGGCCCTTCACCATCTCAGTGAAGTGGCCCAGAGGCATCCGAATATGTGCGGTGTGATTGTGGCGGAAGCCGAGAAACTTCTCTTCAGGAACAACATCTCGGAAAGAGCCCAACATTTCGCACTGTGCTTCCTCTCCAGCATCGCCCCTTCCGGCCGGCCGGAGGTCTGCACCAAGCTGGTCAACATATGCTTCGCTCTGTTCAAGGTCCTGGTCCAAAAGGGAGCTGTCAACAATCGCACCATGCAGGCCATCCTGAGATGTCTGCAGAAAGCCATTGTGGAAGCTCAGCCGGCGAAGGATAGCAATGGGGAGCTGCTCAACAAGGAGATGCAGGACACCATCTACCGGCTGGTCCACTTGGCGGACATCCGAGTCAGCATTCAGACCCTGGGTCTGCTCCTGCAACTGATCACGGTGAAAACGGAGAAGTCGGATCGTTTCTACAACGCCTTGTACGTGAAGCTGTTGGATCTGGACCTCGTCAATGTGGGCAGCAAAACGGCGGCCCACCTGTTGCACATCGTCCACCGCGCCATCCACATAGACAACCATGTGGCCAGGGCTCAGGCGTTTATCAAGCGCCTCCTGCAGATCACCCTCTATGCTCCTCCCCACATCGCAGCCGGTTGCCTGATCGTTCTCCACAAACTGCTGCGCATGCGCCGGGAGCTAATAGGAGGCAGTGGGGCATCCGAGGAGGTGGCGGCTGGTGCTAAGGTTATTCTTCCAGCAGATGTTGATCTTGACAAGTTTGGCAGCGACGATGAAGAAGTCTACAAGGATGTCAAGGAGGAGAAGGAAGCGGAGGAGGACAAATCCAAACCGAAGGAGGACAAGGATGAGAAGAGCCAGGGATCCTCGTGGCATCATGCCAGTGTCGCTGCCACAGAGTCGAAGGTGCGAGAAATCGATTCCTGCAAGTATGATCCGTATCATCGGGTTCCTGCTTTTGCGGGAGCTGGCTATGCTCTCCGGAATGAGCTCTTGTTGCTGCGAAACCACTACCATCCCACTGTCCAGGTCTTTGCAGAGCAGATCCTGCAGCGTGAGTTCTAAAATCTTCTTTCATTCTCCATTTGTAGAACTGTCTTTTCTTTTTTTTTAGAGGCCCGCATCGATTACTATGGTGATCCGTTGAGGGATTTCGGATTGCCACACTTCCTGGAGCGATTCGCGTTCAAGAATCCCAAAAAGCTGGACAATTCCCAGGCGGCGGAAAGTGCCACAGTGGCCCACAAGCGCTACATTGCCCAAGGAGGTCGTGGAAAGCCTGTAAAGTCGCTCACGAAGGCCAACTGCACCGAGGACGAGATGTTCATCTTCAACTTCCTGGAGCACAAACGGCGGCAGGCAGAGATCGTGGCCCAAAGCAAGAAGGAGAAGGGCGTGAAGAAGGAGGATCCCGACGGGGATGAAGACGCCGAAGGTGACGGAGAGTACCTCAAGGAAGGAGAGGTGGACGACGACGAATTCGAAGCCTATCTGGATGGCTACTTTGGCAAGAAGTTCAAGGATGGCGGCGATGCCGAAGAAGAAGATGACGAGCTCAACTTCCTCGAGGAGCTGGGCGGAGAGATGCAGGCAGACAAATCCAAGAAGGACAAGAAAAAGAAGAAGTCGGCCGACAAAGAAGAGGACGACATGGAGGACATTGACGATGACTGGGGCGACGATGACCTGGGAGAGGAAGACGATGATGATGAGATGGCCGGTCCTGGCGAGGATCATTCAGATGACGAAACAGGATCTATAGATCTAGAGCCAATGGAGGATGATGATGATGATGACGAGGGTTCTATTTCCGATGGAGACACCAGCGACATGCCGGAGAGTCCCGATGAAGATGAAGACGACGATGATTTGGATGCTCCACCCAAATCCAAGCGATCTCGCAAGGATTCAGGAAGCATGGTGGATGGACGAAGCTTTGCCAAGACCCTCAAACAGAGTCATGGTATGTTTTCCATTCATTTTCCTTTTCCAAACAATAATTTTCTTTTCCAAACAGACATGTCTTCGCTGTTTGCTGCCGCCGATGACTTCTCCTCGATGCTGGAGGAGAGCTCCAAGGTCAAGGGCCAGGGCACGAGTAATGCCGTTTTCAACAAGGACAAGTCCTCCGCCAAGCAACTGAAGTGGGAGGAGAACCGTAGATCGAATACGAAGACCTACACGGGCAAGAAGTTCTCCGGAAAGTCCAAAGCCGGCAAAGGCGGAAAGCCACAGAAGGGTGGCAAGAAGCGGAAACACTAGCATCCCGGCTAGTAGATGGATAGGATAGTTAAGGATGTAATAATTTTAAAGGAAAACAATGAGATGATAATTTGAAATGCTTTATTTTAACTGCATTTTGATATTGGTTTTATTTACAAACTTTGGTGACTTAATCGCTAGCAACTTGTTTCGATCGAGGATATCCTTGAAGGGGATATCGATCATAACTACTACCATCCGTATAACACTTTGGCCGAACTGTAAAAATCGGTTTCAATTCGATTTGATTGCTTTCCTCTCTTAATCCTTATATTTAACTAGTTGCCCCCCTTATTTGTGAAGGTAGAGTCGTCTATGGTCTGGGTTTTTGGGAGGGGGGGTCACTGTCTGTGGGTTATCTTAAACTACGTTAGCCGATCTTTATATATCTTGATGTCAATTCAATATAAAAACTCTTGCCAAACAGCTCCCTTAGCTTATAAAATGTATGGGTTAACTTTTTTTTTTGGGTTTTACATTTTTTTTCTGTTCGGTTTTTGTTGTTTTCTAAGGCAACTTGTTAAAAGGCAACTTTAATATAAATGTTATTTGTTTTTATACTAAAATTTACACCGAGTTTTTATAATTATAGTTCAACATCCAGTTATTTATTTTCGACTTTTTGCACAGGATATGTGGATTGATTTAAGGGGATTTTTCGGTTTCTATCTGAGTGTTGGTAACCCTACAACATAATACACTTAAAAAAAAGATAGAAAAAATAAAAATAGTAATGTGTTCAATTGTTTTAGATTTTTTATTTACTTTCATGGGGGTTTCATAATCTTAACCATAAATAAAATATGTCTAACTTGCGGAAAAAAGAAATAAACAAAGAAAATACTTAACAAAACAATTAAAATGTGATTGCAATTAACAATTCTAGGACTATCATCGGATTCTAGGACTTGATCTTAATTTCTGATTTCATAATAATTTTTAAATTGAAATAAACTGAAATAAATTGAAATCATTTAGGGCTATGGGTAGGGACTCTAAAGAGCAGTCCCAACTGCCATAGGAATTTACAATTCCCACTAGGTGGGGGGCGGGGGGGTTAGAACTGACAGAACCGACCTAAAATAATTATATGTTGAGTGTGAATAGGTCACCCCCCTGGTGGGGAGATATATTGGTGATTGTTTCGGTCTTTCTTATCATTTGATTTCCTATGTTTGTGTGTTTTTTTCTCATTTTTTTAGATTTTAGTTTTGTTTGTTAATTGGATTTTTTACATTTAGGCTATTCAAATAATTAACTAGCACAACAAATCGTATATAAGCATGTTGCGATCTCTATCCTCCACTCTGTAGTTTAAGTTTCCTTTAAGCTTAAAGTTAGTTTGAAATGTGACACGCTAAGTCAGTTGCTTCAACTAAGTCTAATGGTTGTAATGCATAACAAACTCGTTAATAATTATTGACAGGATCTTTGGTGCGGTATGCGGATGATCCTTCCATTCTGGCCCTCGCGTTCTTTGTGTCTGTGTACAATCTATATGTGTTCTGGCCGGGGTCTCGTTATTGTATCGGTGCCATGGCCGTACCCGTATCTGTTTCCCGATCGGGTCATAGTCTGTCAGCTGAATTCGGTCGTCCACTGCAGCACCGCTGGCAGTTCCTCCTCGTCCAGCTCCTCCTCTTTTATCTCCTCCTTGACCTCCACCTGCATCTCCACCTCCACTTCCACCTCCTCCACCGTCTCCGGTTGTGCTACATCCTTGTATTCCTGTCATTCAAACACATACCGCTGGCGCAGCGCCCTCGCTCTCTCGGGCTGGACACGAGTCGGCGGACGTGGCACCTTGGGTGGCGGCTTCGCGCGCTTCGGCTTGGGCGGCTTGGGTCGCGGAAAGATCATCGGTTTCTCGTAGGCCTCGTCGATCTTCTCCACCTTAATGCTGGGAGCACAGTAGACCCTTCGCTGCTTCTTAAACCGGTGCTTGAGGACCTGCTGCACTCCGTAGATGAGGGCACAGAAGTGCCGCCAGCTGGCCCGCGACTTCCGCCACGATAACTTCAGATTACCAAATCCATGAAGGTCCTCCTCATCGCGCAGGGAAGGTCGCGAGGTAGTGGGCACACTGCGAGGCACGATGCGCGTGACTCTTGCGGGGATTCGCGGCTGCACAGCTTCTTCAGCCGGAGGCGGAACCTGCTGCATCACCAGGTGCATGCCAGCCTTGCTGTCCTCCTCTGCCACCACACCCCCAGTGTTCGTGAGCAGCTGGCTCTCGGTCCGCCGTTGCTGCCGTGTTCGGGGTCTCGTTGGGGAGGTTTCCTCTGGAACCACGTCTGTTTCTGCAGGAGGAGGTGGTGGCGGTGGCATCTGTTCATGTTCGTCCGGCGGTAGTATGAAATCTATGAAGTCCGTGGGTCTTCGCAGTGGCGGTGCGTTCTCATCGAAACCGTGGAAGTCCATCAATCCATCGAAGTCGGGGTCGAAACGTTCATGAACCACCAAGTCCTCGTCGTCGGATGATGCCATAACTGCATTCACATTGGTCTGGAGCTCCACCACTGGTTCGCTTGGCAGGTTGATGCCCTCATCCTCCGTCACATGCACCATCGAGGATTCAGGCAGTTCTTGCTGTACTCCCTCGGAGGCCGGTTTACCGACCGCCGGCTGCTCCATGGTGTCCTCGCTTAGGTCCACCACGACCTGCTCCTCGGCTGGCACTATTATATCCACATCCGGATCATTGCAGCCATATTGCAACCACGGGGACTCCAGTATCTCATCCAAGGTGGGCCGATCCGAGGGATTGCGCTGCAGGCACCATGCCACCAGGCGGCGGAACTCATCGGAGGCATTCTGCCAGCCCTTGGAACGCTGGTTGAACGAATCCCGCTGTATACGTTTCCGCAACTTGTGGTGGGCAGCGGCGCTGTGGTCTGTGTCGCTCGTGCCCTGTCTGTAGGGAGGATGCCCCACCAGCATGGTGTACAAGGTGGCGCCCAGCCCGTATATATCCACAGCTGGAGAGTAGGTGACAATGTTTGGATCGGTAAGAAGCTCGGGCGGTGCGTAGTCCAGCGTGTAACGGGGTTTGTCCTTCCAGGTCTCGAAACTGCTGCAATAGCTGTGGGGGGGGAAATGGAATGAGTGGAAGTTGGAGTGGAATAGGTGATTCAGTTGTTACCAGGCATTGCCAAAGTCCACTAGCTTAACGCTCCTATCCTCCCGGCTCTCAAACATTATGTTCTCCGGCTTCAGATCGCCGTGGATGAAGCACTTCGAGTGGATATGTTGCACAGCCATAACCAGCTGCAAAAAGATATCGCGGCACGCCTCCTCATCCAGATGACCACGCTGTGTGGGCCCGGTGAGCTCCTCACCGCACAGGTACTCAGTGATAATCCACGTCTCGCACTTATCCCGGAACGCCCCATGATAGCTGACAATGTTCTGGTGGCCGTTTCTGTCCAGTGCGCACGATATCAGCGCGTCCACCTCCGAGGCCCGAAACTTGGACAGGGGAACAACCTTGGCCATGAAAACCATTTCGGTAGAGATGTCGCTCACAAAGTGGCACGTGCCATAGGATCCGCTGACGGTGCGGGTGCCCAATTCGAGATCATCCGGTCTTGAGGGGATGTGCTGGAATGAAAACCCACATTAGCTTTAATCTCCATGGGGAAGGCTTTGATTTAAAGCTCACCTGCAGCCCTGGATTGCAGTATTCGATGTGGCAATGGTTGTCGCGGCGCATCTGCTCGAGATGCTCCGGCGCTACGTAGGTGTAGCCGCGGAAAAGGCGAATCCGGCTGGGCGGGGCATCGCACTCGGCGTCTTCGGGCACCATGTCGGTGAACTCGCTGCTGAAGTTCTGCACATCATCCTCGGAGGTCAGGGGCGGCTTGTAGGGTGCCTTTCGGCGCTTGGCCCGCAACTCCTTCCAGTTGATTCCTTGGAAGAAGGGGTGCTCCTTGATCTCGCTGGCATCGCGATGGTTGCCACCCAGGCGTCGCTTTGGGTTCTTCTCCAGCATCTTCAGAACAAAGTCGCGAGCGTGCGCGCTGAACGAAGAGGGGATCAGCGGCTGTTCCTTTTGGATCCTTCGCGAAATCTCCGACTGCTGGCTCTGCCCGTCCGATGTGGCGAACGGGGAGGCTCCAGTGAGCAGTTCAAAGGTGAGCACTCCCACCGACCACCAGTCCACGGCGCTATCATGACCGGGCGGTCCTGTCCGGATGATTTCCGGCGCCATGTACTCCAGTGTTCCGCAGAAGCTGTGCGCCCTGTACTCGTTCTCTGCAGTAAGGATCTTCGAGAGTCCAAAGTCAGAAAGCACAATGTGTCCGTCACCATCCAGCAGAATATTCTCCAGCTTAATATCTCTGTAGATGATGCCCAGTTGGTGCAGCTGCTCGAGGGCCAGCACTACCTCGGCAATGTAAATCTTCACCCGCGATTCCTCGAAGTTCTCGGAGTGATACAGGTGTGTAAACAATTCCCCGCCCTTGGCGAAATCTGAAAAATTCGGAGAATCCGAGGGTTAGTTTTGGCTTCAAGGGATAATGGCTGATGATCTCTCACCTAGGACCAGGTATAGCTTGGTTGAGGACTGAAAGGCGTAGTGAAGGCTTACAAGGAAGGGACTGCGCTGGACGGCTTCCAATACCTGGAACAGGGTGGAAAATGGAAATTTAATGGAAAATCACAAACAATTGAATAGATTTTGGAATAATTTTATAAGTAATAGCTCTTATCAGCATCATTTTAGATAAAGATTACTAGTAATTGGGCCCTTATCGATGTTCTTAGATTCTCTTTCGCTTATCAGACTACCTGGAGTGCTCTTCTCCTTTGTTTTGAGCTTCGTTTACACAAAAACGAATTGAATGTAGTGGTCTAGTGTTTTTGTTGCTGTTCGTCTGTTTATTTTTTTGCTAATTAGTTGCTGCTCTGGGCATAAAGATTTATATATTTTGTGGAAAAATACAAAATCCCCAAGTGAAAGATGAATAAAAAAAAAAAAAAAGTGAAAAGTACTCGAAAATAAATTAATGAAATGAATTCGTCTCTCGCTCTCATTATGTCAGATGAAAACTTTCACATTTCACGTCCAGCGTCGTTCGTTTATTCGATTCCTTTCTATTTTCGGCAAATTATATGGTAATTTCTTAGCTCTACCGAGAAATAATTAAATGTTATGTGTTTGCTATTGACTATTTCGCTCTGTGTAATAAATAATAACTGGGTTAGTGGCACAGGCAGTGTACCTTGAACACAAGCCAAGTGCGTGTGAGTGAGTGTGTCGGATATACAAACTACAACAAAAAAAAAAACAGAACAGGACCACCCTCCAAATTGTAAATTTGTTCAATTTATCTGTCACACAATGCGCCGCTTATCTCTGCTGCCATCCCGCTCTGGCGCCCCCCCACACCTGTTTGCAGTTATTTAACGAATTCCGTGGTCTTTCTCCTCTTTCTTTTCTTTTATGTTTTTGGTTTTCTATTTTCATTGATTTGCTATTGAGAGTCAATGCCGCAACAGAAACCGGTTACTTACACTATGATCTCAAGAGGTGAGTCTCTCTCGCTCTCTCTGAAACTACTCTATTAGAGTTTCAGATTTATTTTTTTAAACTAAAATTGAAGGTAATTAAAATTATTAATTATAGTATTGGCTTTTTTTAAGTTTGAAGCAAAACTCCCTTTTAGCTTTTGGCCCACTCTCCCTACATCTCTTACATCCAACTCTCTGTTTATCCTCTCTTTTGACTTCAACAGTTGCTCTCTGCTAGCTTCTTGCCGGTGCAACAAGAACAAGTCACTAAGTGGGTCACAAGAACATATGTATGTACACATCCCCTAGTCTCTCTCCGCCTTCCACCTTCCCTTTTTCCCGTTACTGGTTTTCTGTTTTCCTCTTGGACCTGCTTCTGGAAACTGTACGTGCGACTTTGAAGGTTGTTGTCGTTGGCCAAGTTTAATTTCAATAAGCTGCACTTTATTGTTAAGAAGAAGAACCTGACCAAAGCCAAGAATATAAAAGAAAAAAGTGTTGCAGTAATTGCGAAAATAGCACGCAGTGTTGGTTAGCCAGAAAAGATAACGGTAAATTAAGCTAAAAGAAATGCTAACATGTCTCAACAAGTTTACATAGAGGATTTTTGGAAATAAATTTAAAGAATATTTAATTTATTTATGTATTTTAGTTATACTAACCACTCGCTCTGTTTTAGTATGCTCAGCGGTTTTACGCTTCTGGACCACCGTGATCTTGTTAAGAACCTTCATGGCATACAGCTTTCCGGCATCGTGGCGGGTCAGCTTGCGAACCAGAAACACTCTTCCATAGGCTGTAAAATGGATTATATTTAGTACAAAGTTAGTCTTTCTTTAAAAAGTATATTAACTTACCTCCTGTGCCAAGAACTCGAACTATTTTAAAGTCATTCAGACTAACGGCCTCGTCACTGTACAATTTCACTGCAAAAAAGAAAATAAATATTTGCATTAGTAGGGCTACTTATCGACGAAACTAATCAATTATCAGAGAGAAAATAATAAACGGTAATTAATGCGAATACCTGGCCACACATCAATGTGTAAAATAAAAAAAAAAGACAAGCGATGGGTGGGCGCGATATAAATAGTTGTTGTTGTTTGCATTTTTCGTTCTACCCGACACATGTGAATCGAATTATCGCGTTTTATTTTTATCACTAGCCCAGCACGTGCCAGACACTTGATTCCGTTATAAAGGGTATGAGGGAAGTGTAACGCATAACGGTAAACATGCGAACGATGCGAAAGACAAACGAAAGCAATGTAATGGAAGATTCGAGCCATCTTTGGGGAGTTTGCTAATCGGAATGGGTTGTGGGTGGGTGGTAGTACTCTCATTGACCACAAGACTGCGCATCTCGAATTCAAGGACAAGGCTGTTAGAGATGGGAGACTCTCTTATAGGCCAAATGGGTTCACTGGCCCCAGGACGTCGCACTACGATTACTGAATTTACGATTATAACAAGGCCCAGACGACATTCAACCAGATTTTATATGCAAATATTAACATGACCACAGACTGACTTCAGAGCAGGCATACTAGGGATCCTTTTTCAGTCTCTGACTAAAATTAATGTCCCATTTTGGTGTTTCTCTGACTGATGACTTCCCACCCCACCAGCCTGCTTTTGTGTCCTTGGACCTTGAAGGACAAGTTCATAGAAGAGATAACTAAATCTGTCAAATCCTCTCATAGCCTAACACCCATAGTGGCGCCGTTCCACCCTCCTTTGAGAGAGCCATCTATATTTCGAGTTATTGCGAAATTGGGGAGACATTTCAACTGCAACTGGGAGGTTAATGAAACTGAATGAACCTGTTGTTGTTTTATTATTTGATATTCAAGTTGCTAACAACAAGTCGATGTAATTTGCGCAAAAACACAGCCAACTCACGGGATGACGCGTGCCGAAATTCCTGAAAGGGACCAATGAACCCATTTTCTCAAGTGGGTGGGCGGAATTGTGGGAGGGAAATAGCTTTTTCTACGGAAATATTGATTCAACAAAATAGGAGTTTCAAGAGGTGAGGGCGGGAACTTGTTAACTTGGCCAGAAGATAAAATTTAAAAGGTCAGAGGAGGAAAAAAGCCTTAAAAATAGAAGAGATCTAAGTATTTTTTGAATAATTTAAGATAAATGATATTGATCTATACCTAAAATCTTAAAGATAATATTTATAGGATTATATTTTTTATGACTTTATAAGAATTTATATTTTTATTAAAGTGTATTTCATTTAGACCGTTTCATTAGTCATCTCATTTGAGGGAATATCAAATCGTATCTTGAAGTGTCTCTGTATTTTTAACCCGTCCTGTGACGCCGTCGCCGATCTGGCCTTGATATCGCTTTATATATCGCGGTTCTGTTGCCAGGTTCTTAAACCGAAACACCCTCAAAAAATGTGTATTTCTCGCTGCGACTAGGCAAAGTTTAATGAACGGAAAACCGAAATAATACAAGCAATAAAAACCGCAACAAGTGGGGTTTCAAAGAAACCTCTCTTTAATTAAAAAAAAAAGGGTATATTATGTTTATGTAATCGAAAACGACTTCTGTTTAAAGTTTGTAACATTATCAGTACAGTACTGGATCTTGTTTATAGAAGGCTACTAGCCAGGGGGTGGGGGGTGAAGATAGCATTGTTATTCGTTATTCTGTTGCCGTGACAATTTTCTTGCGATAATTATAGTAGTACTAGGTAGTGTATAGCACACCTCACTTATCATCAGCTGGCAATTATCCGGAGAGGCAAACGTGTTCCATCTATGCTCGATGTCTGGCGAGTTGCATTGTCAAGTTCAAGTAAATAAGTGGCCTACGAGCAACAATGTTGGCACTACCTCCCGTTTATGCAAACAAGCTTGTACAGTGGTACAAAATATTAAAATATTGAAAAAAAAAATAATCATCATTCTTTAATTTAGAATTAAAAATACAAAAAATAAAAAAATATATTGTATATCTTCCTTTACAAACCAGTTATACAAGTTTCTAGCCCACTGTGCCGCATTTCGGCCTTAAGTGGGGTGTATTGTGAACTATGCCTGCCTGCCCACATCGACTCGGTGAGCTGGGTGCTGACAGAGAGGGGGGTCAGTCAGTAGTTTTGGAACTGGCCCGAAGACCGAGACAAACCGGGTAGAGTTTTCTGGGTAAGTGTGTCAAGGTTGAATGCATGTGCTCCACTTTCGAAAGGACACCAGAGACTGCATTCGACATTGAACGAGTGAGGGCCACTCCTTCTTGCCTTCTACCTAATCTTGGTGGTTATTTTTAAATAATCTAATACTTTTCTTAATTAAAATATTAAATTAAAGTCAAGGATTAACTCACCATAGGATCGCAAATCGGTAACCACTTCCAGATCCTTTTGATGCGCCTCATTGTCCAGATCCAGTGGCGTACTGTTACTGGTCGGCACTGAATAGGGGGGCGTGGCAGGTGCTGATGCTGCCGCCTCGGCTGCTGCCGCCGCCGCCGCTGCAGCTGCTGCATTGCTATTGCTGGCATTGGTCGGACGACTGGCGGCGGGCTCCCTCATCTCTTCAGGTTCTTCATCCTCCTCCGTGTCCTGGTCATAATAGTCGCGATCCTCCTGCTCATCGTTGCTCTCTGCATCCGAAATGCATACCACATCGGCTGCCTGCTGCGGGGACGGGGAACGTGGCGTCTCCGGCGAGACAGTGTCCCTATAGGAGTACTCCCTGGTCCCTGACTCAGTGGCTTTCTTGCTACTGCTGTTGCTGTATTGCCCATTGGTGATGTTGTTATTATTGTTGTTGTTGTAGGATGTCAGGGACTTGCCGGAGCTGCCGGCGTGTGTATGCTTGGTCTTGGGCTTCTTGCTAGTCCCATTACTGATGGGACCTGTGGCTGGAGATTTGCTGACCCTCCGCCGCTTTCCACCGCCATTACTGCTGCCGTTGGCATGGCCATTCAGGTGCTGGAGCACCTGGATTTGATCCTCGTCCTCCCGCGCCTCCATCACAATGGCATTCTGCTGGTTGTTCTTGCGACGCGACTTATTGGAGCTGGTGCTTGAGACAACGTCACTTTGCTGGTCCTTTTTATGCAATCGACTCATATCGGAGCTTTATTCTTTAGAACTCTTGCCGATTTAAGGTTTTATATTCTACGTACTTTTTACGTAGTTGGGGATAGAATTAAAAGGTAACTTAATAGAAACAAATTAAAAGGTTCAGTGCCTGATTATCGTGTCGCATTGTGTTAAGCTGGAAGTAGATGAAAAAGAAAGGTTATAGTTCATATAAATATTAGTCTATTAGATGGTCTTATTACACTCTATTAGGCTAGCCAGTCTTCACCGCACTTCTCCACATGCCATTGCCATGCCTTTACCCCTCACCATCATCCACAATATACAACAATATGGTACAGTTTCAGCGCAGGCAGGGAGCACATCGGGAGCAACACCAACAGCAATGGCAATTGGATGTATCGAGAGTCTGGGCGTTCTTCAAACGTTCATTTAAAAGGCCACTCCACTCCACTCACTCACCTCGCGGACGGAAAGAAGCCCAAAATAATATACAGTAGTGGTCGGTCGTTTGATAGAATTGCGGGGGAAAGTGTTGGATTATAATGCGTGGGGTTATGCAGCAATGCGATATGCAACACTGTTAGGGCACTGTATGCGCTCGGGATAAGGTGGGCCCCCCCAACTTTTTGGTGTTTTGTTGGCTTAAATGTTATTATTCAACCATTGGTTGGCGCTGCACCGCGGTTTTGTGATTATCACAGTCTTTATCAGCCGCGTTTTGCACTGCCACAGTTTTTTTCTGTTTCACAGTTCTCTTTTCGTTCTTTTACACGTACACATACACTGACGCGTACACGTACACTACACGCACACACGCTGGCACTTTTAGTTGCGGCGACTACGTTTCGAAGCGTTTTTGTTTTCGTCCCCAGATTCTACTTTTTGGCGCTTGTTGTCTACGGATTCGTGTTATCCTTTTTATCAATTTCACATTGGCCGATCCTGGGGAGGACTTGTTTTGTTTATGTTTTCGAATTACGTGCGTTTTTAATATGCCAACAAGGTTTTAGCGCCGCTTTCTACACACACACTGATGCGCGGGACGCTCTCCACCATCTGCTTTGCGCTCTCATTCGCGGACACTTATTAGCTACCTTGAGTGCAATCGGAATTTTCAGCCCACTTCATTTGCTCCGCGCTTTTATAACTTTTATCGGGGCGAAGGCCTCCAGGAAAAATGTACACCACTCGAATTGACTAATTTACACAGCACCGAACAATTTTTTCGACTTTCCGCTTTGCTCAATTCGCTTTCTGATATCTTCTTACGTTTGCTGTTCAAAATCTCACGACACTGCCACACCAAAAATAACGCGTTATATCGATAAGGTAATCGATAGATGGCAGTGTTGTAAAACGAGCTACATTATTCTTAAAAATTTTCATTCTTTTAAAAAATATTTTAATAATATTATTAAAATTTTTGAAAACAGTTTTATTTATGTTATATTATGTTATATATATTATGTTATATTAATTTTTAAAGTGTCTTTTTAAGTTTCCTTATTGTAATGTTTTTATTTCAACGAATTAAAATTAATATTTTACCATTATATCCGACAACTGTTTTCGTTGCAAGTCAGGAACTTTGCAGTCCTCCGAAGGATATCCAACGGCCAGAAGGATAAGTAGTTTCTCATTCACCGGTCGCTGGAGCAGGGTTCTCAAAGCAGGTCCACAGTTTAATGGAGTGGTGACGAGGGAAGCCAATCCAGCGGCCTGGAGAGCGCACAGAAGTATACCTCCGGCTATGGATGTGGATATCTCGTTGTAGTAGTGCCTCTTCCGTCGCCCATCCGAGGTCAAGCCATAGGTTTGCTTAAAGATCAGTATCAGATATGGAGCCAGAGTCAGATACTCTTTAATGTGATTTGTTTGCAGGGGGCGTAAATCCGTGACCCACTGCGGGTGCATCCGTTGGCTGTAGTTCATCAGCTCCTCCTGTTCTACTATTTCTCGAATTGTTTTTTTTACTTCTGGGTCTTCCACAACGCAGAATGTCCAAGGCTCAGTATGGGCTCCACTAGGAGCTGTTCCCGCTGCCCGGATACAGTCCTCTATAATGCTCAGATCTGGTTTGGGATGGCTGCTAAAGGAGCGAATACTGCGACGTCCCTGGACTAATTTATAGAAGCGTTCAGCTCCATTCGGATTAAGATTCAATCCGGCCACAAATGAAACGTGGGGTTTCTCCTCCAAGGCGGGTTGAAGATCATCTGTTTCTTCCACTAAAATTAATTATAAAAAAAGATTAATATATTTCTTTAAAAAATGGAATTTCTTTATACCTTCTATATCCTCTTCATTATCTAGCGTATATTTTTGATGAGATTTTCTTTTATGATTCTTCATTAAATATTTGATGGAGAAAAAAAGCACCAATCCCATCAAAAAAGATGGCCAATACTTGAGGAGTTTGGAACTGCCGATCAGCGTTTCTACTTCCATTGCGTTTCAATTAAAAACTGATTCCGCCTCTGAGAGAAAGTGGAGCATTGTGGCTTATCTTCTGAAAAAAAAGTGGGTCAGGGTTACTGCTGATTAAGATGAATGCTTGGTGGTTGGGGTTTCAGTTTGCATTCCGGCAGCAGTAGGGACAGTTTATGCCTCCCATTTCGACCTTTGGAGGTGGCCGTTTCTCCAGCTTGTTCTTCAGTGGACAGTTGGCATTAACGCAAGCCACTTTTTTGACCTGATTATTCAGGGGCTTAGCCTTTTGGAGGACCAACTGCCGCTTGTGGACCTCCCGCAGAATTTCAATAATCTGCCACTTGGCATCAAAGTAAATGAAATCCGGCGCCGTAGTTAGTTCCATACGGATCATGTCGCAGAGCATCTGCACCTGCTGACCATTTGGGGTCGGAGGAACAGGGGGAATAGAACTATTAGCCTGCGGTGGATTCGGGTTATTTGGCACAGGGAATGCAGTCTGCGTTGGATTCGGGTTATTTGCCTCAGGGAGTGCAGTCTCCGGTGGAATCGAATTATTTGCCTGCGGGGGAGTGGGGGATTCATTCAAACGACATTCCGGCACACATGGTGACTTATCCGGCCGGAAAGGGCAAGAGAGATCCGTAGTCGTTAAATCCCGCTCGTTGGAGTAGCACGAGGACTGCACAGACACTTTGGAGTTTTGATAATTTTGGCAATCAATGTACTGAATCTTAGGAGATGAATCCTTGTTAGACTGATCATCCGGAGGACAAACGCATAGTTCTGGGGAGGGTGCAAAGGTTACGGATGGTTGCCCATTGTTTTCAGAGGTATTTTCCGTTTTTGAAGATTCGTCTTCTATTTCAATCCTTTTATTTTTTCTACACTTTTTACCCATGAACGAGAAATATTTGGGAAAAGAAGTCAATGGGTATCCGGCAATGCAAGCGTTTGGCTTGACCACTTGGTTCTGAATATCCTTGGATGAAGACTTTTCTTTAAAGTTGCTGTCTTGGCTCGAGCTATCAGACCATGTCTTATCGAAATTTATGCTCAGATAGGGAATCAGGAATAGAAATTCGTTGTAATATCGAATCGACGGAGTCATTATTTCACCGTATTTCCAATGGGCAATCTCGATGATGGTATACTCTCTCTCGAACAGGCTGCGCAGCTCCTCAAGCCGGCTCTTGAGTCCTGCGCTGGTGTGGCCGGGAAATGATCGAACCATGCCATTGTAGCAATCCTCATCGTACTCCTTGTTACCATAGAACGGGTTCCTTGGGTTGTATAGATTATCGTGCTTTTGGTAAAGGCGAATCAGCTTCCTCACATCCTGTTCCTCCATTTTTAATGAACTCCCATCCACCGGTTCAATTTTCTTAATCTTTTTCTTTTTTCTTGCGAACAAAGAGAAAACAGGACTCCATGATTTATGGAGTTTTCCTTTGGCTTTATAGATGGGACTACCTACGGCAACTGCTACGGCGTCTGTTACTTGCCCGGTGCTGGTGTTGCTGGCCCCCGAGATCTGACTTGATGGCATTGAAAAGCTCGAAGTGGAACGCTTGGAGCAACAGTGTCTGGGCTTTTGTTCCATCTTCCACTATTTGTCGCTTCAGGAGTGTCACAGTGCGGCTGGCGTCGTTTCCGGCAGGCTGACGCTCCTTCAAGGGGAGCAGCATTCTTACTGGAATGAATTTTGTAGCATTATCTGGATCTAGGACATTTTTAATTCAAAATTTTAAATAAACTTCATTCTGGAAATAAACGTTGGGGCCTATGACTTACTAAACAAATCTTTTGGAAACTTTAAAAAACACGCAACAATTTATATTTATAAATTAAAATTTTAACAAAAAATCAGCAGTACTTATCGGATCTTGCTATTTTGAATTTACCGCCAAACTTTTTGGCGACCATAATTGTTTTTTCTGTTTTGCAAATTATTTTTTGCAATCAGGTATTTAATTATCTTTTATTATTTTTGCATCGATGCAAAGAAGTAAGATATTATTTAAAGTTACCAAATTAATAAAGCAATAAAAATTATTTTCCATATACATATTCTAGTGTGACCAGTCTGTATGGTAATGGAAAGGCAGGTTCCTGAGAAAGGCATTTGATGAAGAAAACGTGGGCACACATAAAATTCTAAATAAAAACAACCAAAACCAGTTACGTGAAATTATAAATAAAAAATAAGGAAATAAGCGCCTGGCCCTGGGCCAGCCAAAAGCGACAAACATAGAGCCCCAAAATATCTAGTTGCTGTTTAATTTGAGCTTCAACACGTGCCTGACAAGTAACATCAATTGCAAGTGGAATCAGATCGGAATCACCATCACAATCAGAATCGGTGCGGGGGTGCTAATTAGCGGAAGACGGCAATTTATTGAATGCAAAGCATTATATCCCCAGCACGAAATCAAAATTTAATAACTGGTGTACGGGTTGAATGGGTTAGCGAAAAAGTGTAATAAATCAATGCCAGAAGGCAGAAAATTAGAAGAAGCAGAGAGACGGAAGTAGCGCCACAACAAAGAGAGAAAGACTTAACGGGACCCTACCCCATAAACAAAGACCTCCCACACTACTACTACCCTTTATTAATATTTTGATTGCTTCAAAATGGATGAGGTCTTCAGTCTGCACATGGAGAAACTTGATGTTTATGACGGTAAGAAAAAATTCGACATTTTGCTAAAAAAAATATTTCATATATCTTATTTTTCACGTGGCAAAAGATATATGTAGATATTTTATTTGTCATAGATAAACTGACAGTATTTAAAGCTAAACAGTGCTATCTATAATGTGAATAAGAACTTGATATTAATTAAATCATTTGAATAACATATGAATGTACCTTTTATTTTTTAAAGTACAGCACACAGAAATTGTGATAGATTTTTTAGACATATTTATTCGTACATTAAATATAATCGAGTTGAAACGGCACTTAAGAAAGGGTTAAAAATAGATTGTTTGGATTTCATGCGGTTCCCAGGAATCCATCTTAAAAGTAGGTGAACAAGATTAGGTATATTAGGAGCAGCTGCTCGTTAGTCATTGTCATCGTTGGGCTCGGGCCCGGCCAGGATCTCTTCGATGATTCGATGTCCGTCCTCCGTTTTCTCACCGTGTATGATCAGGTCACGCAATGTAGCTATGTGTTTCTCGCCCTGCTCTATTTGAACTTTTAGCTGGTCGTTTTCCCTTCGCAGGCCGTCGATGCGTTTCTTTCGCTCTTCCGCCGTTTTCTTGGTTTTCTCGCGAGTGCGCTGCACTGCCTGTGTGGGAAAATGAGATAAATCGATAAGATGCAGCTATTTTTGGGGGACCCCGAAAAGGCCCCAGCAACATGTTCCCCGCTCAATATTGCTCCCTTTGTTTACATGATTCTCATCTTACCTCATTGTTTTTCTTTCGTTTCAACTGATACGCTGGATCGTCTGCTTGGGGACTCATCGGTGACTCGCCCGCATCCTTGCTTGTCGACGGCGTGTTTGCAGTTCTCCTCCTTGCCGGCATCCTGTCAGTGATAATCCTGATCTGTATTTAGTTTTTTGGAGCCACAAAACTATACGAAATGCTATCGAAAACAGCCAGATGGACGTGTTGTGAAATTACGGCGCGAATGACGTTACCAAAGCAAACACGCAAATCAGCTGTTGGTCCAAGGGTCAGTGTTGGACAACGCGCACCACGCAACCCGGCGGACAATCACATTGCGGTATTATTAAATTAGAAAAACAAATTGTTGAATCAAATTCATACTTAATTAGCATCAAATAGGCCTGGAAAATTATATCACACACAACCCGACAATTTTTCGTTTGCTCAGAGCTATATTTTATAATTTATCAACTGTTTATACAATTTATTTGTAAAGACTGATTTCCTGTATGATAGCTGCGTAAGATCAAGAGTCTATTGCAATAAAATTTAATTGAAATGTAATACGTAATAGTAAATAAATGTTTTAAATAAGTAAGAGTTTAAATTTTCGCCGTGTATACCAATATACAAGTTAGCTTCACGAACAAAACACGCAATCGCGCTTTACAACACTCCTCAAAGCAGCCGGCTCATTTTTGCTTGGATTTTTCGCAAAATGTCTTCGCCTGCTCCAAAATCGCCAGAACTCTCGGACAAGAGCAAGAAATATGACAGGCAAATCAGGTAATAACCATGCGATAAAAGGCGAAGCTCGATATATCATTAGTGCAATTCTTCTGCAGATTGTGGGGTGAGCATGGACAGACGCTTTTAGAGGGTGCCACTGTTTGCTTGGTAAACGTTACGGCAGTGGGTTGCGAAACTGCCAAGGGACTAGTGCTCCCCGGAATAGGGGGATTTACAGTCGCCGATGGCAGTACGGTCAAAGAAGAGGATCTGGGAAACAAGTAAGTGTCAACTCCTAAAGGAAATAAAGATTAAATCTTATTTCTTTTCTCAGTTTCTTCTTAGATCCTTCTTACTTGGGAAAATCCAAGGCTTTCGCCTGCATGCAACTTCTGCAGGAGCTGAATCCCGACGTCAATGGAGACTATGTAGACGAAAGTGCCGACTATATATTGGCCAATCGGTCCAACTTCTTCGATAGCTTCGATTTGGTCATAGCCTCGAATCTGAATGAGAAAACTCTTATCGCCTTGGCCGATCGCCTATGGACTGCCAATGTCCCTTTAATATACTGTCGATCGTTGGGAATGATGGGAACCATTCGCCTGCAAATACGTGAACATTGCATTGTGGAAGCCCACCCAGATAATAGGCAATTTGATTTGCGGCTGGAACATCCGTTCGACGCGCTTAGGGAACATCTGGACGGTACTGAAGTCACTAGTAAAGTTCCCTGGCTGTTGGTTCTCCATAAATACCTAAGTGCCTGGCAGAAGCAGCAGACGGATGGGACACGATCCCCAAGAAATTACAAGGAGAAGAATCAGCTTCGCGAAGCCATAAGAAGCGAGATGAAAGCAGACGAAGAGAACTACGAAGAGGCTATCAAAGCGGTGAATACAGCTTTTGGGGCTGGACAGATTCCAGCAGGGCTTAAAGCCATCTTTGAGGATGATGCTTGCGAGCAGCTCAACAAGAAGGTGGGTTTGATATTAGTGAAATGTTTTTTAAAGAATATTTAAAAACTGTACTCCTTAAATCCTAGAGTGATATTTTCTGGATTATGGCCAAAGCCCTTAAACACTTTGTCATCCACGAAAACAATGGACATTTGCCCCTTCCAGGAGTTCTTCCGGATATGACTGCAAATACTGATTCGTATATAGCCCTCCAGCATATATATCGCCAGCAGGCTGTGCAAGACGCTGAACAGGTGTACCATAAATGCCAGGACTATCTCAAACAGTTAACGCTTCCAGCCGACACCATTGATAAGCGAAGCGTGCGTCTTTTGTGTCGGGAGGCTGCGGGACTCTCAGTTTTAAGGGGTACTCGTGTCTCAGAGGAGTACAAAAAGAACTCTCGTGTGTTGGCCTTGGGTACGTATATTTAGAGTCAGTCATATTAGTCATTTTTATGGAAATTCTCCAAAAAACAGTTGAAGATAACGAGCTGCAAGGAAATCTTACATCGTTCAACTTTGCGCTTCGAGCTTATGAGCGTTTCTTGAGTGAGTACGGAAACATTCCTGGAGAGTGCACTGTGGAACAGGACATAGGACGTCTCAAGAGCATTGCTGGCAAAATGATGAGTGATCTAGGCATGCATGCAACCATTAGCGACGATGTTTTGCACGAGATCTGTCGTTATGGCGGAGCTGAGTTACATGCAGTGTCTGCTTTTATAGGTAAGTAGTGGTCAGACCATTGAATTAAATTATTCACTATAATGTTTATTAATTTAGGTGGCTGTGCTGCTCAGGAAGTGATAAAGGTGATTACCAAACAATACAAGCCCATTGATAATACTTTTATATATAATGCTATAACCACTGAAAGTGTAACGTTGAAGCTGTAAATAAATCGCATTTTCATAGAAAAGATTGGAGCTATAACCAGTGTTTACTTTTTATATATTTTTACATGGCTTTCTTAGAACCCGCCTTAGGTCCATAACTATTACGGTAGAACTTGCCAAACAAATAAAGAAAAGGTAGCATATAGACACTTGCTGTAATTAATGCCCAATAGCTGACTTCACACTTGCGGATCAGAGCCTGTGCGCCCCAAATGAATCCATATCCAAACTGTACTAGCTGAAGTCCGGTCAAGTAACGCTTCCACCATAAGAACCGCTGGATTCGAGGGCCCAAGGAGCTTGCTGCATAATATCCATACATTATTATGTGTATGAAGGAGTTAATCATGCCAGGTAGAAAAGCTGTTTATATTAAAATAAAACGTTGAAAGGTATGTTTATAAATGGACTCTTTAATTACTTACTTGAGCCCGAAGGCATCCATCTGGCAGCCGCCCATGTGAGGAAAAACATGCTGCTATGGTGGTAGACGTGCAGGAAAGTTAGCTGCCTCCACTTGTGCCGAAGGATAAAGAAGGCCGTGTCGGCGAATTCAAACACTTTCGAGATAAAGAACCACCAAAGGGCCGCTGTAATCTGTTTTAAATTTTTTTTAAATTATAATTTTACCGAAAACAAGATCCCTCAGCAAGGGTATTTAACGTTAAGTATGTATGTATCGAGCCCTTATCTAGGCCTTTTTTTGGCCATCGACTTACACGCATTTCATGAGGGCTATAGCTCACTCGACACGGCTGACAGGCGTAGCTGTAGCCCAGGGCCCGCGATGCCGTAAAGAGCTCCAGGAAAATGTGGGCATTCAGAAGGGCCATGGCCAGACTGTGCAGGAACAATGGCACTCGCAACTGCATCGGCTTGTATCTGTGTAGGGGGATGTGGATGTCCTTTGTGTCAATCGACGGAAGCATGGACAGGGTCGATGCGGTGGCGACCTTACCTGGCTGCCCATTTGGGCCCGAATCGTACCATTAATAGGTAGGTGGCCAACACGGCGGCCACATTCCAAGGCGATTCGACCAAAGGCCACGTGCGTGTCCGCTCGTCCGGTGGCGCCACAAACCTATATAGATAGCTGCCATTCGGGGGCAGACCGATGTCTGTGTCATTGCCATTGAACGCCATCGAATGTTACCGGCTTTAAGATTTCACAGCAGCGACTAAACGGAATGCCACTCCAAAGTCTGGCTCTTATATACGGATTTTGGCCCTGATCGTTCCGCTGATGCGTTATAATTTTATGTCCGTATTTAATTAGATGTCGTTGAAGCATAAAGCCTGGGTCAAGTCGGGGTCTTAACTTTGACATTCCCACTTAGTTTTATTGGCCAGATTGAGATCTGTTTTTCAAAAGATTTGGGAATATGAATATCAAAGGTATGGGAGTCGAACCTGCAATATTTTGTAGGCCTGCCATATGAAATTCTTTTTCTTTTATATTAAAAACAAGAAGAAAGAAAGCTAACTTTGGGCAGAGTCAAAGTTGATATACCCTTGCGCTTAAGATGGGATTTTTATCGCAAATATTGCAAATGGTAGACAAAATTTATTCGAATATAAAACTAAAAAGAAGAGTTCCCCAGCTTCTATCTTCAAAATAGCTAAAGTTGGTATTTTTACCAAATACCTTTTCCGATTCTTCAGTTAAATGAACTTTTTTCGTGATGGGATCCCTTGAAAATGCAGTTTTCCCCTATAGGGTCCGCAGTGATGGCTATATCTTCTCCAATTTTCATCCGATTCTCAAGCGGAGTACCTTAAACGATTTCTAGATCGATTAGCCATGATTCTCCATCAAAATCCTGACACAAAATATTTTTTAGATTTTTTGTCCATTTTTCCTGATGGATCCCTTAAAAATGGGGTTTTCCCCTATAGGGTCCACTGTGATGGCTGTATCTTCCCCAATTCTCATCCGATTCTCAAGCGGAGTACCTTAAACGATTTCTAGATCGATTCGCCATCATTCTGCATCAAAATCCTGACACAAAATATTTTTTCGATTTTTTGTCCATTTTTCCTGATGGGAATGCACTTTTCCCCTATAGGGTCCACTGTGATGGCTGTATCTTCCCCAATTGTCATCCGATTCTCAAGCGGAGTACCTTAAACGATTTCTAGATCGATTCGCCATCATTCTGCATCAAAATCCTGACACAAAATATTTTTTCGATTTTTTGTCCATTTTTCCTGATGGGATCCCTTAAAAATGGGGTTTTCCCCTATAGGGTCCACTGTGATGGCTGTATCTTCCCCAATTCTCATCCGATTCTCAAGCGGAGTACCTTAAACGATATCTAGATCGATTCGCCATCATTCTGCATCAAAATCCTGACACATTATATTTTTTCAATTTTTTGTCCATTTTTCCTGATGGGATCCCTTAAAAATGGGGTTTTTCCCTATAGGGTCCACTGTGATGGCTGTATCTTCCTCAATTCTAGTCTGATTCTCAAGCGGAGTACCTTAAACGATTTCTAGATCGATTCGTCATCATTCTGCATCAAAATCCTGACACAAAATTTTTTTTTGATTTTTTGTCCATTTTTCCTGATGGGATCCCTTAAAAATGGGGTTTTCCCCTATAGGGTTAACTGTGATGGCTGTATCTTCCTCAATTCTCATCCGATTCTCAAGCGGAGTACCTTAAACGATTTCTAGATCGATTCGCCATCATTCTGCATCAAAATCCTGACACAAAATATTTTTTTGATTTTTTGTCCATTTTTCCTGATGGGATCCCTTAAAAATGGGGTTTTCCCCTATAGGGTCCACTGTGATGGCTGTATCTTCCCCAATTCTCATCCGACTCTCAAGCGGAGTACCTTAAACGATATCTAGATCGATTCGCCATCATTCTGCATCAAAATCCTGAGACAAAATATTTTTTCGATTTTTTGTCCATTTTTCCTGATGGGATCCCTTAAAAATGGGGTTTTTCCCTATAGGGTCCACTGTGATGGCTGTATCTTCCCCAATTCTCATCCGATTCTCAAGCGGAGTACCTTAAACGATTTCTAGATCGATTCGCCATCATTCTGCATCAAAATCCTGACACAAAATGTTTTTTCGATTTTTTGTCCATTTTTCCTGATGGGATCCCTTTAAAATGCAGTTTTCCCCTATAGGGTCCACTGTGATGGCTGTATCTTCCCCAATTCTCATCCGATTCTCAAGCGGAGTACCTTAAACGATTTCTAGATCGATTCGCCATCATTCTGCATCAAAATCCTGACACAAAATATTTTTTCGATTTTTTGTCCATTTTTCCTGATGGGATCCCTTAAAAATGGGGTTTTCCCCTATAGGGTCCACAGGGATGGCTGTATCTTCCTCAATTCTCATCCGACTCTCAAGCGGAGTACCTTAAACGATTTCTAGATCGATTCGCCATCATTCTGCATCAAAATCCTGACACAAAATATTTTTTCGATTTTTTGTCCATTTTTCCTGATGGGATCCCTTAAAAATGGGGTTTTCCCCTATAGGGTGGACTGTGATGGCTATATCTTCCCCAATTCTCATCTGATTCTCAAGCGGAGTACCTTAAACGATTTCTAGATCGATTCGCCATCATTCTGCATCAAAATCCTGAAACAAAATATTTTTTCGATTTTTTGTCCATTTTTTCCTGATGGGATCCCTTTAAAATGAGGTTTTCCCCTATAGGGTCCACTTTGATGGCTATATCTTCCTCAATTCTCATCCAATTCTCAAGCGGAGTACCTTAAAGGATTTCTAGATCGATTCGCCATCATTCTGCATCAAAATCCTGACACAAAATATTTTTTCGATTTTTTGTCCGTTTTTTCTGATGGGATCCCTTAAAAATGTGGTTTTCCCCCATAGGGTCCACAGGGATGGCTATATCTTCCCCAATTCTCATCCGATTCTCAAGCGGGGTACCTTAAACGATTTCTGGGTTGATTTTCTACCATTCTGCATCAAAATCCATAGACAAAATATTTTTTTTTATTTTTTCAGTATGAAATGTAGTCCTAGAATAAAATTTATTTTTTATTGCATTTTTCTTTGTGGTTGAAACCCAATTGTAATAGTACATTGAAGTTTTCAAATGCAGCACAATCCTTTGTTGTCGGTCTCGTATTTATTTCAACTGCATTGGAGATCTTGATTAAGCAGATGCATTTATTTATCGAATGCCTCTTAATCAATGAAGCGTTAAATATAGTTACCCACATATATCTTTTGTGGCGCACTACCATCAATATTGAAAAGTGCAATTGCAGGAACACATTGCAGGAGCAAAAATAACAAGAAAAACAATTGCCAAGCACAATAAACTGTGCAACGTGAGAACGGTTTTCTGATGGTGATGGCTTTGGCAGGTTGATGGGCGCCGGATTGGGGCTTATAAGGCGCCTCCCAGGGGGCGGTGATGGAGCGAAGGGCTGAAAGCGGAACCTGAAAGCCAAAAACGAAAAACAAACATTTTGCTAAGACGTTTCGGTTGAGTGTAAAAGTCACCGAGAATACTCTTTGCAAATAGGATTATTTTACTTTAACAAAAAATTTGTTAGTACTTATAATGAAAATATTTTTCAATCTTTTCAATGTTTCATTTTATTGTTACTATGTATATACCCGGTACTTGTATAATAAAAGACTAAAGAACATTATTTAGTTGTAAAAAAATCTCAGGGAACCTATATACATATTCTGAAATATTTTTAATCTTAATAATATATGTAGTTGACACCAAATACCAAAATAACACTCTATTTTGTAAGCTTAAGTATTTTAAATCTTTTTTAAGTTAAGAGCATTGACTTTTCGTTAGAAGTTAGCCTTTTTAGAATCCATTTGTAAGCCCAGAGCGGTCGTAGTTGTTTGCGCTTTTTCCTGACTTTTGGCCCTTCCATGTCTCTGGCTTCGACTCCATTTTCTATTATTGTTTTCTTTATTTGTATTACAGTACGTGTTTTCACCTAAGGCACTTTGCTCTGCTGCTGTTGCTTTTTTTGTTTACATTTTGGATGCCGACCACCGACCAGCTGCGTCCAAAGGGTTGAGCTCCCCACCACCCAGCTCGTTCGGTTCGTCCTGTTTTCGTCTGTTCGATGTTTGCATTATTATTATTTTGTAAGTCTTGTTCCGGTCCTCGTAGAGCGCAATTGTATCGCAACTTGACCGCAGCCGTTGAATCCATTTTATGGTCTCAATCATCGAGTGTGGGAGTGCTTTTGGAATGTTCTCTCTGAATCAAGCGTCAATTTTCATTAAAATAATGTCACAATTTCGCCTAGAAATGGGTTCTCAACCGGGTTTTAGGGGTCTCGCCCTCCGAGCACCCCGCATGCTCAATTTGCGGTTAACCACCTAGCTTTGCCCATCATCGGTAGGCTGAACATATGCCATCATGTCCTGCGGCTACGCGTGTCCTTCCACTCGTGCTCCTCTCTCTGTTTTCTGTATAGCTTTGGGTCCCCCCGGTTTTGAGTGCTTACGAATGCGTATAATTGAGTTAGTCTGATTGTTATAATCAGTACTCACACTAACTTTAATCTAGGGATGAGACCAGGAATGGTTATAAGCAGGGATATTTTTAAGTAAAATCATTAAACATAAACCCCTATTAAAAAAACATATTCTTTTCAAAAAAGTTACTTTTTTAAAGACAGACATTGCTATTTATATTATAGCTAGAATCGGATCCCATCTACATACCAATGGTAAGTCTAATTAAAACTTAAATGAATAATGAAAATAATAAATTCCATTTTAATCAAAATGTTATTCTTAAAAAAAAATACCTCTGTTTTATGAACAGTGACTGCTTTTTGGATCATAAAAGTTATCGGAATAATCGGGCCCCATCTCCATAACAATTGCAGCTCTATCCATGCGGTTTTTGTGCGCACTCGAACTGTGAACAAAGTTTTTTTGGCCAATGGCAAATAAATTTGATGGATGGATGTCCTGTTGTCTGACGGCTGTTATTTTGTCGTTCCCTCCGTGGTCATTTCCATTTGCTCTATATGGTGAATACCGATCCAGCCAAGCGTTTACCGAGCACTGAATAATTTACCTTTTTTCGGACCGGGAATGGACGAATGAACCGTATGTCCCCTTTATCCGGATCCTGGCGACAGTGTCGCCCTGAGTCAGCCACGTGGTTTATTAAATA